TTTGAACCCTACGGGCGTGGGTTTATTCTTGACGACTGTTGTCTCTTTTGATCTGCCTGTAAAAGGGATCATACACTCATCTACAGTGAGATTAGTCCCTGGAGAATAGAGCTCGATAGACACCCTTTGTATGTGATTAGACCACTCTTCAGCCGCTTGGAAGGTCTTTGGAAGGTCGCTCTCATCCCTCATATCGAGCTTGGTGTAGTCAAAAGTGCGGAAATACCTCGTGATCAGCTCGAACTTCCGTAACGGCATGAACTTGATGATTGAGTGAAGAGGGCGCTGATCTCCTAGGCTAGGGGACTTCCAATGGTCTTTGATCGATATTTCCCTATGAATTCCTAGGTAAATAAGGACCCCAAGCCATACATAAGCTGTTGCGGTGGAGATGCCTTCCCACTTGAGAATGCGGGACTGTTTGGAAAGGGGGGTATTCCAGTTGTCAATAACGGCATTTTTAAGTAAGTGAGCGACCCAGCTGTTGGTGTATTTAATCCATGATTGTACAAGGGAAATAGGTACGAAAAGCTGGAATAATTCAAGTGGTTCCTTGGGTAGAGGGTTGATCTTGAAATCACGATATTCTAGGTTAAAAGGTTGAAAATCATCACCGCAGCCCTCTTCGGGCGGAAAAATAGGCACGCCGGTGGGGTCATCAGCCGCCCTCAAAGGCAGGGTATCAAAGCTGTGATCATCTATATAATCAGGTATCTCTTGGGAGCTCATCGTTTTAATTAAGATGCGTTAGGGTCAATTTGTATGAGGATTTTGATGATTTTGGCTGTGTTGAATGAAGAAGCTGTCTGACGAGAACTTCACGTACCCCGCAGGTACTAGTGTTGTTAGTAAGCAAGGTGGGGCGAGTGACCTGCCGGAGCCTTATGCCGCTCAAAGAGATAAGATGAAACAAGAGGTGGGGCGCGAGAAGGAACATGCGACGTATCAGTAAAACCCTGTCACGCATTGCAAAATGGGACAAATATTAGGCTGCGCTATGACAATCTCTTGCGTGGGGTCGCTGTGCTCTCTATGTTGTCTCCTTTCTCTTCTCTCGAGAGTAGAGCAATCACATTGTGCTTCATCAGAGTGCAATTGTTGGTTGCACAGGTGCATGGGGGACAGATGAAAAGAGAAACGACTGCATATTCTCAATCGACGCCGACAGGAAAGCAACAGACCGCGACTACCCGAGCATCAGACTTGCCACCATCCTTGATGTGCATTGTCTAAGCCTTAGAAACTGCCAATCCTTCCCTTCATTAAACGCAGGGAAGAGCGGGGTAGTAAGACCTGCAGGGTTATTTTGAGGCGACAAGTTCAATTATAAGGGCGGATGAATGCGGCTGTGTGCCACCTTATCACCTAACGTATTTCACCGCCACCCCGTACACCCCCCCACCCCGCACACCACAACACCATCAACGCGTCATTAATACAATCCACTTCATTTACTTCTATAAAATTCAAATTAAATCCTTTTTTTTTTCTATCAGCGGAAATGAATTCGCAAGTATCAGATTATGAATATAGGATGTTATTAGCAGTAAAGGACCAAAAATTGATTGGATTGCGAGCTTCGGCGCGAAAACATTCGATCAAGCTGTCGACTTTGAGAGATCGATGCGCCGGAGCCCAAGACATCACAACGGCACGTCAGAAAGACTTGTCGCTAACGGTCATACAGGAGGAAGACCTTGTTAACTATATTATCGAGAGAGAGCGGGCTTTTCAGCCTCTGACGAAGCAGGAAATACACGACTTTGCACAAGCCTTGTCAGCGGTCAACGGGGACATCTCGTATCTCGGCAAGAACTGGGTCGACAGACTCATATCCCGCCATCAGACTATAGAAATGAAGCCATCGAGAGTCATAGATGCTGCGAGGAAGCGTTGCGTCACGAAGGAGACGCTTAGTGAGTACTATCACGGTCTCAACTGGGTTATCGAGTCCAAAAACATCTCACGGCAACATTCGTATAATGTCGACGAGACTGGGGTCCAAATAGGGGAAACCAACGGCGGGACTGTGGCCGGGACCGTCATGACATCTAGTTCAGAGCGTATCAAGTCAGACAATTCGACTTGGAGCTCGATATTGGAGTCTATATCAGCAGACGGACGGCGTCTCACCCCAACGGTCGTTTTTACCGGCGAAAACCTCCAAGGACAGTGGTTTCCGAGCGTTTTCCCTGACTGGAAGTACACTACGAGTCCTACGGGCTGGTCCAACGCCGACATCTTCCTCAAATGGTTTATGGAGGTATTTATACCAGAGACTACGCCGTCAGACCCGTCCCAATGGAGACTTTTAGTCCTGGACCAGCACAAGTCACACATAACAGCAGAATTGATGAAAAAGGCTTGGTTGAACAAGATTTGGCTCTCTTGGTTACCCTCACATTCTTCACATATTACACAGCCGCTCGATGTTGCCGTATTTGGACCGTTAAAACGGTACTATCGCCAATTGACCCGATTTTGGGCCTCATACGAAGCGACCTCGCCACATCAGCAACAACTATTCCTACAAGCTTATAAAGAGGCTTCCCGGAAAGCCCTGACTCGTAGGAACATAATAAATGGCTTCTCAGCCACTGGTCTATTCCCAATCGACATACAGAAGGCATTGCAATCTTTGAAGCCCAAAGAGAAGAAACGCAAGTCATTTGAAGCGCCTACAACACCAAGGAAGCGGCAGGTAGTTGCCGAGACCGTGTGGGTAACGCCTCAAGGAAGTAAAGATATCCAAAAACAGCTCCAAGAGGCTCAAAAAGACGGAAATCTATCAATTCGCGACTTCAATTGTATCCTGAAGAAGGCGATGAAGTCAATTGACCAGAAGAACAGCCAAATACAGCACCTAGAAGAGGAAAAAGCTATACTTAAAGCGTCAGCAGCAGCAAAAGCTCCTACAGGTCGAGTCCCCGTTCAATTTAACCCCAACCAAGCTTTTCCTGAGATTGAACAGATCATCACAGCACGAGATCAAGCCGAAAAGAATGTTTTACGTCAGGTTGAGGAAAACAGGCGAAAACCACGTAGAAAAAAGCCGCCAAAAATACCAACGGTTGAGAGTACATTCTTTAATCAGTATCCAAAATCTTAAATTAATTGAATAAATACTTGTTGTTATATAATTGATTGAAGTCATCTACAGATTCTGTTGTGAGGTTATCATGGGTGTGTGGGGTGGGGGGGTGTACGGGGTGGCGGTGAAATACGTTAGCACCTACCAATTATCACAAGACCTAACGCTAAAAAATCAAGGGTGGGGAGCTGAAAAGCCGGAATAAGCAGCCGGTCCCGTATCGTCTCGCAACATTCGATTCTTTTAGTCTAGATCGGACCGCCCCGGTGCAGATCTTTTAGCGGCCGGTGGAAGGGCTACGCTAGCTTGATGTGATGACAGAAAGCCCTGTTGTTGCTGCTGTCGGGGTCCGATTTAAGTTAGTCCCTGTAGGGCACCAGTGATCGCAATTGGCAGACTGGGCGGTGGAGCAAGAAAATTGAGAGCAGTGTGTTTGCGATTACCATCTAAAGAGCAGGGATCGCGCACGCTAGGTAGTGACCGTTCGTTTTCTTCGTGATCTAATTGGCTGAGCCCTTCCAAACACAACCGAAAACCGACAACCTAAACCCATCATTCATCCCTCCACGCATTACTGATATCTGATCAGATAGAAATGTTGTAGGTTCAGGGATTTTTGACCAACTCACTTGGATGATCAACTCACTTATCGCATACGTTATCACTAAGAATACATATTACAACATAGATGTAGGTATTAAAGTTAAAGTAATAGTATTTATACTTAGAGAATAATATCGACACGATGATGTATCTCGAATGATTGACAAAGTCGTAGCTGAATTGCTGATAGAGACCGTTGTCAGATTGTTGGGAGAAGTGTGAAGGGCAAGGATCACGACCATTGTAAATAACTTCACAGTTGCATGAACTCTAAATCGCAGGCAGCACCCTGCTGCCTAGACGATCGGCAGACTGAACATGAGTATAAGAGACCGACTCTCGTCGCTCCTTTAGATAGGAAATCAAGTGCTCATTTAATCTTGGCTATCCATCCGTACATGCGACAAGAATGCCGTTGTAGGCGCCTTCGGTATTAAAACCTGCTGTGATCTCTAAACGAGGTTACAGCTAACCTTTTGGCACGGTGTTTAACGCGCTGTGTTTTGCTTTTTATGCCGCAACAGTTAAAAACAGTCTATACCCGAATAAGTTTAGTCTTCTACTTTACATATTAGGCGCAGCATAAAACGCGGCCAACAGCCACATACTATGCCAGTGAGACTCCCAATGCAGGTTACGTTGGCCGGCCTGCATATTAGGTACCTACATGATAACGTGTACTGGATGGGCCGTTGGTTCTTGGAATCGCCACAATGAGAAGAGAGTCTATCAAAGCGAGCAGTCTTGAGGAACAGAATTCTTCCTTAATTCATACATCCTTCGCATACTATTTCTCAAGTCAGTGAAACACTATCGCCAACATTTTTAGGTCCGCCGTTTCTAAAACTTCATCACTCATAACTAACATAAACGTCTCCTCCAGTCTTGCTCAATCATGGACAGTCAGACTCGAGCGAGGTTTATGGCTGAACTGGATAAGTTGATACAAGATGCGACCGACAAGGACGCAGCCATTTCCAAGTTGACTAGCAATATCGAGTCGTTGAAGTTGCTGTCCAAACAAGGTTCCAGTCCGCGGACGAAAAGAGGAAGAGCAGAGGCACAAGACGTTGATACCCAAATCGAGGAAATGGAGAGAGAGGCGGCCCAACTCAGAGAGATCTCACGAGGGCTATGGCTGAAGGTCAACGAGATGCAGGCGCAACAACGTGTATGAAACTAGTGAGGTCCATTGCTCGCTTGTCAGGCGTGGTTGAAATCTAAACCGCTCTTTGGAAGGCAGAGGTTATACAGATATGGTAATGAGAGCAAGTGGGAGGCACACAAAATATCCAGTTATCGTCAGTTATGGCTGTGCGATAGCTCCCTTTTTCAACTCATCAATCGTAGCCCGACTCTCCTGCAGCAAGCGCTGGATTGCCTCTTCGCGCCCTTCCACATTAAGATTGTGCGTATCGAGATACTGGGCGAAGCTCTGTGATACTCCCAGGCGCTGATCCACGTCTGCTTGTAGCTGTATATTGCCAGGAATAGGGATGTCACACAGTCCAGTGACGTAGGGCATGACCTTTTCCCAGAAAACAAAGTCAAGCTCGGCCGGATCCATAAGTATGTGGGATAATGACCAAGCAAGGGGGTCTCTGGAGCCCCAATCAGCCGCAAGTTGAGAGTGGTACTCCGACTTCTCTTCCATAGAAGATAGAACATGTTTGAAATCGGACGTTAGGTCAGCTAGTCCCAAGTCATTGCCTGTGATCCATGTCGGGGGGACGGAGACACACCGCGGGACGCTTGCCGCGAACTCCCAATCGATGATACCGCATATATTAAGCTCATCGTCTACGAGGATGTTGCCGGGGCGAAGGTCGGGATGCGTTAGAAAGAATGTCCGGCTGGTCGAGTCGACGCCGATTCTGCTTTGGACCTCTGGCTGACGGATATATCGTTGCGCAAACTCCTCTCGCTCAGCCTGCTTATGATCCAGATCTTTGTAAGGCATTGTCCACATATGCTGAAGGACACGACATTGCTCATCGAAGAATTCTGTTGCACTCGTAGTCACAACGCGTGACATTGTGTATCCGGCCGCTTGGAGTTCGTTCTTGCGGATCGAGAAGGCACCGACAATGTCCGGTGGATTTTCAAGTTCAACATCTTCGTTGTTGCTCGGCATTAGCGATCCTCCCCGTGTGAAGGGGAGTTTTCGAAGTTCTGCAAAGACATCGATCAATTGCTGAAGAAAAAGTCGACGGCGAGGTTCTGGACTGGTCTCTAGCGCTTTCCTGGTCAATTGCTGACCTTCGACGTATTCCGTGATCATGAAGACTTGATGCTCCGAGGTATCACGACAGAGCCGGCTTCGACCGTATGCATACACTTGGGGAACGGGGATGTTTGTATTGCGTCGCACGTAGCTGCGAGGACAGTATTAGTCGAGGGTGAAGGTAGTGCGCTTCAGACTGGGAGACACTGACTGCATTGTGCAAACTTCGCTTCGTATTTTGTTCCACGCATCGTGTACTGCTGGCTCAAGAGAAAGCCGCACGATGCGCGTAGAGCCGTCGGTAAACTCAAGCACGAAGCAGCCATTGAAACTGCCTCGATGTCGGGCCTTGATTTCACATGGCAGACTGTTGATGTGATGCTGGGTCCCTAGTGCCCGGATGGCATCATCATCGATGGATCGGAAGAATGTATCGGTGCGACGATAGATCTGCTGCTCTGTCAAAGGCCACGCATGTTGGAGTGTAATTGCTGTTGCCGGCTGTCGAAAACCGGTGATGAAGACTAGCGGAAGTCGCAGGATATTGTAGATAAATCTGACGGAGGATGTCCAGGTTGTCGAGATAGCAAAGAGACTGCGATTAATAAACCAGAACATCGCATTGCATAGAATATAGGCTCGTCGTTCGGCATGGATGCGATCGTGGAGAGAGAGGTCGCGGGTAATAACGTGTTTCATGAAGGGTGGAGCCCCCGAATAATTGTTGTAGTAGTAGTAGTAGTATTTATTATGCCCGGGAGAACGGACCTCATAGGGCCTGTGGCTACGCTAAGCTATTCACGTATTCCCCACTTTTCGTCCATTCTACACAAAAGAAAGCCCTACTGCTCTTCCTGTTCTTACTTTTCTAGCCCCGTTTGCTTGACACTGCTTGACAGACCTGCTTGAAGGCCAACCAATACCATCTCCAAGTGTTCAGCATCCTATCTTCAGCAGCTGAAGCATGGTCTGTCAACTTGAGGCTGTTTGTTGTTAGTAATCAGCTGTGATGTTAATATTAGTAGTCATTTGTTTTCTCCTTCTCAAACTCCTTCCTGGCTCAATCTTCCTGTCGCCATCGCAAATTTGACTGTCGCTCGCACCGCCTCCAGGTTAGGTCTCCACTTTGCTCCGTCTGACGCCGACTTTCCACCTAGAAAGAAGGAAAGGTTGCCCATCATGTTTTGTCCTACTCGACGCATGGCATCACGCTCTGCTTCCCATCTTGTGCATCGGAACAGAAAATGCTCCATTGTCTCTGGTCCACATCCACATTCACACATGTCCGACTCTGCGGCCCCGATCTTGTTGAGGTAGCTGTTGGTCTTCGCCATTCCCGTGCGGAGCTGCGAGAGCACTCCGGCTTCTCGTCTCTTGCAAATGTCGTATAGTGCTTGCGTATGTTTGCCTGGTAGGGCCCGATCTATCCGTTTGGAGTAGTTGCCTACATTGTTGGGTAGTTTCCGTTGCTGATGCAGCTGCGACACTGCCAGCCTGAGCCGCGTGGAGCGGACCTGGTACGGTAGCGATTGCGGCGTGCATCCCGCTCTGGTAGCCTTCTTGGCTTGTCTCTTTGCTTCACGACTCATGCTGAGGTCATCGTCTCTGGATGGTACCCAGATCATCTTGACTCTATTGTTTCCCTTTCTCAGTCGCTCGATGTGCTCGTAGATCTGACGGATGGAGGTCTGGCCTGATTGCTGTTGCGGTCGGGCAATCGCCTTGAGTGACGACTGGCTACTTGACAGCACCGTAAGCTCTCGACATTGTAGACCATCCGGCATGCATCGCAATGCCATCGCTATCGCCTCCAGCTCGGCGGTGTACGGGTTCTGATCGTCTCGTGACCCGAGCGTGGCCGAGTACCTGGCCACTATCCTGTCTGTTTGACCAGGCGATCTTTGGGCCACGATGCCGCCCATACCCACTAGACCTCCCCTGTCGGAAGCACTGGTCGCGATGACAATGTCGTTGACGTTCTTTGCAGCTATTTTCGCCGCTTCACGATCGGCCTCGCGTACAAGCGGCACCCGGTTGTACCACGGTGGTACCGCATAGGCCTCAATCGTTTCCATCCGCTCCGTTCCGCTGCCTTCATACGCAAGCGCCAGCTTCTTCAACGGTGACATGTATCTTCGACTCGCCGACACCTTGAGGGCTGCTAGCGGGTGCGTCTTTGGCACCGTCTTGATGTTGATGTACATCCGCATGCCTGCTTGAGCATGTCGCTCGCATACCGTCTGTATGTTGGCTTCTGCCTCCATCACTGCTGTCGCGACTGTCCGGAAAGCACCCGTGATGGCTCGTGCTCCTATCTTCTGAGCCCTGTTGAACCAGCTCAGTGCTCTTTCGTTTCGTGCATGCGACCACACGACCGAAGCGTAGTCCATCGCCGGAGCGACGGTCGCCGTAAACAGCTGCCTAGCCGTGCCTACGAAAGCATGGAGGCTGTGTCGAGGTAATCCTCGAGTTCTCTCCAAGCCAGGCTGGCAAGACCTGGACAACGATACCAGGGTCGACTTACGGCGCTTCGTAGTCGTCACGCGTGCGCCCTGGTCGTGCGATCGCAGTTTGCACCTTAAGCCCGCCGCAGACAGCACTTCTAGGGACGACATCGCGCCGCAGCGCCTCAGGTGCGAGCTGAGCCTAGATCCCGTCCTCTTGGCCGACCGACATGCGCGTCCGTCCTCTCCGGCCAGTGTACAGACTCCTTGAAGACATCGACAGACGACCAGCAGTGCCCCTGGCACTGGCCCGGTTGCGAGCCGGACTCGATCCTTCCTCCGGTCCCCATACACTGCCACGGCCCACCGGGTTGTCCGGGCGCGACCCCGGGCCCGACTTCCCGTTACAAGCAGAAGTCTCCTTCGGCCTGCCGACCATGTCTCGCAGCCAAGGCTCTGTCTACCACCACCCAGCCGGCGTGCTGGAAGAGTTGGCCTTGTCCACTAACCAACCCAGCCTCCCCGTATGTGTCATGCGTGCGGTGCGCTGTAGCCTTGCGGCCCGATCGTTGGGTGTTCCGTAACCACTTCGGTCTTAACGACTCCTTCAACAATCTGTTAACAACTTCCATTACACACAGGACGAACACTTAGGGAAGGGGATCCGCGCCCTCGCGGTGTGCACTGCGGCCCTTTGGCATCACGTTCCAATGCCACCGTCCCAGAGCCGGTCTGGGTCCGAGGGTGCCCTGTCTTCTGTAGCTGCCAAAACGGCAGGAAGTCGGGTGGTTTTCATAACCAGTTCCCTCGATCGGTTTGATGACCGCACGGGCGCGCCTGCTCCCTCGTGCGTGTTGTGGTATTTGGTGGTAGAGTCGGTGACGCGTCGTCAACGCGCGCGATCCAGACGACAACAACACAAATACTGCCGCACCACAACAACGCTTTCATCACAACGTGTGCGCTGTGAGAGAGCAATCCGTACAGTCCCTAGGCACCTCCTGAAGGGACTTCAAGTAGGTTTTCCGTGTTGCCTCGCGTTTCCTTTCAAAAACGCGCCTCGGATGAACCGAGGAGGTTCGGCAACGGTACAATGGCAGCATGCGCTGGCATATTCCAATCTGACATGGGTTAGCTAGTTTCGGCCCCCAACTAGCCCCGCTCACATCAGCTTACGAAGGGTCTGGCATCACGAGGCATTTTAATATTTTAAGACAGCTTTGAGAGTCTGCTGCAAACTCTTTTCGTAAACTCTACTCCGATCCAATGTTGCTACAATGCTTTGTGCGGTATGCATGTCTATGTTTCAGAACAGCGCGATGCGCGGGCTTTATCACAAAGATTATGAAAGAGTTGCCGCTGCCGCAAAGAATGGGTGTAGAATTTGTTACTACCTCAGCCCAAAGCTTCCATCTGACAACTTGAAGCCCCTAGAATATGAATTCAAGTGGGCGAACTCATGGGAGCTCCATTCGGAAATATATTTCTATGAGACTGCTGACGGTAACTCCAACACGTCAATCGACGACGACAGGCCTCCAACCCACTCAGACTGGTGTGTGTTTGTTGAGGTTTCTTCCTCATCAGACAGTCCATCTGGTTACAATGAGTTTCTCGACCTTGTTGCTGCCGATCTGGATTCGTACCCCACTCGGGTTCGAACAGACTTCCCTTCTTTGCGAGATATCCCAGATAATACCGGCCACGAGGATGTTACACGCGTGGCTAAGAACTGGCTCCAGACCTGTAAGGATCATCACAACTGTGGACCTGCCTCCGGCCCACAGGATGCAGGCTGGTATCCAAAGCGACTCATCCATGTTGGTAACGAACAACAGTCGCCAAGATTGGTTTTATCAGAGAACGAGACTCCAGAAGGCGGTTATGCGGCGTTAAGCCATTGTTGGGGGGAGAACCCAAACTTTCTCATGTTAACAACCGACACGTTATCCGATTTCTGCAGCGAAATTCAGTTGCAACACCTTCCCGCAAGTTTTCGAGATGCCATCATCACCTGTCGTCGAATGGGTATCCCATACATTTGGATCGACTCGCTTTGCATCCTACAGGCTGGTGACGGTTCGCATGCAGATTGGCTCTCACATTCTGAGGACATGTATCGAGTATATCTCAACTGCGACTTGAATATTTCTATCGATGTTTCTCAGAACCCCCATGGAGGTGCTTTCAGGTCGAGGGATCCGGCATATCTTCAAGATTGTTACCTCTGGACACCGTTCCACGCCATGCCCAAAATTGCACGTCCACCAAGTGCATCATCAACAAGATCGAGTGAGCATACGTACTCGGATGAATTAATCAAGTCGGAAATTCCAAACGAAAATGACCATCAACTAGCTGATGCAGAAAAGCAGTCAAAGTTCAGGAATCTTTGCGCAATATTCACACCAGATGACTTTTCTTGGGCGAGACTGGACCTTCCCCTTAGTAAAAGGGCATGGGTGTTCCAAGAGCGGCTCCTCTCACCCAGAACCTTACACTTTTCTTTGGATCGCATCTCCTGGGAATGTGATAGAAGCCGCAACCTCACGGAATATCTCCCCGAAGGTGCGGGAAATGATGAATGGACAGGTTTTGATTGCCTGTACCAATCCGCATACAGTATTCGAGAACGCGGAAATCTTTTCACATTCTACTATGACCTTGTGTTCCCGTACACGGACCGTCAACTTAGTCATCCGCATGAAGACAAACTTGTTGCCTTCGCCGCCGTCGCTCGGCGCTGCGTCTCATGGTTTGGCAACGACTACTGTGCTGGAATCTTTCGCAGTACAATGCCACACGCTCTTCTTTGGGAGATGCTCCCGGAAGGGCCGATAAAAAGGTCGAAGGTCTACCGTGCACCATCTTGGAGCTGGGCGAGCATGGACTGTCGTGTGAATTTCAATATCACGGACAACGAAGGGGCTGTTCTATCTAATGTAGTGGATACTACGGTGGAATTAGTTGACCCGAAAAACCAATTTGGTCAAGTCAGGTCTGGTTCCTTAACATTGACTGGACCTCTAGTAGCCTCCGAAGCACTCATCCCCAGGGAATACAAGACGGAAGAGTTCGTATCCGAAGGTAGGCTTGGACGTGCCGGCTACCAAGATATCCAAACTATATTAGGGCACACTTTTGGGATTACTGCTGATACAGCAGACTCGTGGAACAAAACTGAAAGGAAGTCTTGGTTGGTTTCTCAAGAGAACATATATCTTCTTGCGATTTTGGAAACATCGAGTGAGTCCCAAACTTATGGTCTCCTATTGCAGAAGAACCATGATGGAAACTTCACCCGAGCTGGATACTGGGAGGCAGGACCGGGGTTTGTATCAAAACACGCGCACGCAACATGTCAGTTTATATCCGAAACCATCACAATAGTTTGAACATCCCAGTTAAGAAGGAAAGAGGGCGGTTCGGTCCGGGCAATGGCAAGCCCCGAATCTCGAAGGCTCAGTAACTCTACAAGTGCTGTCTGCGAGCTCGTCACTATATACCTTCTACGGATAACATCCATCTATTCAAGTTGCTGTTCCTGTAGTCATTACTGGATTCCAAGCGTGTGATAAGGGTAAAGCGGCAATGCACACTCCAGAAAGAGCAAACGCTGGACATACACGAGGCATGATATCTGTGTTCAATAGTTCATCTTCGTGTTCAGATGTCTCGTAATTATCCTCATCGCTCTCAGCGTCATGTTCTTCATTACTGCTCGGTCCAGTATCGCTCCGCCTCACAAGCCCAGAGTTCTCCGGTTTTGCGTCACGTAGCGGGGCTTGGCTCTTGACATAGCTAGGTTTAGCTGGCCACAATCCCCTGGATACATCAATTGCAGCCCATACCTGATGCTCCCAAATATGCTGTAGCTGTTTTGAATGCTCTACATCGCCTTATTTTCGTTTCGGGCTCTCGAACGGAAATGGGCATTAGATGCCCTTAATTGACAAAGGCTATAAACCGCTTCCATAATCTCTAATATCTCTTCCGGCTACTATCTTCAGCCAGGGGAGTAAAGGGGTTCTGACAGCAAAACTCAGGCCTTGAACTGTAAAGCCAACATAAGAGTGATCGGCCTGTATCGCAGGCCGTCATCTCACACCAGTCTAAGACGTGCTCCAAGGCACTGACAATGCAAGCTATCTGTTGCCAATCTTGCCATGGGCTCGCGATGTCTGGGTCTCCCCCGCTGGGTCCTTGGCCTAGAACATGGTCCACAATTAGAGCACGGGGATTGGGCAGCTGAGTCAGAGCCTGTAGAATGTCTCGCCGTGATTTATGGACGATGGCTGGCCATTGTGTGCGCTCTAGCCAAAGGCTTGTGGCCGCAAAAGAGTCCTACTCTTCTATTCCTAATTGTCGAGTGCCCCAAATTGTCGCGTACCCCTGTCCACTTCTCAAGTACCTGTCTATCTCCGGTTTATTCCCTTCCAATCCGTATTAGGGCGATTCATTTGTCGCATTTCGATCGACGATCTACACGCGTATAAACGCACTCTTATGGTAAACCTAGTCTTTGCACCGCAGTGCAGCAGTATGATAACACAGAAGGCCGTTAACTGGGAATAAACTGACACTCAATGTTCGAAATAGGCAATAGCGGTGACCATTATTCTATAGAAAGAAACATCGATCGCTAGTAGACCATAAACTAGAAGATAAATATATACATGAAACCAAGAATTTACTAGTTAAGTCATTACTGGTAAGTAAAGCATTCTTATCTCCTCTTTAATTCAAGAGTTCGCTAATGTCTCTCCTGGCGTTTCTCTTGATACCGCACTTGTTCAAGCAAGCATCAATACCGAGGGCAATATTCGCAGGAATATGACTGCGGAAGGACTCAATATCCCGCCGCCAAGCAAACTGGCATGAAGATCCTTGTTGGCGTCTGGGCCACCGACGATGCTCACTTCGGCCGCGACAAGGCCGCTCTTCTCAAAGTCATCAAGCAGTACGGCACCGACTGGATCGCCGCTATTTCCGTCGGTTCCGAGGACTTGTACCGCAAGGACATCTCCCCTGACAAGCTGGCCCAGCAGATCTACGACGTGCGCGGTATGGTGCGCCAGTTCAACAAGAACCTCAAGGTCGGCCACACCGACACATGGACTGCCTGGGTCGACGGCCGCAACGACGTGGTCACCAAGGCGTGCGACATTGCCATCACCAACGGCTTCCCCTACTGGCAGGGCGTTCCCATCAAGGATGCGCTGCGCCTCAAGACCTTCCAGAACTCGTACTGGAATGTTCAGAAGCACGTCAAGGCTGTCAACAGCAAGGCTGCTGTCTGGGTTGGAGAGACGGGATGGCCGACTAAGGGACCTAACTACCAGAAGGCCGCTGCTACTACCGCTAGCCTGCAGAGCTACTACAATAATGTTGGATGCTGGCTCTGGCAGCAGAAGGATGCTAGTGGTTTCTGGTTCACTGCTTTCGATGCGCCTCTGGCTACCCCTGAGGTTGAGAAGTACTTCGGTATTGCCAACAAGGACCGCAAGCTCAAGTTCAGCCTGACTTGCTAGATGGAGCGTATCTGATTTCAAGTATCTACTTTTTGAACATAGGATCTGGCTGGGAAACAGGCGCTGGAGACATCTGCATACATACATTCACTCATAGACTATTTCTTTCAAAAGCCATCGGGGCAATCAATATAATGGCATTGTAATTCATTATACTTTTCTTGTAAGACATAGTTCTATTCTGCAGTCGTCAAGTCCTAGGCCTTGATACCGAACGGAGGCCCCAAATAGCTCTTTGCTACACCCCCGCGGTCGATCGCGATCTTTTCAAGCAACATATTCGCATGTCCCAACCTAACATGTAGCGTATGCGCACCAGGGTCCAGCTTCAGCTCATGCTCCCGAACCCATACGTTTTCCGACGCAGCAAAGAACCAACCATCAGCCGACGCCCATCCCTTGTCGGCAGCGTTCCTCTCACTCTCTAGAGTCCTCTTCTGTAGAGGATAGCTTTGCAATTTCCCCTCATCAATCGCTATGGTATAGTCAAGAACATCATCCGAAGAAAGATCCAGAGTGGCGCCGAAGTACAGCACTAAAGTAATGTCGGAGGTCTCTGTGAATAGGTAGAAAGGGTAGGATGTGTAGGGGATTCCGTTAGTGCTCTTTGATCCAGGAGCCAGGGTCAGAGATCCGGTTTCAAGTCTGCCAGCATCGGGAAGAACTTTGTACGGAGTTTGAATGAGACAGTCGGTGGCAGGAATAGAAACCAAGCCGTCTTGTTCAATGAAGCCCTTGAAAGAGTTCGGAACACGTCTGCCATTGATCGGCAGATGGACCTGTTCAAAATCTCCTTCCTGAGATCGGATATCAATGAGTACTTCTTCGTTGAAGTCATCAGGGACTTGACCCCAGTCAATCGAGATCTCAATCCGGGCATCATAGTCACCCGGGACCAAGACCCCAGACGCTTGTGACAGGTTGATCCAAGACTGAGGTGCTGAAGCAGACCAGTTAATGTTCGGCACTCCCCGGGTGAAGATTTCAAAGTATCGAGCCTCCGGTCCATACCGACTCATCTGTCGCAGAGTCAAACCAGGAACGAGATCTCGTCGACTCGGATGCGTTCGCTCAGACTCTTCATTGATCCGACCGGGCCTTACACCCTACATCTCTATGGTTTCATTCACTTTCGATGAAAGTGGACGTTTCGCATTGTCATTGGCTGATAATCCTTGTATCAACCCCGCATTCCACTTTCACCTGAAAGAGGGTTCTCAATATATGTGCTCGGAGCAAAGTTTAAGCCAAAGTGGTGATCTCGCTATTTCATTGGTCGACTTTGCTTTTTTTTCTATTAAAGAGTTTCGACTTTAAGCTATCCGAATGACCTAAACGCGTCGACGCGTGTACGACGTGTATCCTAGCCACCTACATGTGAAGGCATACAGGCTCTTAGCAGTTAAAGAGTTCCATTACCATAACCCAAAGTCAAGATATCCACATCATAAAAAAAAGACCATTCGAGAGTACTCAAACTGATCATATCGCGGTTGCTGGAATGAGCAAGACGACCCCGTAGCTCTAACATACCTGCTAGGCCGAGCTATTCCATAACAGATCACTCGAAATCATCGCCGCCACGGCTAAGCAACCAGCCTTATAACCAAGTAGAAACTATCTGCTTGGCTAATAGCAAGGGTTCCCTTTATAGAGCTCTGCCGAAACTAAGGCTTAGCTGCAGATCATCCTTTATAGGCTAGACTTAATATTCGACAGGGCAAGAGCTATACTTGATCATATGCCGTATATCTCTTGCTGTTAGCTAAATATATTTGCAAAAGATGCTTTTTAGCCGCACGGATTTCGGCTTATACCAAGCTTTAAGCGATATTTAGTAATATAGAAAAGATTTATCTGCTTTATATTCTGCGGTCTGCAGTACCCGCCACGGCAACGTTATAAGGTATATAACTTACGTCTAGGATCTGACAAGGTAAAGATAATACAGTATATATTATACTTGGTCAAATAACTATAATTAGGAGGAGATGATTATATTAGCAATAACTCCGATAGTGAAGATAACGAACCCTGTAGTAAGGACTGGTATGACGACTGCGAAATTCCTTCTAATTCTGAAAATACAGATATATACCAATATTCCGACGAAAGTATAGATAAGGAAGCAGGAAAAGATCAGACATCAGACCGTAAAGGAGCCGACTTTTATCTTCCGACTGGCTATTGGCTGCGGCTATCCGAGGCTTTATTCCAGCTCTTAATGATGTTCTGGACATATGAAAACCCTGCTAGAAATATGTCATCTGCGGCCATTATTTACTACACTGCTATTATAGGTATATAACAACGCACTCTCGCCTTCAATCCGGCGCATAACTCTACATCCGAATTGGCAGGACTGATTTAGATTAGCCGGCTCTTATTCCTCGAATATGCCCTGCCGGTCTTCCTGCTATTGGCGATGGAATGAAAGTTGTATCGAAGATGAAGCAGTTAAGACTCCTGGAATTTTAGGGGAACATCTAAAAGAGTGCAGTGTAATTTAATATGTCTGACAGTTCAACCATGGAACAGGATGGTAAGGGACAAGCACTCCTGCTAGCACGAGAAGAGCAGAAGTCAATTAATTATTCGTCACACTCCAGAACAGCATTTATATTAATGGAATTTCTGAGTTGATTAGGCCACCATCTCACGATATCCTGTTATCAATGTGGATTTGATATAGACTCCAGATTTGGTTAGTTTAGGATTGGGTTGCAAGCGCCAAGCCTGAAGTTACCTGGCGAATCGGCTTCTTATCTTATCTTATCCCCGCTTATCTACTTTATCCTATCTTATCTTATCTTAAGATGACGCACTTCGCGTCAATGCCATAGCAACGCATCAAAAAATATAATCAACAAACATTCACTCTCGTATCAATGCATTCTGAACCAGATTACCTCAATTGCAATCGCAGATAGCCATGGACATTGAGGCTATTTGCGCTTGGATCAGCGACCAGCATATTCTTTTACACAACTGCAGAAACCCTTTCACATGCCAATTGCCGCTGTACACCAGCGACGACGATCAAATGGACGACCAAAGCAATTTGCGACGAAGCCCGCGGAAGCATTCTGGCAGCAGTCGAAGTAGCAGCCAAAGTAGCGACTCGAATAACCCACAAAGACCGAGATCTGATGCCACAGACGATGTGTTTGCACCTGAAGAGCTTGACAAAACACCGCGCCCAAGAGCGAATCTCCCCTTTCGTCCCCTTGACCCCAATCCCGATGTCGACGACAACGACAAGGCCGATGACACAGATCTCGCCCAACAGCGAGAATATAGCATCCCGATTCTCTCCCCTCCCACGAACCTATCCATGTCTTTCACAGCCAAACTCAGCGCCAGCAGACCATCACTTGCATCAAGATCTCGAACCGGAAGTACCCGAACAGGAAGTAGCATCACCAGCCGAACGCGGTCAACGAGCCCGGTTAAGAACCCCGATGACTTACTCAAGCTCGCGAAGCCTGTCAAGTGGATTGAGACAGCGCCTGGAACGATGAAAAAGAGGATACAGGCAACGAACAATGCTGCGGCGTTAAATCTCTGGAATAGCATATGGAATGTCGTTGGCGGTCTTGGATATATACCTCGAGAGCTGAAGGGCCTTTTACAAGAGGAGTTGCAAGCTTTTGATACCAAGTTCACGACCGAAGATCGCGTTGTGAACTTGACTGCTCAGCAACAGGACGACGCAACCCAGATCTTCACATCTTTCAATGATGAGACGAAACATCAAATGAGTTTATACAACGAACTCACCACCATCCGCAACATCGTCGCAGACTCAACAGATTTCATTAAGTGGAACCGCTCCGAGGCTGCATGGAACGATCATATTCAGGGCCCAACCCTTCGCCTCGCCATGTCCACCATTGCCGACGTCTGCGCCGAAAACATCACAACTGCTTCTATAGATAAGGACTTTCTACCAGCTTGGAAAGGAGAAGAGACTGATGTCGGCAAGATGATCGACTATACTCTCCTTTTACGGCCTGACACGCGGTTAAGCACTGATATAAAAACCTTTATTGATGCGCGCGAGGGCCCAAAGACATTCAATCAATCTACGAGCGAGCATTTACGGTACAAGCCAACAGGAGTTTTCATAGAGACAAAAACAGACATGAAGCGTCATTCAGAGGGCAAAGTACAACTGGGAATTTGGCTAGCATCATGGTTTGAACGAACTGCCCAGTTTGCAGCGACCAAGATCCCGCTTATGCCGGTTTTGCTAGTTGTTTGTGCGAGATGGGAATTACATTTTGCGTTCGATAATGGGACGCATTATGATGTTGTTGGGCCTGTTGATATTGGGGGGACGGGAACAGTGGAGGATATGTATCGTTTGCTTGCTGTTCTGAGATTATTAGGGAATTGGGTTGGTGGCGAGTTTCGGGAATGGGTCAGACAGTGTGTTGGGACACAATATTGTTTATGAGGACTTTATTTTGGAAAGGAATCTTAGCATGATCTATGATGGTTGGAGGGGTCAGGGTTGACCTGTGCGTTCAAACAGAGCAAAAAAGCAAATCTCGACGCAACACCTTCCAACCGTAGTGATGCGCGGACTAAAAAATATACCACGCTGTAGTAAAAACTTCTATCAGTTGATTTAATCGAAGAAAATGCATTTTTTCTATTCGAGGCGACCTGTAACGGCCATAAAGTTGACCTAGTACTACAGTCCCAAATCAACTCTAGTAGAGTTGATTTTATTGACCCACTTTAAACCTAGTAGAGTTGATTATTGCCAGGGTGTAGAGTTGATTTAACACTATCCTATATACAGGAGTAGTAGTGCTGATTAGAACAGGGGTTTGTTAGGGGTTTGCCACAGAACGCGACACGTCCTTTCCCGAAAAGTGCTATAGGGGGGTAATATCATACTACTAGACAGTCTCGTTGTTGATCAAAGCACTATCATTATTCAGATCTTACTACTAGTCACCGAGTCACTATGACAGCTTCAAACTTGCAATCTGAACCATGCAGTGCAATTTATCCCTACGTTCTTCTCTCCACATACCGTCTTCTCGTATGCCAGGTTTGTGCGTTCGCCTCTGTAGCCGATGAGGTTGCTACGCATTTGAGAACACGACATCGCGATATACAGTCAGAGCGTCGACAGGAGCTGGTAGAGAAGATAAAACAGATCCCGAATATTCTCCACAGTCGGGACGACCTACGTCACTATTTACAGTACCCAACGGATACAATTCAGCCCATCCCGTATCTTGCGCCGCCAAAACCAGACGGTTTGAAATGTCGTGCTTGCGGCCATATTGTCCGTCGCGTCCAAAAGATACAAAAACATTGCACTGAAAAGCATCAATGGATAAACCCACGAGGCAGGGGAAGACCAGCACCGAATTGCCCCGTATCCGCTTACGAGCTACCATGGGAGGAACATGTCGCATGTCAACGATTCTTTCCTTCTCGTGAAGGTAGCAAATGGTTCCAGGTCAACATGCGGATAAAGGAACAGGCGAACAGACCAGGAGCAAAACCTAGTGCCAAGAAACCACAAGGAACGCTCCAGGCCCTAACATCTGAGGCATCTATCCATCTACAACAAGTCATAGAGCGGGACACTCAATATCGGGAAGCCTTAAGTCAGCCACGAGCAACCGTTAATGACGCAGGCACCAATACATTCCCTGCTACAAGCTTGTGGCTAGACAGGACACAATGGCCGTCGATCTATCGAGGTTCCCGTCGAGATGTTCTACGAGCGTTAACCAGATTACCTAACCGTCACTCTCTTGACAACGACTATATTGTGGGACAGGACACCTTGGACGGTGCGCAGGACCTTATAAGTCCACGAAAGGATGAACAGAAGGTTTCATTCATTATGAAAGCACTTGACTCTGTGATAAACCGTTGTGAGGATACGGTTCGCGCTACTAGTCACAATCTTCTCTGCTGGCTGCTTAGCTCAAGACTCCAGAGCCGTCGGGAGTTTGGTTTCAAGCTTGTTGCAGAGAGGAGTAGCGAGATTAGATACCGAAGGACTCAGAAGCAATTCTTGGCTTTTGTCCTGCGAATCTACCGAATGCCGGATGACTCTCGTCGAGAAATGGTCAACGTGAAGATGAAGCCTGAGATTATTACCCAGTTAGATCGCATTTGGGAGCATAGCATTTGGAACTACTTTGACCTGGCGAAGGGGACTTGGCCAGTCGTGGAGAGGCAGGGAAGTCCCCTGGCAGGAACATGTTCTAGTCTCATAGGCGGCCAATTCATCAGTGGTTCTCTTAATGGCAATTGATAGGGACGCATCAAGAATTGATAGGGGCGCATCTGCCTTAGGGACGCTCCAGTTTTGCAGCCTCTGATTCGTTACCCACTTTTTTGTTAGTGCAGGCAGAATTCTGCCCACGCTCCCGAAGTACCTGAGCTTGACTCTCTTTAATCTAAATGAGCGGATAATCCAACATCAGTCTCTCAACCATTAATCATTAGGTCTCTCGTCATGCTCCAGTCGGAGTCATCATCTAGCTCAGAGAGCAATTCAAGATATCGCGCTCAAAGCCCCAGTCCTGGCTGCGAATCGAGTTCCCGAAAACGACAGCGACACAGTCGACAAGCCAGTACCCCAAATCGGCATCAGATACGCAGCCAGTTGTCTGTTCTTGGAGTGGGGAGAACGACAGGAGTACGTGCTAGTGGACGGAAGACGCAACCGAGTATTCGGAGACGAAGAAGTCAATGGAGCTACGAAACAGCGACGAAGAGATTCTTCCTTCAATCACGGTAAGAGAAAACTTAGATAACTGTTCTAAACTGAATCGTTCTGATTCTATATAGTAAATAATACCGTGTTGACACCTTTACGCAACCTGTTTTAAGAGAGGATTGGCCCGACGTAGTTGCTTCTGGGCTGAGAAGAACTAGGCTTGTTAAGAGAGCTGGCTTCACCGCCTTCATGGGGAAGTATTTATGGGTCTGGAAAGTTTGGTCCAATCAGATGCTATAAAAGCTGGAGCGTCCCTAAGGCAGATGCGCCCCTATCAATTCTTGATGCGTCCCTATCAATTGCCCTCTTAATAATCGACCTTGCCAGGGGTCAGATGCGGAAGACGGTACCGAGGACGGTGAGACAGATGACGAGAACGTTGAGGCTTGGGAGCTTGATGATGACGAAGATGACGAGGATGGCGAGAGCGATTATGACGATTCTGGACATTACAACGGCTTTGATGAGTATGCGGCTGGAACTCACCAGGATATATCCTCAGGGATATCAGGTGATTCTGCTGCATCTGCATTTGACCAATTCCTTGAACTTTTGTTTCAGCTTTGTGTTACGCTCAGTACTGAAAGTTATCTCGATGGGCAACCAAGCTCTACACTGCTCATATATTCAGCGGCATCCTTGGATTTTCCTCAGACTGTCAGAGATTCCAACTCGCTCGACAGTACTGCTCAAAGCTGTCAGCAATGATTTATATACAGCGTATATTATTCCTGGAGCGAGCATTGCCTCTACGTGAATATAGGTCTATCGGTATCCCACAACGGCCAGACGCTGGGCAATTCGAGTGCTTTAATCAAGTCCGAGCCAAGTATATGGTTCTGGGTTCACAATACCCGTTGGCAGAGCTGATAAGCCTTCGAGATTTCGGACGCAACATTGCACGAACTGAACCACCATCTATGCTTTTCCACTGGAGCAACGATAGTGAGACGGTATCTCATGCCACTTTTCAAATAACAATGAATAACTTCCGCAAGCTTGCGGACCATTTTATTACACAGGCAGAAGCGCTGTGCGATCAATTGATGTTTGGTGTACATCCACACGTCGACTTGTCAAAGATCAAAGACGATATCTCTAGTTCAGAAAGTGGTTACAGCTTTATCAGCTGCCCTGGAATCGGTCTTGAGTCAGCATACCTGGAGCTATTAGTCAGTGCCTATACTGCAGGCAAAAACGGACTAGCTAAAGACGGAGTTTGGAAGTGGCATGCTGTAACAGCGTACTTAACACAAGTCAGGAAGATGGAGGAGCAGCTTGCTGGTGGTCTTTATACTGCATGTGGCCAGACACCCCGAGTCAGGGAACTCTTCAGCCTCGAGTACGAGAATGGCCTGAATACAACTTGTGGGGTACATGTTTGGGGTGGCTATATGGCATACATCATCTGCCATCATAAAGCAAAGCGACTGACGAACCGCGAATTCTATGTGGTGCGATTCCTTCCGGTCAGACTGGGTCACGTTCTGTTCAAGTACCTTGTCTATATTCGACGAGTTGCTGATCTACTACGCCGCGAGCAGCTCGGTGCCGATAAGAGAGGTCAGCAATGCTTACAGACACGCTTACTGTTCCATCACAACGGGAGGTCTTGGCCCACATCTCACATGACAGACGTTGTTACGAAGGCGACTTTAGAAGTATGGCGACAAAAGATTAATGTACGGACATATCGCCAGCTGGCCATAGCAGTTACCGAGAAATATGTTCGCGAGGTGTATACCCCGTTCAACAGGCATGACGACTGCAGTGATGGTGCTGATACCAACGCCATATTCGCTTGGCAGAGTGGGCATCGGCCACTCCAGCGTGGGATCACATATGGACTAGATGGAGCGTACCCATCTAGACTTCAGCCATCACTTCTACGATGCTATGAGTGGGCTTCGGTCCGTTGGCATGAGTTTCTGCGCAGGGTGGCGATCAACGCAATCCACTCAACCTCAACCTTCAATTGAGTGAGTTGACTGCTTAATAAGCATTTCCTCTGTTGAGTTGATCAACCCAGGTCCTATATTGAGTTGATTGGTGTTGCGTTGATGGTTGACCAGCGCCCCATGCCGTGTAGTCCTACTTTCACCGCCAGGTTGAAATTGAAACCTATCGGCCAACGCAAGCCTACTCCCACCCTGTCTCCTCCTCCCGCATCTGCATTGGCAAATCCCTAAGCCATTCGCTTACCGACTTCTCCTCCACGGAGTCCTCGCCCATTGTATCATCCACTTTGTCCAACAGCATAGGATCAACTTCCTCCACAATGCCTGCCTGCAGCCATGACCGCAGCACCTGGCAAATAGCAATGGTACTTGCCTCCAGCTGATTCCGAAGAGGCGTCACCATGCGCCCTGCCGCCGAGAATAGTCTCTCACACTCAGCGCTCATCGGCTGGACCGTCATAAAGTCCACCGCCATTCGCGACAGCCTAGGGTACTTGAACCGCTGCGCATGCCAATACTCGAGCGGATCCCGAATTACGTTATCCGTAGGTAACACATCCTTCTGCCACCTGGCATACTCGTCTTCTGCGTTATCAGAGTCCATTTCTTCGCAGGGACGTATCCGAGCTTCGTCCTTATATCGCTCAAAAGGAGAATAGTACTGTGTCCGCTGACGCTTCGCGGCTGGTTCGCCATTATCCTCCGTAGAAATTTCCAACGTCTTGTATCCTCTGTCCCAAACAGACTGTACCACATCTTTCGCCTTGGAAATCCACGCCGGACGTCCAGACCACACCGTCTCGAAATAACCCCAGCGATAAGCGGGGTGGAGTGCCAGCGAGGTGTAATATATCGGAGTCTCATCCAGTTTGTTGTAGTATTCGTCAAGCTTCTTCCAGCCGAGGTTAATGTTAACCTTGAAGTGCTCGGGTTCAGGATATTGATTGACCATGGCCTTGGCTTTCTCCAATTCGGCCAGCAGGAATTCATATCCCACGATCACGTCCCATACGTTGCCATAGGACTCAAAATATCCCTGCTTGCGTTTCCGTTGAATCCCGTCACCTTCAAGCGCCTTGACTGCGTCCTCGAAGCTCTGAAGGATATCCCCGAACGCCTCTAGAACGGCCCAGTCCTTGTCGCCGAGTTTATTCTCGTCTCGACATATGGCAGGCATGATTGCGCTTGCCTTGAGCCGCTTTGACCGCTTCGACGTGTTGTCCTTTTCCCATTCCTGCTTGTGCTTCAAGACTAGTGTCTCGAGGTAAGGTCGAAGCTTCAAGGCGCGGCGGATCATGTACAGCTGCGATAGCCAGCGGGTTTCGTTGTCGACAACCACGTTGAGGGGCTTCCGAATTCTCACCCGAGGATCCTCGGATGCATCGAACTCCAGCCGTTGGATACTTCGGAGAAGTGTGGTGAGTAGATCAGATCGGTGGATCGCAACCACAAGATTATGGAGCTTGCCGACGGGACCTCTCTTTCGCCAAAGCTCATGCTCAGCCGTGGCTAAGAGGTCTCCATGCCCCAACCGGGACTCAAATGCGTCAGCATCCTTTCCAAAGAGAATGGCTTTAACCACAAGATTAATTACGTGGCCAAAGCAACGGCCCCGCCGTTCCTTGCCATGGAACATGAATCTTTCCCCAATGGTATCCATTGCAGTGTCGTTGTTTTATGCGTTGTCAAGCGTAAAGTACCCAATTTTCTCCTCTGAGATCTCGTATGACTCGAGTATTTCGATGATCTCGTGTCCAATATTAGCCCCGAAGTGCCGAACTGTCAGCTCAGGCACTCCCAGAATGAGCTTGCGGGCCTTGCCATCCTCATTTCGAAAGAAGCAGGCAACACCATATAAAGCGTGCTTATTCCGCGATCTCCAGCCGTCGAACGAGATGTGTATCAACCCAGGTGCATTTCTCAATACCTCGATTACCTTCCCTTTGTGTTTTTCAAACTCGGCAACGGCACGCTTGCGAACCGTATCATGACCGACATGGGCATCCGTGCTCACGACGAAAGGGTTGAGGTACTCGAAAATGGCCCGCAACCTCTTATTTTCGGGTTCTCGGAAGGACAGGTTGCTCTCGACGATCCATTCGGCCACTAGACGCTGGAAGACATTCCTGTCAAAGCTCTTAATAAGGCGGTTTGCAATTGCTTGCTCTCGGGGCGCGTTAAGATCGAGGTTGAAGGCTTTCGTTATCGTCCGGTATCCCGTCGACGGTTTCTTTCGAGACGCTGGCGCAGACCGTTTTCCGGAGGGGTCTTGAATTTTGTGGTGGTCCCAGAGATGCCGTTCAGCGTTCTGGGTGCCAATGGCAACTACATTGCCGGGCTTCGGCCTGTTCCTTTCAATGCACAATCTGCAGACCCATCGCCGCTCCGAGTCCTTCTCGATGTCGAAGCCGTATTCCCACACCCATGATTTTGTATTTCTGCTTCGTTGAGACCACGTGTAGCCACGGAAGTGTCGGAACAATCGATCCTCGTCTCGTCGAGTGGCGCGAGCTTCGGCTGGTGTGGACGGCTCGGGTGTTGATGGAGCTGGTGTTAAGGGGTCCGGTGTGAAAAGGGAAGCTGCTACGAAATTCATAGTCTCAAAATCTGAACTTTGGGACATATTAAAGCCGAAGAAATGAGACGCCAGAGAAGCAAGTCGTGAACAGGAGGTCAGACTGGTGCTGATGCAAGAGTCGGTGGACGAGCGAATCACTTATGGCGTGATTCGCATCTGACGCGTTGACGTGTCGAGCTAATGCCACGTTAAGGAGTGCTCTGCGGTACCTAGATTGAAGGAATAATTAGATGTGGTGAGAAGTATCTCCTAACAAACACTAACATCCAACCCACCTTGTGTTGAGCTACCCGGCACCAGATTCTGGGAACATCGCTACAATACCTAATCAACCTTGCCAACGCAACCAACTCAATATCGTGATAATATTGAGTTGGTTGATTAGTAAGAATAGGCTCCGTTGAGTTGGGTTGAGTTGATTGACATCAACCTGGTTGACAACCTCTTGATTGACGTTGCGTTGATCGCCACCCTGGTTTTTCATCACATCGTTGACAGAGAACAAGGATCCGGCAATCTGATGAGTTACAGTCAACCCTGCTGCTCGTTCCTCCGGCACATCGACCCCCTTGCCGCCGTACTCCGCGCTCGTCATGAGTTACAATGCCTTCTCTCCTGCTTCATCGGGCGTCCATTGGCTGAGTGTGCCTGCAGAGGGTGCAGGGGTTGGAGGGACGGCGCCATTCCACCGGTCGCCCCAGCTCTTCCTAACAAGATCGGTAGATACCCGACCCGGATGGGCGTGAATGAACACAATTTTCTCGTTTCCGGGCTGTTCAGCCAAGTGTTTCATCGATAAGGTCACCATAGTGGCTACATGCCTAGCGTAGGTGGGAATGTTGAAATGCTCAAGTTCCTTGAGGCTCAGGTCTTTCAGAAACAAGTCAAGGGACTCGCTACCAGCCGCCAAAATACTGATGACACGCGGAGAATATTGCTCGGGACCAGATTCGGCTGCGGCTTGCAACTTGGGAAGGAGCCGCAAGATGAAAGCAAAGCGACTGAAATGGGCTACAGCGATGCTCAATTCCAGGCCTTCATCTGTTTCTTAGGAAGAGTCAGTCTGTAGGCAGAGCTAGCAACAATAGCCTACATACCTTGACGTCCGAGGAAGGGTAAGAAGGCGGCCGAATGAAAAAGAATGTCGATTTTTTGTTCTTTTTCGAGGATAACGCTCGTAAGCCGTATAACTTCAGACATCAGAGAGATCTGGCCTTCGAGATAGACGAGTTCGGCCTTATTGTTTATCGCGCAGAGTTCTCTTAGTAGAGCCTGGTCTCGGTCTTTATTACGACCTATGACATAGGCCTTCAGAGGAAATCCAGTTGAGACCAACTTGGTAAGAGCTCTCTTTCCAATCCCATCCGTGGCGCCAACGAACACAGCAGTTCTGGGAGTTGTGGCCTCTGTGAGCTGTGCATTTGAGGCTCTGATTTGGGCGAGAAGGGTCATGATTGCAGTTAATGTCAGGCGATAAGTATAACTTGCTATAGATGAATGAGTTGACAAGGATTGGACATTGGCAGTGGCATGCCCGCCATCCTTATACGTATTCTTAACCAATGATGTTTCATTTCTATCAATGTTGTAGGGCATGGCTTAGCTCCAAGCGCCACGCTGGCAACACAGACAAACTTTGTTGGAGTAAACAAAAGAGACGGCTTATAGGGATTTGTAATCATTGGAGCATTACAAATGGGATCGCTAATCAATTATGCAAAGTTGCAAACTTGCCCCACATCAACGCCGGCCTCCGATCATGTGCGAGTAGCATACTCGGTCATAACATACGCGAAATCACCGGACTTCGGAGGCCGACCAATTGACCTTCCGGCTAGCCACTTGGACGCGTTGCCGACAAACCCCTTCTGGTATCCACAAATACACGGACTCAAGAAGTATATGTGTACAGTGTACGGTCCGATATAGAAGGAAACACTCTTTTAGGGAGAGACTCAACCACATCTGTTGGTGTTATTCTACCAAGGTTCCGTCACCTTTCGAATTGTCTACCATATCTGCACTGGCAAGATCCTAAATCGCACCACACTAAAATATAAATATCAACGTCATGTCTCGTGCAATTCTCGTTACTGGCGCAACCGGTAAACAAGGTGGCGCTGTTGTCGATGCCTTGCTAAAACGCAAGTCGTCAGACTTTCTGATCCTCGCAGTCACGCGAAATATCCAATCCGCCTCTGCAAAACGTCTCGCAGCCAAGTCTTCGTCTATCAAACTTATCGAGGGTAATCTCGACGCGGCTCAGACCCTCTTCGCTTCTGCCAAGGCATCCGCTGGGACGATACCACTCTGGGGTGTGTTTTCCATCCAGGCAATGAGTCCGGGGAAGACGAGTAGTGAGATCCACCAAGGCAAGGCGATAATTGACGAATCTATCAAGGCTGGAGTTCAGCATTTCGTCTATACTAGTGTCGAACGCGGCGGTGACGAGCGATCATGGGGTAATCCTACTAATGTCCCACATTTTATCACCAAATACCATATTGAGCATCACTTACGGGACTCTACTACGAATAACAAAAGCCCCATGGGTTGGACAATTCTGCGACCCGTCATCTTCATGGATAACCTCGCACCAGGTTTCTTCGGCAAGGTCTTTCTCACGATGATTCGCGACGTCATGGGGGAGAAGCCGCTGCAGTGGATAGCGACCAAGGATATCGGCTTCTTCGCAGCTGAAGCTTTCCATAACTCGGCTACTTGGAACAAGAAGGCTATAGGGCTGGCAGGCGACGAACTCACATTCTCACAATTGAGCGGGGTATTCGAGAGCGCGACGGGCGCGACTGTTGGGACGACTTATGGGCTGTTCGGCAAAGCACTCAAACACGGAGTAAAGGAGCTAGGAATCATGGTGGAGTGGTTCAATCAAGAAGGGTACAACGCCAACATTGCAGAGGTCAGGAAAATTCATCCAGGTGTAACAACAATGAAACAATGGCTCTCCGAAAGTGCATTTGCAGAGAGAAAATAAAGAAGAGAGAGCTGTTCTTTTTTTAGAGATCGTGCTGCAGCCATACCTTTGCTGGGGACTAATATGATTTAATTTGATCTTAGTATAAGTTACTACTAAAAGCTGTATATTTAATTTGAGCTAGTTTACACCTTTTAAGGTCATCACAAACAAAAACTTATGGAATTTAGATTTATACTTGTACTCGTTTAGGGCCAGAGTATTACGTATTTCTCTTAGGGGAAAGCGTTCTTGTTCTTCTCAATAAAGTCCTTCCATGATGTCGACCTCAGCCCTACCCCAGCCAGCAGCTTTTCGCTCGCCTCCAGCGACTGGCCCTTATAGTACCCGGGCTCTTCAATGAAAAGATGGTTTTCGAGCATCTCCTGCGCCATAGATGGAGGCAGGAAGCTCTTGTAGGTTTCCGCATCGACCTGAACAAAGTTTGCTCTGCGCCCCGTTACTTCCTCAAATTCACTTAGGATGCGCTTAGGCGTGTAGTAGTCTGACGCGGCGAGGATCTGTTTGCCATAATGGGCGGCGGGGTTGCGTAGAATGGCGGCAACATATTTTCCCATATCGCCATCAGCGTCGATGAGTGGAAAGCGGGCCTCATCAGAAACGGGATAAGCGAGGGAGTAGGTGCCGTCAGGTCCCTTTCGGAGCATCTGTGAGACGGAGTAGTTCGACATGAAGTATCCGGGCAAGACGAAGGTACTAAACATAGACTTGGCGCGGATGTACTCCTCTACTTGAGCCTTCTGGTCGAAGTGAACGACATTTGAAAGACGACCTCCGGTTTCTTTAGTAACGTTAAGAAGAGACGAGTAAATAAGGTGCTGGACATTGGCCGCGACGGCGGCATCAGCTACGATTTTTCCATGAGCGAGCTCTGGACTGGCGCTGGGGTTGAAGAAGTCGGGAGAAGTAACAAGGAAGACGGTGTGTGAGCCGGCGATGGCAGTGGCGACCGAGTCGGCAGAGGACAGGTCGGCCTAGCGGTGTTAGTTTCAGGCCTGGGCCTACCTTAAGAGCTATTAAGGAGGTAGATGGAGCAGTTGAGCATACCATTTTAATTTCGACGCCTTTGCTTGCCAAGTCCTTGGCAGCAGGTTTGGAGTCATCTCGGGTAATGCCGCGGAGGGTAAACTCCTTGGAAAGGATAGGATCGGCTAGAACAGCCCTGATGACGGAACCACCTTGGTTGCCGGTGGCGCCAAAAACAGTAAGCAGCTTGGACATGGTTTTGAATGTAAGCAGGGTGGATTGGGGGAAGAAAACTTGGTTTTTGTTTTTTAATGAAGCTCGATGTTTGACGACGAAGAACGATGTGAAGATGCAAAGGCTAGAGATGATCTTCCATTGTAGGACTCATGGCCTTCCTATAACAATCTTGATTTCAAATCAGCCATACATGTATGATATGGGTGTCTTGAAAAATTACCGGTAGATCTGCATCCGGCATGTGTTGCTCTCGATCACTTCTGATGGTGCTAGACCGTAATTGCCCCACACCGCTGTTTATCGCAGTTCATCGGAGGCCGAAGTGGAGCTAAGGTCGCTCGATTTGTCAGGAGTACGACTGGCACCGGCCATGGGTCAACCCCGGCTTGTTATTGAAATCGCGCCTTACTCGGCAATGGATCAGCGTCCGACTAGACATGTCAAACTCTTCACCCTCCCAACCCCTCCCGCACGGTTACTTGCTCAGCCCCCGATGGCCGCAGACTCCGACCTGCTGGGACGACATTAGACTTCCATACCGTCCCCTCACACACAAGCTCGTGTAACTGAATGAGGCGGGTCATTAATCCGTGGCGAGAAGCCTTTCCGGAAACGCTTTAGCACACGTCGTCGTAAAAGTCGTCTGTTTGTAGAAGGGTGATAAATCTTTCATGAGTCCGTGGCATTATATGCGCCTTTCCCATCGGGGAACTTATGGCATTGGAAATAAGTCCGACCCTTGTCGTTGACACCACCTATTGCTGTGGCGCTTCCATCCGTCTCGGATCAGGAGCACTGTCCTTCTTCAAGGCTGGGTCTTGATGCAGGGTTAGACTGATTGCAGTTGGTGAGCTAGATTGGCCCATGAATAAGGCAACTGCTTTTCGGATTCCAGTTTACTTTCTGGCAGGCTCTCTCTGGCTTGTCATTTGAAAGTTGGAGAGAAAGTACCATCCACAACCCCTCTTTCGCCACCACCCCTCTTTCGCCAGGCAAAATAAAAAAAGCTCCACCAAAACTCACCAACTTCACTTAGATGAAAGTCAGCCTAAATGGATAGCTACTCAAAAGAAATTACCTCTATTGATCATAAAAATGATTAGATGTTATGATTCTGACCTTATCTCTTTGAGCGGCATAAGACTGCCACAGGTCACTTACCCCGCTTTTTTGCAGGTACCTGCAGGGTACGTAAAGTTCCCGTCAGACAGCTTCTTCTTTCAACACCACCAAAATCATCAAAATCCTCATACAAATTGACCTTAACGAGTCTCGATTAAAACAATGAGCTCCCAAGAGATACATATATTAGATGATCATAGCTTTGATAGCCCGCCTTTTACGGCAGCTACTAATGACCCCACCGGCGCAACTAATATTCCGCCCGAAGAGGGCCGCGGTGATGATTTTCAACCTTTCAATATAGAATATCGTGATTTTCAGATCAACCCTCTGCCCCAGCTACCACTTGAATTATTCCAGCTTTTCATACCTATTTCCCTTGTACAGTCATGGGTCGGATATACCGAAGACTGGGCTTTTTTCTGCGCTAATAACGGCATCAAAGATAGCTGGAATACCCCCCTTTCCGACCACTCGCGCTTGCATGCTTGGGAAGGCATCTCCACTTCAACGGCTTATGTATGGCTTGGTATCCTTATTTACCTAGGAATTCATAGGGAAATATCCCTTGCAGACCATTGGAAGGCCCCTAGCCTAGGAGATCAGCGCCCCCTTCATCCATTTACGAAGTTCATGCCGTTACGGAAGTTCGAGCTGATCACACGGTATTTCCGCACTTTTGATCACACCAATCTCGATGTGAGCGACGAGAAGGATCTTCCAAAGACCTTCCAAGCGGCTGAAGAGTGGTCTGAACACATACAAAGGGTGTCTATCGAGCTCTATCGTCCAGGGACTAATCTGACTGTAGATGAGTGCATGGTCCCTTTTACAGGCAGATCAAAAGAGACAACGCTCGTCAAGGGAAAGCCCACGCCGGTAGGCTTCAAAATCTGGGTTATTGCGCAACAGGGCTACTTTCTGCAGTGGCTTTGGCATGTGAAGGCATCACCAATTACGGCTGTAACGGTCAAGGTAGAAGATGCACCGATGCCGTACGGCAAGAAGGGGAAGCTACGGACCGAGATCCCTCTTAGCAATACACAGAGCGTCGTAGTTCACCTACTAAAAAGGCTATTAATACAGACACATCACGTCTTTACAGATAACCTCTTCTCGTCACCGCAGCTCTTCCGCCTACTTCGGCAGCTTGGATACGGGGCTACAGGCACGGCACGCCCTAATTGCGGCATCACCACCGAGATAAAGCAGATAAAAGAGACCGGGAAGCTTCCTGATGGCAAGCCGTTGTTATTTAATGAGGTATATTTAATCCCGACAAAGGATAAACAGGTACAGATAACTTTTAGCTGTATTTCCCTTACTAACCTGTCTCTTTTCCTTCCCTCTAGGTCCTTCAAATCGCTTGGAAAGATAGCTCTGTGGTGCTCTTCCTTTCAACTATGCACAGCGCAGCCCCTCTTAACCGCACACCAAAAGAGAGGAAATTGCCCGCTAAAAGAGGCACAAAGGCAGAGGCACGGCGCCTAAAGGAGGTCTTCAATGGAGATCAGGCTAGGATAATCCCTATTCCTTCTGTTGCCGCTCAGTATAACGATGAAATGAATCACGTGGATCGCGGTGATCAGATAAGATCCTATTCCTCATATCAGCATCGTTTCCGGCGCGGTCCTTGGCAGGCGTTGCTTTGGTCTTTCCTCCTTGATGTTACACTTGCGAATAGCTTCATTTTGCAGAAGAAGACCCGGCACCCTCATTGGAAGCCCTATAGCACGCTTCGAGACTGGAAAGAGGCTATTTATAACGCCATTTTCAACAAGTACGGCACCGATAGTGGCATAAGGAAGAGATACCGTACAGGGAAGGAAGAAGACAGCGAGGATCTTGAAGCACGGCAAATTCACCTACAAAGAGATATCAATCATGTCTACAGAGGCAGAAAAAGCTCCTCTCCTTGCTTGGCTTGCAAAGGCCTCCGGCAGGGGCAGCCTCGGCCAAAAAAGCGAAGAAAAGGAGGCTATCTACAGCCAATATCAGGAAATCAGCAGCGGTCACAGACTAGGTACGGCTGCAAAGTATGTGATGTAGCTATTTGTAACAATGCTGACTGTTGGTACTTATATCACACGCCATTTTAGGTGTGGGTAGAAGTACCGGCTGTCACGGTCATTTTGATTGGCTCCCCACCCTGGTCGTGACCCCGTGGCAGTCTTATGCCGCTCAAAGAGATAAGGCTGTGCGGGGTACGTGATCTATGCGTGCTGTGCTATGGAAATATCGTTAGTTTATTCACTAAATTCCTCACCGCTCTTTGCCTTGTTTTTTGGTCTTTGTCTTTGACAACGACATGAAAATGCCTAGGTCAAGACTTCGATAGAAATACACCGAGGACGACATAGCAGAGGCCATATTAGATGTTACTGACAATGGCTTTTCACCCCCTCAAGCCGCTCATAGACAGGGAGTGCCCCAAAGGACTCTAATCGACAGACTTCACGGCCGCGGGGCCGTGAAAGAGCAGATCCACCCTCATCGACGGCTATCCAAGAGACAAGAGGATAGGCTGGCTTTCTGGATTCTCCGTCAGGAGTCCTTAGGCTATGCTCCATCCCATAGTCAAATCCGCGCTTGCGTCATAGGCCTGCTGAGACAGCAGGGCGAACACCTCGACTTAGGACGCAACTGGGTGAATAAATTTATCAATCGCCGTGCAGACCTAAAGACCAAGATGGGCAGACGTCAAGAAGCCAAGAGGTTCAACTCTTTCACACCTAGAGCGGTTCATTGGTACTTTGATATCCGGGATGGCCAGTATGGCTAGATCAAGCCTGAAAACACCGTCAACGTTGATGAGGGGGGTATTATGACTGGTTTCGGCAAGCATTCACCTCTATTCCTTGTCAATTCTTGAATTTTGGCCGACTAACCCTCTGGGTTCAGGTCTAGATAGCCTGGTTGTTAGAAGCGCGGACCCGAAGCGCAAGGCGTTTCTCAAAGGACCACAAACTCGAAATTGGACTTCATTCATCGAAGCTATCACTGCTGACGGCAGCGCTTTAGTTCCTGGCATAATCTTCAAGGGAAAAGAACTGCAGAAACAATGGTTTCTTGAGGAGTTCAAGCAGATAGCAGACTAGTATTACATAACATCGCCTAACGGGTAGACTGATAACCACATAGGCATTAAATGGCTTGAAAGAGTTTATCTGCCCTAGACAACACCTGCTGACGAGTCAGATGCTAGACTGATCATTTTAGATGGTCATGGAAGCCATGCAACAGTATGTTCTCCATTTTCCCTACCTCAAGATCAGCGCTAAGTAATAGAAAGATGAATGGATGGCCACGTGCTTTTTGAACAACGTTTATTGCTGCTATCTACCAGCACACTGCTCTCATGGACTCCAGCCACTGGACAATGGAGTATTCAACGCGTTAAAGGCTGCATATCGACGAGAGTTGGAAAGGTTCGCTTCGTTGACTGATTCCGCTCCGATGGACAAGGTCAATTTCATCAGGGCCTACGCCAAGGCTCGCCGAGTTAGAATAACTAAGAAGAACATACTGTCAGGCTGGAGGGTCACTGGAAACTGGCCTATTTCACGTGCGAAAGCGTTACGGCACCCTGAAATCCAACAAGATGGGCCAAACGGCAACCCAAGAGTAACTCCTGAACCCAGGCCGTATCTTGGCTCGGACGATATGCCACAGACGAGCCGTCAAATTCGTGACCTTGGGTTGAATAAAACACCAAAGACGCGGAGACGGTACAACGTGATAGCCAAGGGCTTTGAAGCTCACCAGCAGACAGTAGCGGCGCATACGCAGAGGATTGCCAGGCTAGAAGAAGAATTGGCTCGGCTAACAAGAGGGAAGAAGAGGAAGGCGGTGCCGAATCCTAACAAACGTTTCATGACTCTTGGAGAGACTCTAGCTGGTAAAGAGTCCATACCAGAAGGGGCGACTCGTTATATGCCTGTCGGGGTGGAATTTGTCTCTTCAAGCGAGCAAGAGTCAGAATCAGAGGCTGGCTCTGTCATCGAAGTCAGAGAGGAAAACATACCCCACTAACCAACCAGGCGGTCGCGGCGGATGGTAAAAAAAACCAGAATACAATAGATAAATCTACTTATGACTCATTAAAGGAATGGTTTTACGCATTTCTGTCAATTTGGTCAAATTCTATGTAAGTGAAGTTGGTGAGTTTTGGTGGAGTTTTTTTTATTTTGCCTGGCGAAAGAGGGGTGGTGGCGAAAGAGGGGTTGTGGATGGTAGACCAAGAGGCACAAGTCACTCAGAAGTCACTCCTCGTGCTACTAGCGGACACCCTTGGTGACTCCTACTCCTTGCCAATTCTTCCAAATCAGAAGCCTGCACTACACTCAATTTATTTCAAACAACTTCTCAGCATTCCAGTTTAAGCCAGTTTAAGCTATCTGCGAACTTCACTACAGCAACATCAGAACGTTATTTTACCATAACATAATGGAATTTTGCGGTATAGTGGCTAGATAATGATTGTGTAGACGACCATCTACAAATAGGCTATATGCAGTGAAAGATATTGGTGTGATAGGTCAGTAATTCCTCCTGCGAGCTCATACCTGTGCTTCAGGAGGCAGACCGGGCCACGTCTTGTTTCAATTGCCAGATACCATGAGGGAGTGTGCTTGCCCAAGACCGCTCAAGCCTTGCCTATCCCCTAGACAGCACCATGAGGGGTTCTCCGTACCAGCATCTGGCTCAGTACTCAGCAACAGCAGTTGGGCGGGAGCCCAGGGTGCGAGTCCGAGAGCCCAGGGTGCGGGTACGAGACCCGACAGCCTTGGTGCGAGTGCTGAGAGTAGTGGGAACGGCAGCGAGAGGTGTGGATGTGGCCGTAGGAGCGACCGCAGTCACTTCAGGAAGAGTAACATTGCCGGAAGGAAGGGACTCGGCAGGGACTGATCCAACGGGAACGGGGGCGGGAGCGGAACTTCCAGCAACGTAGAGAGCAGGACCGGGAATGGGGTATGTTGACATGTCCTTGGCGTAGGGGTCGAAGAGGATGCCGGCGTCGTCAGCCTTATACAGTTCAACTCCAAGGACACCTTAGGGAGTGTCGGTGCCGGTGCCTGTGATCTCGATGTTCACACATTGAGGGTAGAGTTGAGCGCCGTTCTGCTCGGCGCCGCTATGGAGGTTGATGATCTCGTGACGGAAGACATAGTTGCCGGGAGCAATGGTGGAAGGAACAGTGGTCGTCCAAGTGAAGTTGTTGTTCATGAGCTTCTCAGCAGCCCACTGGCCGTCATAGCCAGCCTCGTCGATCTTCACCCAGCTGAGCGCCGACTTATCGGCAGATGCACAGTCACCGCCGCACGAAGCGATATAAGTGAGCACAGGACCGACGTCGTGAGGCCAGTCAGGCCAGAAAAAGTCGACTTTGCCGCCACCGGCGACCTGGGCGGTCAAGGCGCCAGGCTCGGCGTTCACGTGACAGTTGATGTCCAGAGTATTCATCGAATTGGGTTCGATGTAACCCCTGTCCAAACTCTCAGTAGACCAGGCGATGAGATCGGGGGCGGGGTTGCCATTTTGCTTCCGGTAGATGAAGTCCGTCTGGAACGCGGCGTTCCGGACACCATCGGTGATGATCTCGCCCAGTATGTCGTGAGCAGAGGCCTGCGCAGCCAGCGCAAGGGCAACAACAGTGTGCGTGAAATGCATAATGAGCGTGGAAGTGGTGTAGGGGATGCAGCAGTTGAAATTTAACGAGGTAGAAAATGACGTGAATGCCGTGCCTGACGGAACAAATAGTATAGAAGCGAGTGTGACAGAAATTTGAAATTTATAAAGAAATTTGAAAAAGAATGAATGAGATTGTCATGGAGAGCCTTGACAAGGCAAACATTTAGGGAGAGAAATAATGAGTTTATATATCTAGAATTGCGGTATGCAGGGGTTATTGGCGGGTGGGGAGGGAATGGGGAATGTAAGAGAAACCCTGCCAAGTTTAATAAGCACTTCTCCGTGGTTCACTTAGTGAAACAGCCACCTGCGGCGAATGGCAGGCATGCTTGGCCAGTAGACATCGAGGAAACCCCAAATGTACAAGATGTTGTGGTGTGAGTTCATTCGGTCACTGCATATCAGCGTGATAGGTTTAGCCCGACCTGAAACCTCAACGCAGCTTCTCCAAGATCGGGCTAGCGAAACTAGGGGAGAGCCCGCAGAGCTTGGCAGACATTTCAAGTCAACGTGAATTTTCATCTTGGCGTGCCCTAGATCATACTATCCTCGCCACTACGTATGTCGGGCTATCTGCCGGTTTAATGAATGCATTTTGCTATATAGGTATTATCGAAGTTGACAAAGGTGTTGGGTCTCACATCTGGTTACTGATGGGTAGTCGAAATATGATATTCGATGACGGGGTACTGTTTTTGGTGAAGATTGGCGTCAACGTGCGAGTGAATAGTAGCTCACATGCCTATAAACGTTAGTATAGAAAATGCCATTGGCCTTACTGCCTGGAAGACGTACCGTCTCGACTGCTGTGGAATTAAGACCTCGCTGCAACATTTCCACCGCCAGCTGCACGGCCATTGAAACCGTGACAGGGTTATCCAATGTCCTCGCAGACAGGATCATGAGACGAAGAATGAAGTCGAGGTTATCTTGTTGCGAGAGATTTTCCTCTTCGGGATCCAAGTCTTCCAGAAGGACCTGAGATACCATGTAGATGGAAAATGTTAGAATTGAATTCTTGAGGTTCTCGTCAATGTCGGACATCATTCGGAAGATGGCGAGTATCTCTTCCGCTGCACAGACCAGCCGGGCTCTGCTACGGCGTATCATGTTCTCAGGCAGATCGAAAACCTTCATTTTAGAAATCGCTGCCCTATGCAGGCAGATGAGCGACATGTGAATAATGATGTTAACAAAAATCGCGTTTCGGCATCTTATCTGCTTTGGGAGTTTGATGTCATCAGGCAGCGCTTGGAGCAAAAGGACCAGGTTATTGTCGATTTCACGATGACGCTTCCAATACATGCTAGTCCTTAAATCTCTAGGGTTATCATCCAATGCTGCAGGATCCGACTGTAGGAAAGCTTGATGGAACAGTGATGCGGCCAAGGCACGTCTAGCGAAAGGAGAAAAATCTTGTCCCTCTGGCTGAAAAGTGCTCGTCCATAGGCTCGTAATCTTTTCGACGCCTGTCTCAAAAGCTGCCTCAGACGCAGGAAGCCGTGCAAATACCTACAAAAATGGTATAAGTCTGCTGATAGTCATTCAGGCCTCCACTATGGATTATTCATGACTCACTTCTTGCTCGTTAATCAAGACCGGCAAGCCTGTGCTGCCACCTACCAGTCTATCAGAACAGTAAAGCGCCCACCATGTCCTACGTCTCTCTTCTGCTTCTAACCAGGATTGAGGCGGCGGCATCAAGTATATAGTTTCCAGATCGTCTGCATCAACCCGATGAAGACCGAGCATCTGGGCGATTCTGATAGCTCGACAAATGCTCATCGAGGATCGTGAGAAAAGCAAATAATGGGCTTCAAAATAACACATTAAGCACCACGTCTGTGCGTGCGCTAGTGTTATAATGTCCTTCAACCGGTTAATTGCGGCTTGTCAAGAGGAATTGCGAAAGTGACTCTGTTTACCTTGATCTCATCAGCTGCCGCGTATGCTCTAGCTCGTTGATAGAACGGCAATGCTAAATGGCGGTGAGTTTTGCCCATTTCAGCTCCCCACGCCATCACAATGTACTGGAGGCACATTGGGGGTCGTATGTGGGGTGGTAACTGTAGGGACATCGTGTAACTGGCTCGATGAAGCATGGGCGCAACATGGTGCCATTTGTCGAAATATGAATCGGTGCTGGTTGCAAATGAGTAAGTGTGAGTGAAGAGAGTTGGCGATGGGGATCTCACAGATACTCTAACACCTCTGGAGAAAGTCGTTGCTCAGTTGTTCCTGTCGATAACAACTCAGCCGACGGAGTACCAACCGCAGGTGCATCTGCATTAAAAGCAGTTGCGCTAGAAGTAGGCCCAGTTATGGCCGACAGAAGTGGAGAATCTCCAACCGAGAATCCTGTGCTTTGACCGGCAGCGTAGTGATCCATAATCTCACTGTCATCTAGAGGCTTATTCGCCTGCCTAGCCAGACTCTCGAGCTGGTCTGCAATCTATCATCAGCAAAGACGTTTACTTAATGAGAAATCAATTCGGAGTCCGAATTGCACTTGTTTACTAACCCAACTTGACTTCAAGTTCGCGAACCCGTTTTCTCCTGCCGACATTTGTCCTCCTTGAGTGGGGATAGTCACAGCTCTCGCTGCGCCTGGCACAGCGGCCGCAACAAGGCTTCATGCGGTCGCATTTCAGTTTCATTGAACGACACTTAGTGCAGGAGAATAGCGCGGCTTCTTCGTTCTGTGATGCCATGCTGGGTAATGTAGGCGAGGTTGGTGTTCTCCAAGACTAGGAGAGAAGTTGTTGGCTATTTGGAGTCCATAATGTGTATGCTTACAAATCATCCTGGCGGCTGTTACGTGATATCATCACGTGACATAACTCTAAATTCCGCTATTGCTCACTTATTTCATATCAGTCTGTCGCACTTAGCGTGCTTAAAGGGTTAAAGTAAAGTGTGTTGAGCAGCAGCAAATGTGTTGATTGATTCTTCTTGAGTTATCTCTTGTGCGGGGTATTCCATCCCGCACAGTTACTTAAAGCATATAGTTAGATATAATGGAAGCCTTATTATTGAAGCTATAATACTTAAAGAAAACACAATTTCAATTTACTTAATCTAGAAATCCAGTAGGGTACAACCAATCATCGGGTGACTAGACCATCCTTGACATATCCATTGATTAGTTGTTGATCGGGAATGTGCTCTCAGTTACTGAGCCAGAGCTAGTGTCAATGGTGACTTGAACGCCGGGCAGAGCCTTGGCTTCGTTGTAAGACCATTGCTGAACACCTATTGAAAGCGGTCAATACTGCGTCCTGTCGCTTAAACAACCAGATGGACTCACTGTTGGGGCCTTGAGCTCCAATAGTACACTTAGCACCCTTATCAAGAGCTTCAAAGTACTTGTATGTAACAAGGTTGGGTCGCGCCTCCTCAAGAATTACCATGAAGTGATAGTACTGGTCTCTGTCTTGGTAGCGTGAGACATACCACTCAATGCAGAGGGAGCGTGATGGAGCCTGGCCTATGATCTCGTAATAGATACCCTGAGGGGTGTCCTTGTAGATGTACAGGTCGCACCAGAAGGGGAAGAGCGTATAAGGAGGAATGTCGCTGCTTCGATATGGCAGGGGCTGATAGTTATAAATTCTGTTACCTGTATCGAGACTGAGGAGGCCATTGATAGACACTTGGACATTGGTGGAGGAATGACCAAAGATGGTGACAGAGAACGAGCTGACAATTGGGTACACAATATCATCGTAGTTGTCTGCAGCACCTCCGAGACTACCCACAATAGGGATGGGATTCCTAAGAGCCTGTAACTTTATCAGCATCTACGCGGAGCGCGTGTATATACAGCAAGACTCACCACTTTGTTTGGCAGTTTGGGCTTGTTGGCCTCTTCAAGCTGGAGCTTGACTCGTTCAAGTTCAGCTTCTGCAACTCGTTTGGCCTCCTCCTCAGCCTGAAGCCTTGATTGCACTTCAGCATCATGAGCAGTGGCAGCATCAACCTTGGCTTGCAGGTCTCGAATAGACTCATCAGAGAGACGCTTAGCCTCGTTGGCCGCCTCAAGTCGCTGGTGGTCCTCCAGATCGTGAGCACTCAGCTGATCAATCTTGTCTTGGAGAGCCTTTTGAGTTGCCTGAGTGGAATCCTGGAGCTCCTGGAGCAGCTTGATCTTCTGGTCTCGTTCCTCTTGAGCACCAGCCAGACTAGCGTCAAGGGTGCTGATGGCACTGTCTTTCTGAGCGATGGCCTGGTTGGCAGCTTCCAGGCTACTGTTTGCCTGGTTAAGAGACTCGGTAAGACCTGCTGCTTCCTGCTCCTTAGCAGACAGCGCCGCCTTAGTGCTATCAAGAGTAGCAGAGAGTTCAGTATTGACCCTGTTGGCAGTTGCAAGTTGCTCAGTAAGGGCACTTATCTGTGCCTCCTTGGCTTGGCAGTTGTTCTTGCAGGTCTCCATAGCTTCCTGTGCGACACTGAGCTCATGTCGGGTTGATGTGAGCTGCTGAATGGTAGCATCTAGCTCAGCTTGCAGGGCAGCCTTCTCCTGAAGTGCCCTCTCAAGTGCATCATGAGCTGAGTCGATGGATTCATGGTCCTCTCTGTCATGCTCAGCCTCACGCTGCTCCCTCTCATAAGCCTCAAGAATAGTCTTGTCAAGCTTGCTCTTGAGACGACTTTCGGCTGTCTTAGACTGACGAAGAGCCTTTTCAGTCTTTCGAAGCTTGTTGGCAAGCTCTTTCTCTGCCTTGAGAGCCATCTCTCGGTTTTTGGCCAGGAGTTGCCCAAGTTCCTTCTTGGCCTTCTCTTGGCCAGCCACCTTGGACTCAAGCTGTTCAATGCTGTGAATCTGAGAATGAAGTTGCTGGCGGAGAAGCGTCATTTCGATAGCATCGTTGCCAATGGTATCTATGGCGGCATGAAGTCGCTGCCTGAGAAGCTCATAGTCCTACTCGAAGGATATTGGTTAATCTTGAGAATGGTAGTTGGGAAAGCTGTAGAGAAACTTGCCTCGTTGAGGTGGGCAGCGCGGTCAATGAAAGCAGACGCCCAAGCTAAGTTCTCGCTGATGTTATCGGCAAATGGGAGTGGCCTTGTGATGCGCTTGATTGCAGGTTCCTCAGTGGGAAGAATGCACTGGAAAGTGACAGCCTCTACATATGGCTCAGACGGGGTAAGGATAGTCCTTTTGCAAGTAAGCATCAAATCCACCGTAAGGAAATCGTCAGTCGTACTGAGAGTGGCATCCTGAGTGCTTGGCCTTTCGATGATGAGGCATCTTGCAATAGAGTGGCTGCGATCAGAGTTGTGTTAAAAGCATAAAGTGGTGATGAGCGTTTAGGTAAATCCTCAATGTATGACTTGGGTTTGGTCTGAGAACGAAAGAAATAGACGAGGAACATGCTGATATTTATAAAAGATATCTAATGAACAAGAGCAGAGCAACAAGGGACGTTTAATCTGTTCTCCCAAACCAATTGTCTGCCAGAATTTCTCTCTCGCTGAAGATATCCTCTTCGTCATTGCAATATGACCATTCACTTGTGATGATCAACAGATGTGGCTGTCGTTAAGCCGGGATGTCCGCACTCTGTAATTGGACGAGCCGTCGTATCGACCGGTTATCTGTATGTTCAGCTTGCAACGGCAATGCCGGAATGACCTGATGTTACATTCAAGACTTTCCACTTTGGCCTCTCCAGGAAGCATGTCAGAGTGAAATAGCGGGATTGGGGTTAGTGTGGTCAGCTAAAAGTGATTTGGCGTCTCCGAAGCTGCTGACGAATCAATAACCCTTTTCTCTGCAGGTTCAGCTTCTGGATCCTGAAGATCTTATCCTCTTTGAGGGCATTTTTGCCCTCGTCTGCTTACGGCCTTCCACATTTCGTCTTGCCATTGGACTATCCCATCGAGTACTAACTGGCGCCAGGTACAACCACCCCGCTTTTATCTCCATGTACCTGGCGTCAGTTAGCACTCGATGGGATAGAGTTACAGAGCATTCATTAGTTTCAAACCAGCGCTTAAAAAACAATTATCTCCAAAATGATAACGTGCATGATAAGCAAGTGAACCACTTTTGCCTCCTACACCTAACTTTCACTTAATCAATTGATTTATTAGCCACCAAGCATGTCAGACCCAAATTATGAGGCTAGAATGCTTCTTGCACTTCAGGCCCTCTAAAATAACCCAAAATTAAGCCTCTGACGTGCTGCAGACATATATAAGGGATTTCCCGGTGATCCGCCGGATCCGATGATCTGCCGGACTCACACCGATATTCACTCCCAACTTCAATCTTTAATAACTCAACAACCATGGCAGCAATCGATAAAGCGCTCGAGTTCCTGAAAACCTCAGGATCTATCAACTATGCTGCTACCGCTAAAAAGTTCGAATGTGACGAGACTACCCTGCGCCGCCGCCATCAGGGCAAACAGAGGGCAAGACGCGATGCCGACTCTTTGTATAAATCTAGTCTTTCAAAACAACAGGAACAAGATCTTGTTACTTATATCCCGTAAACTCTCACTGCGTGGCATTCCGCCAACCCTATCCATGATCCGAAATTTTGCCCAGGACATAGCCAAAATCGAGGTCGGAAAGAACTGGCCATACAGCTTCGTCCAGCGCCATCGCAACGAGATCGATTGTACCTGGTTTGATGGATTTGATATAGCACGAAGAAGAGCCGACAATGCTTCTCGGTATAGAGCATATTTTGATCTAGTAAGAAGACTCGTAGCGCCTTTGGTTCGTTGCTAATCATGGAAGATCCGTGAAAAAATCGACAAATACGACATCTTAGCTCAGAACACGTATAACATGGATGAGAAGGGATTTCTCCTGGGCGTAATCAACCGAACGAAGAGAGTATTTGATGTCAATGCTAAAAGGCAAGGCAAATTGCTCGGTGCTTCCCAGGATGGGAACCGATCGTGGATCACATTCCTGGCGTGCATCTGCCAAGACATGACATCGCTACCCCCATTCCTCATCTACCAGGGCAAGCCGGGACAAGTTCAGGGCACTTGGCTCACTGACTTTGATCCGGAGCATCAATCAGCCTTCTTTTCCACGTCCGAAACTGGCTGGACGAGTCACGAACTGGGGAAAGAGTGGCTGATTGGTGTTTTCGACCGCTTTACCAAGGCGAAAGCAAGAAATGGGCGCGATTACCGCCTTCTCATCACCGATGGACACTCTAGCCACATCAATATGGACTTCTTGGACTGGTGCGACGCGCATCGGATCATCGTTGCGGTGTTCCCACCTCACTCTACTCACCGGCTGCAACCCTTGGACGTCTCGCTTTTCGGGCCCTTATCAACAGCCTATACCAACCGACTTGTTCAGTGGACTTCAAAGACGCAAGGCCTCACTGGGCTATCCAAACGCGAGTTTTGGGTCATGTTCTGGGGTGCATTGGAAGCTTCTTTCACTCCGGAGAACATCGCCAGTGGGTGGAGACGGACGGGTCTCAAGCCTTTCGATCCGGACGTCGTCCTATCTCAGGTTTCGAAGAATACGGACGATGACTCAGATGTGGAAAGTGGCTTGGATGACTCCATTGCTTTACAAGAACCTACTGCACGAGAATTACGGCGACTTGTTGATCATGTCGTGAAGCAATCCTCAGTCAGCTCTGACACAGGCGCCCGAAAGCTAAAGAGAACCCTTGAAAGCCTTCAGGCTGAGGTTTAACTACTCAGGCATGAGAACCAAGGCCTCCGTGAGACAATTATCCGTGAAAAACAGCGCAGGCAGCGTGGTAAAGCCCTGAAAGACTATATCTTTGATCGTGTAGATCCTAATTCAGCTCAGGTGTTTAGCCCACAAAAGATCGCCCAAGCTCGCCAGAAGAAAGTTGAAATGGAGGCGCAGAAGGAAGAGGAGGCTCTCCAGAAGAGAACTGAAAAGGCTCTGCGGCAGAAAAGAGTAGAGGAGCAAAAGCAACAGGTATTAGAGAGGAAGAGGCAGCGGGAGGAGAAAAAGGAAAGAAAACGGGGGGAAAAAGAAACAAAGCAGCTTGAGAGAGAAGCAAACCGGCAGCTTCGGATTGAGATGAAGAAGCAGAATCAGCGGAGTATACAACCGAAGCATCAGGCACGGCAGAATGGCTCAGATGGTCTCCAAGAGAATGGGGGCATTCGGGACGAAATCATCGTCGTTCTTCCCACAATCACCCAGCCCCCCGTATTATTCAAGCCACCCAACGAAGCATTAAGTACCCCAAATACAAAGGCATCGACGCCACCCAGCCATAAAACTCGGCCTAAAAGGCCTTCTTTAGTTGTCGAGAGCGGTCGGGAGGTAGTGGTGGCATATCGGGACTCGGGGCGATCGCAGCGGAACAGGAAACGACCGCGATGGCTTGATGACTTCGAAGTTAATTGAAATAAGTCTTAAGGAAATAATTATATCATCTTCGTAGTTTTAGCGCATTTTGAAAAGTGCTTGTTGAGCTATGCTAGATTGAAGTCGCCCGTGTAAGTTGGCAATAATCCGGCAGATCACCGGATCCGGCGGGTCACCGGGAAATCCCTTAAGGTTAATCGCATAACCTTACGTCGCCGGCAGCAAGGCATCCAATCTCGATGCAATACTATCCTGAATTCACGCCGACTATCTGATCTAGAAGAACAGATTATAGTTCAATTCATTCTTGACCTAGATTCGCGAGGATTTCCTCCCCGACTGCGCGCTGTTGAAGAACAGGGCTCCTAATAGTCCAGACCGTTTGGACTATTAGTCCCGACTGCAATCCAAGATCAATAATCAATCCACGACTGGCGTTCATGGATCGATGACTAGGATGATGCATCCCTTGAAACGAGCCTTATTGATCTGGATCGCACCAGTAAATTGATCAGAAACATCCAAAAACAAGCGGTTGGCACAGCAACAATCATGGGCACCCTGGTTTTGTAACGCCATGCCAACAACCTAGCGTACTTAGCGTCCACACCGGGCATCTGTATTCCCTGCCCTGATCTGCAGTCTGGACTAATAGTCTAAATGGTCTGCACTATTAGGAGCCCTGTGAGGGGTTGCTGAAGTCGCTTACCCCGCACACCCTATCAATATCAAGTCGTACTAGGGCAGACCGGCCCGCTCCGCGCTGATCGCTTAGAACCAACTCGCGTTATCTATTCACATGTTGCTGCATTGCAGCTGTTGGTAGTAACCGAGCTTCCTGTTTTGCCTCACACAATACGAAGACCCATGAGTTGCTCGTCTACCGCAGCAGCCAAGGCGGATAAAACCGGCAAGATGCGGTATTTTCTCAACCAAGGTTGCCGGAAATGCATTCACTGATTGCTGCCTGATACTCAAACCTGCAGCAACACCAAAACAGTTATGCACGTTGCCGTCCGGACTGCGCTTTGTCTTGGCCGAGCCGAGGGGGCTTACTGGAAGGTTGCAGGGGCAGGTAGTCAACCATGGTACGTTTGAAGGAGGCCCGAGCGGTGATCAGTGATCACATCACTCTCTTTGTGTTATTCAAGACTTGCATTCTGACGGAACATCGGGTTCGTGAAGGGAGACCATTCCGTTGTTATTGCAGCCTGACATTTCTCGGTGTTGTGGATCATTATTGTGGACCTCTCGCTGTGATACAGAGAAAGGATTCAGGCCAGACGCAAGTGGGGCACTCACCACAACCGCGCATCCACGTTTATTACATTAATTTCAAGCAACGCTGTGAACGGCTTATAGTAATTGGATTGACTCCAAATCACGACCACATCCTCAACCTCTCGACCATTCACTCCCTCAAGGGCAGTTTCGGTCATACATGGCCCATACAGCAGGGTGTAATGGGGCCGGCACATCCTTGGCCGCCTTTTCATACAGGTAGCAGTCGTGTGAATAAGACCCCAGGCTGAAGTAGAACAGGACCATGTTGGCGCTGTACGACAGGCACCTGCTGTCAGCCAGACACCTCGCCTCAGGTCGACGCCGATGAAACGCTGGTAGTGGCCCTGGCCCAATCCCAAGACACCGCACTTCTGACCCCCCGACGCGGCCGCGGCCTGGCATTGGGTCAGTGCTGATGAAACTGATGAAATTGCTGATGAGATGCTGGCGGCACAGCTCGTCTGCTCTGCAGCTATGACTGATTCTACAGTACTGGAGCAACGGTCCCCCGCCTCTGCCGACATATTGGCTCTGCCCTGGATAAAACATCCGTCGTTCGCTGGGCAGGAGACCCCTGGTGGGCAACAGCTGTCGCACGTGATTGGCAACGGTTTAAGCCCAGAGGGTCCTTTTCCAACCACTGCAACCTATTAATTGCAAAGACGAGCTTGATTTGGAAATAGGTAGATCTTACCATAGCTGGCGACCCAAAGGGCGGGGAGGAACAGGGAGATGGGGAGTCGCATGTTGGTCAGTAGATCAGTTGGCTGCCAAAGGGTTCCTTTCTCACCTCCCTCTCAGACGAACTTGCATGGTTAGTTCACCTAAATATGGAGTTATCCCCGCGCTCAGCTCGCACTGGAGGCACCTTGCATTGCGCATTCTTCCGTTTTCGGCTTCAGATAGCCGCCGCCTGGTGACTGGAGGAGCTGTTGAAGCCATTGCTTACGACACGACTCGGGCGGGCCATGGAAATCCCGAATTCCACCACTCATGTCATGCGATGCATGCATGGACTGTGGATTCGAGTCCGCCGCTGAGGGCGGCGATATTGTCGGACTGCTGGAGTATCCGAACAGAAGCGCAAGCAGATGGCTGACTGAACAGCTCGATGCGGTATTGCGCGCTTATTGCAATTGCCTTATACGTCAAGATGCATGGATTGCGGAAAGCCGATTGGCTTGTTGAGCGGGAAGACCCGCTCGAGCTTAACGCAGACCTCTCGAAAAGGAAGCGGTAGGCTGGCTGAATATGCAGCGGTTGGCGTCGGGCATTCTAATTGCCGCCAATCCCATATTTCGGATGGATGAAGTCACCGCTTTTCCAGGTTGGGTGGTCGAAGATCGGGTGACCCCCCATCCTGTTGTCCATCGGCTGCAGACCACCAAGCACCAGCTCTGGGTGGGTGGGGATCCGCCGCGGCGCCGCCATGCATCAGCCTCCATCTTACGCTCGTCAGATCCGGTGCGAAAGACTGTGAGTAAGTCTGGCCGTCGGAGAATAGAAGCGGGCCGTCGACCCGATGTGACACGACACGGGCCTTACATCATTATCGATCCTCCCACTTTCACTGAAAGTGGGACGTTTTGCAATACTATTGGCTGGTAATCCCTGTGATAACCCCGCATTCCACTTTCACCTGAAAGAGGACTCTAAGTATATAATTAATTAACCTTAGTTATATATAAAAATAAATAAAATAAAATAAATAAAAAAGTAATAATTTAAATTAAGACTATTATAACCTTAAGGGCAATTTCGGTCAGATATTACAAATTGCCAGGGAGCTAATTGTAAATTCTTTACTGCCTGTCCATATAGTGCACAATAATTATTATAAAACCCAGTCGCCCCGACGGCATATGACAAGCACCTGCTATCAGCTAGACAATTCTGCTTGCAGCTTGTCGGGTCGGTGCTACGGCTTAGCTGGTAATATTGACTGTTCCCGCCTGGGACGCGGCACCGCAGACCCGCAGACGCGACCGCGCCCTGGCACTGGGCCAGTGCTGATGCATATGATGCTATAGCTGATGAGATTCTGCCTGTGCAGCTGGTCTGTTGTGCCGAGACTTGCGCAGCACAGTTTGCTTGCTGCGTCGAGAGTTGCGAAGCACAGTTTGCTTGCTGCGTTGAGAGTTGCGAAGCACAGTTTGCTTGCTGCGTTGAGAGTTGCGCAGCACAGTTTGCTTGCTGCGTCGAGAGACTGCGCTGACATATTGCGAGATCTGTTCGACACTTTTGAAGATCTCGATCGCACTGCGTCGGTCCCGCAGAAGCCATAGGAACGATCGCTAGGCTTTGAGCTTCGCTTTCAAGCAGATTCATCTCACAGCGACCGGATCGCTCCGATTGGCGCGGCGGTTCCCAGAATGAGTCAACACATTCTTCCATGCTACCGCAACGGTTTGCACATTCGGCAGGGGTACTGGTAAACTCCACTGAACCTGGAGCAATAACCACATCGCAGTAGACTCGGTAGTCTTTGCCTTGAAAAGTAACGATTTTCTTGTCTGAGGATGGGCAGCAGCCAGCATATGTGCCTGTGGTGCTGCATGATTGGGCACTGATGAGAGCGGGGAGGAAAGCCAAGCAGGCTAGATAAACAATCAATAGGGAGCGAGACATTTTCTCAGATGGAGATGGTGGTTGATGAAGAAGTTCTTGCAGATAAAAGATATATCAAATCTTTTACTCTCTTGAATGGAGGGTAGAATATATATTTCATGTCACTACTTACATATCTAATCACCAGCAGTAATTCCGAGGTCTTAGTGAAAACATGTTTTCTGACCCCTAGCGTTGTATCGGACATGCCGGTGTAAACATTTGACGATGCAATCAGGTGGCCATGGGTATTCAGCTGGATGTCCTTGAAGATCATGTCCAAAACGGTGCTTTGCACGGCTAATATGCAGACCGATATGATCAATCACATCAATATTATGCATGTATTGCCAATGGTCATACGTCGCTGTGCGTATCGCCCGTAACACACCGAATCCTCACAAGGTGCAGAAAATCTCGGTGAACCATCTGTAAAATGACACTGTAGCACGGAGCATCAGCTCCTGGCTTTCAAAAAGTCATTCTCATCTGGGCGCACTGCATGGACACGGTGGCTGGCTGGACTGCACCGTACTGACTCTTTCGGCATCTATCATCTCATGACTTCCATTCTCTTCTCAGCTATAGGCTGCAATTGCAGCTGAGGCCCATTAATCCCTGTTGCTGCTGGTGATACGGTCCATAACCGATACTCAGCATTCGTACAGGATGTACTACACATTCGCTCTGAGATTAAATACAGCTCTTCAACTCTCATTCCAATAGCTGTACATCCTGATCATCACATATCTTCGTTGACCCCCGTCTTTTTATTTTTATTGCAGTGTTACTTTCCACGTAGCTATGGCAAAATACTACAACTGGGCCGTTTTTCTTGCCTTGTTTGCTGTTTCAGCTCATGGTCAAGAGAGCCCAAACCAAGAACCGCTTTCACTAGAGGTGGAACCCATTCCCCTACAGAAAGCAGCCAATAATGCCAATGGCCAAATGACCATTGATGATATTGTTCCTTCTCAGGACTCCAAAGGACAGATTAAATGTTGTCCATTGGGAACCATCTTCAACGGCACTGCCTGTACTTTCAAGATAACTACTACTGTCTGCCCTCCCAACACCAAACTCAAAGCTGGTGCTTGTATTTCTGATAAAGAGCCCGAGTGCCCTGAGGGTACAGTTCTACAGGACGAGAAATGTATCTCAACTGTAGACCCGGTTTGTCAGGATGGGGCGCGCTTTGATGGCAGCAATTGTATTTCTATACAGCTTCCCTCCTGCGACACAAACTTCAAATTCAACGGTATCTCTTGTATCTCTACCGAGAAGCAGGTCTGTCCAGAAGGGTTTACTGATGTTGCAAACATCTGTATATCTAATATACCACCGACATGCCCCAGTGGTGAAAGATTAGATGGAGGATCTTGCACCTATTCCCAGCCACCGTCATGTCTCTCTCATATGACGCTTGAAGACGGCCTCTGCATATCCAAGCAACCTCCCTCTTGCAATGAGGGCTTTGAGTTCAACGGCAAGAGCTGTATTTATGGACAGAATCCTTCGTGTCCGTCTGGAACAACATTCAGTGGACGTGTCTGTATCTCTGCGACACCACCTGAATGCAAAGTCGGTCATTACAATGGCTGGGCTTGCCAAGCTCCTGAGTCTCCTCAATGTGTCCGAGGCTCCAAGCTGGTAGATGGTGTTTGTGTGATGGAGTCTCAAGATGAGAGGTGTCGACCGGGTTTTACGTATAACGGCCACGCATGCGCATCTAACAAACCGCCGGGTTGTCCGTCAGATGCCGTGCTATCAAAGGGGGTCTGTGCCCTCAAAGAGAAACCAGCATGTGCGCAGGGTACATTCAATGGCACTGTCTGCGTTGTGCCTGAGCCTCCCACATGCCCCCAAGGCTCTATTTTCTCAGATGACTCCTGCATTTCCACGATACCGCCGACCTGTCCCGTCAACATGATTCTCCGTGGGGACTCTTGCATACAGACGAGTAACCCTGTGTGTGCTCCAGGCTCGGTGTGCAAGGGTGATGTTTGCATTACGACTAGTACTCCAACATGTGCCGTTGGGGCATTCAAGGATGGTAAATGCATTTCTGCCTCAGGACCAGCTTGTCCAGGCCAGGCCGTCTTTGATGGTACAAACTGTATCTCCCAAAGTAGTCCAGGCTGCCAACCAGGATTTGCATTTAATGGAACAGCTTGCATCTCACACAGCTCGCCAGTGTGCCTAGAAGGCGATGTCTTTGATGGTAAAATCTGCCTTCACAGCCAACAGCCTGTATGCCCTCCAGGGACTCATATCCAAGGCAATGGCTGTGCCACTCAAGTGGGACCCAATTGCCCGGAAGGCTTTGTCTTCTCTTCTGAGGGTTGCATTGCAGGTACATTACCCGAATGCCCAGCCGCTGCGACCTTAAAGGGGGGTAAGTGCATCTCTGAACAGCCACCCGCCTGTCTGCCTGGCACACAGCTTATTGACGGCGGCACCTGCGTTGCGATTAATGGCCCGACATGTCCTCCTGGCAGTGAGCTGCGACCAGAAGGTTGTGTTACCATCACTGCTCCTTCATGTCCACATGGAACCACGCTGAAGGACAACAAATGTGCCTCTGATAATGCACCCACTTGTCGTCTCCCGCTTGTTGTCTCTGGTGATAAGTGCATATATCCTAACCTACCTAAATGCCCAGCTGGCACAGTCCTCTCTAATGACAAGTGTAGCTTGGCGCTAACAACTGGATGCTATAATATCCAGTTTTGCCCTTGAGGCTATCTGGTGGGTGTCGAGAGGAGCATGTTTCTGAAATCATGTCTTGAACATCGAGAAACTGAGATGAACTGTTAGTGGTTGGGAGGGCAGAAGCAGATACACAGTAATCTACAGTTTCATGAGTTCGAGGACTCCAAAATGGCTCAATATACTGCTTTTCATACACCGACACCTTTCTTCGAGAGGACATAATGTATCTTTTTATACTATAACTATATGGTAGGTTATTTTTCGCTGCACCGTGCAGTGGTGCACTTACTTGTCTAGTGCACTTGCTTATTATCCACGTTAACGTATATGATAAGCTGGTGCACCAAACAAGCTCGTGCACCAAAAATCTCAACCCCTCAAACTTATTATTATAATAAAAACACCATAAACTATCTAGTTAATTAAAATTACTTACTGTACTCTTCCCCAGAAGTCTCAATCACTACCTGACAGGTCCTTGCATTATGCCCGACCTTGCTGCATACACCACAGCGCCGAACCCCCGGTCGCGCTGACCTTCCTTGACTACTACTTTTCGACGATTCGGCTACTACCTGCGTATCAACATCCATTTAATCAATTACTTGCGATGCTTCCTCTACAGTCATAGCCCCTCCCTTCTGTAATCTAGTCCTTTTTGCCCTATGCCGCCGGCTTAGTATCGCATTCGATATCAGTCATGCGTTGAGGGATAAATGATGGGTTTAGGTTGTCGGTTTTCGGTTGTGTTTGGAAGGGCTCAGCCAATCAGACCGCGAATAAAACGAACAGTCTCCACCCAGCGTGCGATCCCTGCTCAATAGATGGTGAACGATAAGACATGATAAGATAAGGGGAAAACCCGAAGAAGGTAATAAAATATTAATCCGGGCTAATCTGGACAGATGCAACCCTTATCCTTGGAGAAAGCGCCTCTTCATTTCCTTCACGTTTTAGAATCATTCTTGTCCAATGAAAATCCTAGATTGAGGTACCGAAAGTTTCGTTTCTGTATCTTCAGCAGTGGCGAAACTTTCTGTCAGATCAGCCAACACAACCCAAGCTCCGCTGTTGCGGTCAGGAGTTCCGATATCGCGACACTGGGATATTGATAGCATCTGGCTGGGAGCAACAGGCCTCCAGACGATTCGGCCGCCCACTGTCTTTCGGCTTTCTTTTCTTCCATCTCCTAATCTCAACCTTTCCACTGAGCAGGTGATCCGACCTCATTGACTTCAACTAGCGAGGACAAGGCACATCCTTCTTGACACGTTCAACGTACGATGTGTTCGCTTCTCCGCGTTCCTCTTTTTCCCTCATGCTGCTCCAATTTTGAGCACCTCGACAATCAAGAATGCACTGTCTCTTGAACGGCAGAAAGACCTTTATGATCGAATCATTATTCTAGCGGCCTGCGAAACGATTCCGGGTCCGGCCTTGCAGGAGATGCCCCAAACATTTGAAATAGCATATGCGAAATCTCGTTCGTTTCAGGAGAAACCGGGTAATAATCGGTGGAGAGCAGAGGATGAGAGTCGATCTTTACACCTACAATATGCGATTCCGACCCAGTATTTGATGCCTTTCTGGCAGTCAGTCCTCAAAAATGCCAACTCATTTCAAGTTTTGAATCAATCAGGGGAACCAGTTCCATACTTCAAAAACCCTCGACTGCTTTTCCAGTCCCACGATCTCAAAAATGCCTTCAGTCGCGAAACTCTCCAAGAAACCCTAAGCCTTTTCCAAGAGACGGTACTTCAATCCTTGGACCCTGCGCATCTGGATATCCGCTCGTGCTGGTTGGATATCGGTTTCAGGGATCATGCCGCCTGCCCTGGTCCTCGGGCTCCCTCAGGGTCAGGGTCAGAGTCAGAGCCTTTCACTCTCCTATGGAAGAGCCGATGCCACCACCACCTTCACGAGAAGCTCTGTCGAGTCAATCCTAGCACTCCGTTTGCTGCTACCTACTTCCAAGGGTTTCTTCTCCGAGACATTGGTGACTATCAGTCCAAGGCGACATCTAACGGAGCCTCGAACCCGGGTCGGCGCGAGCAACGAGACCCCGGCATCATCCGCTTTAAGGCATATAACTGCATCAAAGAGCAAGTCTCTGTTATGTTCAACAGCTACAATATCTTTGGGTCGGGGTTTCTTCCACTTCTCGCTCTCAATGAAGACATGATTAAGGGTCTTTCGTCTACCAGCGGGGGTGGCCAGGATACTCCTGTAACTCAGATGAGTCGTAGCTCCTTATTGAAAGCCTGGAAAGCCAACAAGCGTCACGTTAGAGCCATTTCAGATACGAAAAGTCGAGCAGGCTATGGTATCAGGAAAGAGATGACTTTTCGTCTCGACATAATCCTTACCATGTGGGATCGCGGCTACTTTGATCCCAGCCTGAATCCCCACGTCGGTCGACTTTCATGGAACGCGTCACCCACGCCTAGCACCGCTGAGCATTGTCCTTTCTGGATAGTCCCAACTAGGGATATCAACTGTCTTATATTCACTCAGGCGGCACGGTACATTGTTCCCCTCGATTACCTGTTTCTGCAGGCTTCTCGAAGCTCCGCCCACTCCTCGCCTCAACAAATTCTTGCTTTATACACTGCTCAGCTGTTTTGTCGACTTCTCATGTATTGTCTCAATGCCGAGCAACGTTTCCTATATGATAACTGGATTTGGCAATCACGATGGACAGTACAAAATGGGCAAAAAAAGAGGGTCACGACTAGAGCGACGCGGTCTTGGACTCGATGATTCAGTGACCATGTCGGGGATGCCGTGGATTCCCCAACATTGTATGGACTGGAATGGTGGACACATCGCCCTAGAGACTCTTGTTCATACCTACCTACCCCGGAATCCTGTTCATAACCGTTTCATCCACCAGCCAAATGTCCAGTTCTTTACCACAAACAAAGTCTCTGTTGAGCACTGTCTACAACAGTGGGTCAAAGAGGCTCGACTTGAATTCGACCGTGGGCATAGCCAAAAGGCCGTAGAGCTAGTCGAAAGTATCACGCATCTAGCTGTTGAAGAAGTCGCTCGGGCTTATCATCTACATATGCTCTCAAAGATGCAACAGTACTGGAGTCGAGTTCTACCGCAGAAAAAGCCCAACGCACTTCCTTGCATTCGTCGTTTGAGACAAAGTCAAGAGGAATCAGTCGCCCAAGTGGGCCACATCGTAACTGCTCAGACTATATGGGAAATCTATGACGAAGCTTGGGATATATATAGCGATGTTCTCCTAGGTTCGCCATCCGAACAGACACCGGAAGAAATACCTTGTTGGAAGGCAGCACGTAAGCTTCTGCCGCCCGAGGACGCTTGGTCCGAGTTCGTATTTCGGCGCCTTTTCGGCCGCCCAGATCAACCAACCTGGAATGGCCTTGGCTTTCTAAAGCTATACCGAAGATTCATGGAGATTTGGGAGGTAATTCAGGAGTACGCGGGACCCTTTGATACCCGATTCCGTCGTATGATTGGGAATTTCATTCTGGTTACCTTCAACAGTGATCGAACTAAGGAGATTGGGACGAATTGCAGTTCGGGAACCTGGTACACGGATCAGCCATCGTTTTTCAGAATACAGTTCTGGGCTCCGTATTTCTCGCCACCAAAGAGTAATATGGGATGCTCCTGGGCCTCGGTAGATGATTATCAATGCCGCAATCCCCTCATATCGCCAGTTACCGTCTCCCTGATCTTGAGCGATGAGCAGTTTCAGAGCCGTGCCAATCATTTTCAGCAGTTATGGTCACGATTTGTCCTTAACAAAGAGGACCCGCATCAGATGAGACCCAAATCAAGAAACCGCAGATGCCAAGAAGCGTTGCAATGCCTCGTAGACCTCACAGGCCCCCGATGGGCACAGGGTGGCGATGATTTGGCATATGCCTTGCCCTGGAGATTCTATCCCCCGAGGATGGGAGACGAGTACGAAGACCCATTCCGCATCCCTATCTCATCAACGTCCGCCCGTTTCGAGTACAAACCGTGCAGACCCACCAGACATGGCTATATGAATATTCAAATAAGGCCTTATATGAATATGCATGAATATATTCACATTCATATCCATATAATATATGAATATAATATGTATTTGCGTATCCATATTCATGCATATTCATATAAGGGAGGGGTTCCTGATTGGCTCAAATTAGATCTAATCTCTGTAGATGATTGGTACTAGTCACATCCAGTCTCATTAGCTTAAGCTACAGGTCTCGACGCAGCCATTAGGTATTTAGAGAGCTACCACCACTCTGTCACAATTTCTGATGGATCTGGATCATAGGGATAGAACCTCTTGATTTTTCCATCTAATGAGTGGAAATAGGTCGATTTCTTTACACCTAAGACGAATTGGGCCTCCAGGGCCCTTGTGTTGAAGAACTCGCTTTTTGGGAGACATAGGTGATACCAACCTCTGACGGGAAGTCCGGACTTCCGGACTGCCGGTCTGAGCAGCCTGTTTGAACAGCTGGAAGACTTTCCTTCCAGTTTGACCAAATGTATCACCTTTGGTCTGCTGGATGTGACAAACTACAAATACACTTCATGCCAGCACCAATCTCTCTACCCGAAAATCTCTTGATTACATCTTAAAGAAAACTCTCCAGTTGTCGCATACCATGCAGTAACGTACTGCTTATTAGCATCTATGGCTTCTCAGGCTTCTGAGATATCAGCCTCAGGGACTAACAACGCTTCTATAGGCTCGTTTGCATCGAAACTTTCATGGAATTTCAATGCTTTTTTCTACATAGATTATCCTGAAAAACATCTCCAAGCTGAGCTTGGCCCGAAGCGCAGAAAGACCAAGGGACACCGTGCTTACGTTTGTCTTCACTGTCAGAATCCTCCATGGTCAAATCGAGTGCCTGGCAACGCTATACACCATGCAGAAACGGCTCACCGAGCCCTTATAAGAGCAAGCGAGGCTGCTAACGATACTCCTAGTACATTTGCCTCGGGTGTTTTATCTGGCGCTATCGAGTCGTATATCGTCTCTCGTCCTTCGCAGGCTGCTCTCCGCAACTGTTTTAATAAGCAAGCCTATATTGAGGCAGTTGTGGGACTTCTAACAAGGCGCAGGCTGCCCTTTTCGGCAGTTGAGCACTCCGAACTGCGAGATCTGGCTCTGGCATGTAATCCAGCCATTGGGGACCTTCTTATCAACGATCGAAAGCAGGCTATGGGCTATATTAACTCGAACTACTCGTTATACAGCTCACAACTTGCCGAGAGGCTTCAAACAACGCAGTCGAAGATACACATATCTTCTGATCTCTGGACATCGCCACATCGCCATGGCGTACTCGCTATATGCGTTCAGTGGGTCGATGAGGACTTGAAGCTTCAGAAAGCACTACTAGGACTGCCAGAGTGCAAATACAGCCATTCTGGTGCTACGCAGGCTGAGTTGATCGCCGGTACGCTACGGAAGTTCAACATTACTGCTCAAAGCCTCGGCTACTATATAGGCGATAATGCTACATCAAACGACACCTGTTTAGAGGAGCTATCAAAGGTTTTGGAGGCGGAATCAGGTGTAAGTTACTCTTGGCCGCTAATAGTGCTGTAGCCTATACTAAGTTATAGTATAGGCTGAGTACCCTCACAAACGCCGCAGAATCCGCTGCATCGGCCATATTATCAATCTCGCCTTACAAGCATTCCTTCTCGCTCGCTCAAAAGAAGCTCTTAGAGCGGCTCTAGAAGCTACTGCCGATGAGCCCGGTTCAACTATGCTTGAGGAGTTCTCGCAGCAATTACATGAGCTGGATCCGGCGGAGATTGCGGCACATTCGGACACCACGACGCATCAAGAACAACGGCAGGAGGAGCGGCAGGAGCAGCCCACGAGAAAACCTACACACGCGAGAGGCAAGCGAGCCGCAACTACGCATCAGCAAGCCAGCAACGTCGATGAGCGCTTCGCTGGCTGGCAAGGCATTCCAGCGCTAGCAAAGCTTCATGCTCTTGCAGTCTATATACGGAGCTCGGCTCTACACAACGATCAGTGGTACGATGCTGTAGGTAAGCAACTAGGCATCGATAATATCACGAGGTGGTCCTCATGGCATAGAGTGATCACTGTTGCGTTAAAGAAAAAGCCACAGATCATCCAGTTTACTGCTGAACATGATAATGATCTCGAAGGCAATACTCTTAGCAGTAGGGATTGGGAAATGCTAGAAAGAACGCTAGAGTTCCTTCAACCTTTCTATGAGGCCACGTTGGAAGCTGAAGGCGCTATGGCATCAATCTCACAGTCACTTGAGCTGCTGGACCTTCTCCTAGGACACTGCGAAAAGTGGAAGGTACATGGCTAAATTTTACATCTTCCTGCTCTATCTATAGCGTATACGGCATGTTAATCAGCTAACTAGGCCCACTACTCGCAGCCGAGCAATCGCGATGATCGTATAATTCACTCTATCGATATGTGCTGGTTCATACTCGATAAGTATTACACTATGACCGAGGATGTCCCCGTATATGCCGCCGCCCTCCTTCTCGATCCTTCTAAACGCAAGAGCTATATCGAAGAATGTTGGCCCGAGGAATGGCACGAGGGCGCGTTTGCCGCCGCCCGTAGTCTCTGGAAGGAAGAATACGATTACGATGTCGAGATACATCTCTCAGAGCAGTCCTTGGCTGTGCCTGCATTATTAAAGCGAAAGAAGGATACGATGCTCTCAAAGATGCGCTTAGAGGTGCGAAATAAGACGATGGCGAGAGCACGGGGCAAGGATGATTTCGATAGCTTTATCTCAGAGGCTCCTATCGCACTTGCAGAGGATACTACGCCCCTTCAATGGTGGTGTAGTGAGGACGTTCGTACAGCGTATCCACGGCTTAGCCGCATGGCTATCGATATCCTGTCTGTACCAGCAGAATCAGCAGAGCCAGAGCGGACCTTTTCAGGGGCTAGGCGCACAGCTAGGTGGGATAGGCTACGATTGTTGATTGAGAGCATTGAGAAGATTGAATGTATCGGCAACTGGCTGCGAGAGGGACATATTAGACCGTCAGCTGAGGGCGGGATAGGCCTCCCGTGTGATCCAGAGGCTATAGAGGGTGATATCAAATAGCGAACAGGCCAAACGGGAGCCTTGGAGAAGTTTTCGGGCTATATAACTACACCAATCGATTCCTCTCACTTCACTGCAGTAATTAGCTTGGCATCACGTGAGCCCTTATATGAATATGCATGAATATGTTGTATGAATATGTGTTTTGGTACATAAGTTGAATATAATATGAATATAAGAAAATCGGTGTGAATATTCATATAGCCATGTATGAGCAGCAGCATCGAAAGAGCTATACTGATCGAGAGGCAGAGACAGAGGCGGATTCAGACACCGATTTCGATAGCGATATCAATAGCGATGTCGCTGCGCTTGATCAAGCCGTCTGCCGCTTCTGCATCAGTAGCATCAAGCAGAAGCTGGGCCGGAAGCAATACCACAACCCGCTGCTGCACTTCACGGCCGTGCTGGGCATCAAGGAGGACGGCAACTGGGTCCCGGCGCACTCGCACACCCGCTTTCTGGCTGGCTTCTTGTGGTGCGGCCGGGTGCTGATGCTGGAGCACTTCTTCGAGGATGACCCGTACGACTCGGAGGATTCGGCGTGCGAGACGAGCTTCGCCGCGATTGAACGCTTCCACAAGGGTCATCACGAATGGCTCACAAGCGGCTCGTACTCGCCGTTCGGCACGATCATCCGGTGGATGACATACGGCCGAGGGTACCGCAATCACGAGGAGGGGCAGGCACGGCTGTGGTGGGACAGCGACGGCAAGACGGTTAACTATCTGGGCGAGAGCATCACCGTGGCCGGCTTCCAGTCGACGGCTCAGGCGGTGCTGCAGGAGGCTGAAGACTGGCTAACCGATAGGCCGTTGGTAGTTTGGGCCAAACTACCAACCTTCGAAAACGGCACGGGCCAATTGCGATGCGGGGAAACCCTACTGTACCAAGGACTGCGTGTAATTTTATTAAACTACACACTTTTCGTCCGTGCGCCTTCCCCCACCATCATTACTTTCATGAAATTACATCATTTTTATCCGTGCACGTTGCTTGGTTTTGGAGTGCCCCACCGCCGCTGCCCCTGTCAGGGGCTCAATAGCAACAAACCATCGAGGCAAGTCTTTTCTCATCCTAACTCTCCATGTTCGGTACTAGTATATCAAGCTGACTGATTCAGTTATTCGTTTCGTTGTACTGAAAAACCCGGATATGGAATTATTGCGCAATCTTAAACTTTTTATCGACTACGAGGCACATGCAGTTATCTGCTGCCGACAGGAATGCCAATCTGCCCTACTACAATGATTACCGCGAACATTGCGACGCAATGCACATATTCTGGTCCGTGCACGCTAGACGTCTCTCCAATTTCCCCAGAGTTGCTTCGTAATACATTCTTTTCGTCCGTGCACGCTTTCAGGGTTCGCGGAGCTACGGTGGAACCCCACATCAGGTTGAGTTATCACTGACTCTGTATGACTGCATTCAGTCCAAGATCCTTGATCCACCCTTTCTGTGCCATGTGGTTTTGGGGTAGCGGTGACCCAACCACCAACAATAAAGTCCACAAGCGAAAGGAAAAGAATAAGACAAAAGTCTCCATGGCTATGTAGAACGAGAGCTAATAACTGGAGAATATCGGTATTTATTATTATGGACAGGTACCAAATGGCCTATTATTAGACGGGCTGTTTGGACAAAATAGGCTGACACTTTCAGATACAGCTTATCATATCGCATCCCGTATATAATGTCCCAAATAGGCCATGTTACCGATACTTTGGCATTATCTGCTACATATGACAATATTCTCCTAGATTCACCTGGCAGGGAGTAGGCTACTCTAGAATACTAGCCAGGAACCAATGGTAAAGCGCTTATGGTTATGAATGAAACGTGTAAGTACGCCTTTATCCTCAAAGTGTAAGTTGTTTGATAAGCGAGCGCCTCACTGCAATAATGTCTTGATGAGATGTTAAATGAGGTTATATGATTTCAAGCGATCTAAATGTGAACATGAAAATGTTGACCTGCTCGAGTCACCCTATTAACTAATGATCAAATCAACTCTGCTACAGCTGATTTTATTAACCCACCTTAACCCTAGTAGGGTTGATTATTGCCAGGGTGTAGGGTTGATTTGACAGGGGTGCAGATGATCTATCTCACAGCGACACTGCCGCCGGCAGATGAACCAGCTTTCTTCAGCCTGACCAACGCACGGCATGAAGACGTTGCTATAATCCGGGCAAGGGCAACACGCGGCAATATAGCTTACAGTATTAAGTCAGTCCCGGCCTCAACCGTTGAGGAAGCAGTTACTGCCATCGTCAAACAGGCAAAAATGACGATCAATCAGAAGCTGGAAGAGTACCCATGGCCGGCCAAGATTATTGCCTACTGCCAGCGAGTAGAGGCAACAGAACATCTGGCCGCAAAGCAAGGTTGCGATGCTTACCATCGAGAGATTGACACACGGGATGGGAAGGCAGAAAGGCTCAAGTTTTGGATGAGTGGCACAAAGCGTGAGCAATACGGAGACGGGCGAGTGATCGTGGCGACGAACGCGCTTGGTCTTGGCATTGATGTACCTGATATCCGAGCGGTGGTACACGTAGAGATGCCGTGTAGGATGGCCGACTATGCGCAGCAGAGCGGGCGCGCAGGTCGAGATGGACAACGCAGTGAGGCTATAGTTATCCGGCTGGATGTGCAAGGTAGTTCTAGGAGGCCACGGCCGCTGGTGTCTGAGCATGCCGCTACGGATAGCTACATCAGCGGCGAAGTATGCCGGCGCGTGGTACTTGATTCTGTTATGGATGGACGAAATGATCGAGAGGGCTGTGAAGAGGGCGAAGAGCTATGTGATGTCTGTCAATGCCGCGTGGACGAGGAAAATAGAGAGAACGAAGGCGGTATGGTAGAAGATAGAGAGGAAGGTGATATGCGGCAACGGGAGCTAGAGGTGGAACATGCTCGGTATCGTGCTGTGACCCTGGTAGCCCAAGAGCATCAAGACTTTTTGGACTACAAAAAGAAGCTCGCAGCTCGAGTCCTTGAGGGTTGCCCATTCTGCAAATGGCAGGGTTCAGGTGATGACAGGACGCACTCGGGGTTACGTTGCGATAAAGCGATCGAAATAGGTGGGCAGGTACAGGAGGCATATGAGCTTGCCGTGAGGATGGAAAAGTATATGCGGAGAAGCAATGTAGTAGAGAATTTTGGTTGTTGTTTAGGGTGTTTTGTGCCGCAGGAATTATGTAATGGCTGGGAAGAGAACCGGGCGGAGGGTGGTTGGAAAAGTGTTGCGAATGGCAAGTGCCAGTATGAGGGGGTCATGATATCCATTATTGCCTGGGTATGGATACAGTTACCAAGAGAGAGCGAAGGGCTATATAGTCGGCATGGGTTTTCCTATAGGGATGAGTGGACGGATAAGGAAAGAAAGGAACAGGTTTGGAGATGGATGGGTAGAAGGGTAATTTGGGGAGGTACAGAGGCGTTACAAATGTGTCAAGTTTTCAGTGAGATGATTGGTTAATATAGAGAAGTAATAGAGTCTGATAAAGATCTTATATAGATAATAGTAGAATACTTTCAACTGCCCGAGCTATGAAACTGTCTGTGGCTGTCTGGTGTGCTCTCCATGCCAATGCATAAGCAGATCATACATCAGTGAATGCATTCGCTGAATATTTTCCTGTGCGCATTCGTCATCTAGTAGCTCTGGATGGGTATAATCCAGTAGGCAAATGCGAGTTAGGTTTTCAAGGCCGCCACTAATTATTTAGCTTAACTTAATTCTAATATGTATTTCTACTGTCTAGAGAGCATAATGAATGAAGTTTTATTTTTTTGAATTAATATTGCTGTCGAGGCATGTTATAGTATATTGCGATAGAGTGACTCTCGATCAAGCGTTACATTTCCTATTATGGAGTAGCGTACTTCATCAGTCAAGCGTTACATTTCCTAACATGGCTAGTGCTCCCAGCTTCGCGAAGTTCAGCCGTCTCACACAGTATTGTGTTTACCCTACAATACAATACAATACAATTTATTACGCCCGGCGACCTTCCTTTGTCATCACACTTTCTTGGCATACAAGTGTTAAGAAAGTGGCCCTGTCTACACCTAAATCCTTAACAAGTGCACAACAAACATTCCAATCTGCGCTTTGCGCAGTCGCAAACCGCGGCGATGGCCTCGTCTACGACGATCCCGCCCGCTGCCTTGGATCCCTTCGATCTGGGGATCCACACTCCCGTCAACCTGAACCGGGGAGCCCGTGCAGCCCTCTTGCAGAACAGTCCGGCAGCCGTCAACGGCACCATTGGTGTTTCACCCGGTCCCAGGCGGATGGCTCAGACACCATCCTCACCACTCAACCCCGCCACCATCGCCGCAGTTACGGAAGGAGCTGAGCGTGCCAGTCCCGCATCCATTTTTGAACAACGACCGATCTCTATCGTTGAATCAGCCAACGATCTCGCGCGAGAATACGTGGAAGAGTACAACATCAAGCTGGGGGTTTTCCAGGCCTTTTGTGCCAAATTTGAAGAAGCGGCCCAGCAATTCGTCACCGGACCGCAACGACGTTTCGCTCAGCAATTTGCCGATGATTTCCTCGGCTTTTGGAAACGAGAGCTCTCCTGCTCCGGACCTGCGACCCCAAAGCCTACATACAGCAGCGTCGCTGCTGCCGCGCCTCCCACTGACCATGACCGTCTGACCCACAGACAACAACAACAACATGGACGCCGACAAACAGATCCACCTCATCGCCAAGGGCAACAGACGACTATCGCCCCACCCCGACAAGACCTCCGTGTCTTCATCCGTCTAGAAGCCGGAGCTCCGGCCAGGGCCCACAGTAGCTATGCCATCCGGACTCTGATCCGGGAAAAACTCGGCGCCGTCTCGGACAAAATTCGACAGGTGTTCCCGGTCAGATCGGGATGGGCCGTCCTGGCCGCCGACTCTGTCACACGCGACTTTCTGGTAGATAAACAAGCTGAGTGGGCCGCTGAACTGGGAGCTACAGCAGTAGAAACGAACAAGGAATGGTTCACCTATGTGGTCTCAGACGTTCCCGCAAGGCTGACTGACTTTTACGGTAATGAGGTGGATAGTGACAGCGTCGTTAGCGACGAGATAGAAGTCCAGACTGGGATCAAGCCCATTGATGTACGTACCGGAAGACAATTCTCGGATAACCCCTTGACCAAGGCCCTGCTCGTGTCCTTTCTGAAGCCCACAAAGAGATTCTGGTCTCTTTTCGGCAGCAGCGCAGCCAGGCTTGTTGACAAAACCGACCGACCCAGACAGTGTGAGACGTGCTGGGGCTACCACTTTGCCCGCAACTGTCACAGACAGCCAGTTTGCCGACGCTGTGGTGAGACTGGCCATCTTGTAGACGATTGCATCGCACGAGAACAGTGCATCAACTGCTTAGGCCCCCACCAGGCCAACTTCCGTAGGTGCCCAGCTCGGCCAAAGACAGTGCACGGCGTGCTCCGCCGACTCACTAAAGAGCAACGAAAGCATGTCCGGACCGTAGGTGCGGAGACATACCGACAACGACATCGAGAACGGCATCTGGAATCGCATCAGGAAACGCAGCAGGGCATGGCTGAGCGACGAAGCGTGGATGTCACATCACAAGAACAGCCTAACCATCGTGCTCCCAGCCCAGCTGTATCAGGAGCACCCTCGTGCATCATGGTGGCCACGACCCCTCATGCTGGCTATGAAGCAGAGGAAGAACCCGAACAGCCCAGACCAGGCTCACCGCGAAAGCGCCGAATCGTACTCATCACTCGTCCTCATGACCGGGAATAGATATTCTCAAACACGAAAGAACGACAGGAAGCCGCTCAAGATCTTCCAGGCCAACGTCGGCAAGATCCCTCCGGCCCACGACTGCGCCCTGGCGCTGGCCGACTCGGAACGATATGACATTGTGCTCTTGCAAGAGCCGTGGACGGCTCACACAGAGACCCGCTGTCTAACCAAGACTCACCCTGCATACGACACATTCACGCCGGTCGACATGTGGAATAGCAACGATACTCGGCCTAGAGTGATGACATATGTCCGGCGAGACCCCAGACTCCTTGCCGACCAAATTCGGCCCTTCCAGACCCGAGACATTCTCTGGCTCGCGATCAACGGCATGACCATAGTCAACTTCTATCGTCAGAACGACGAGAGGGACGCCCTAGACACGCTATTTCAATGGTCTGTCCCGGAACGTTGCCTCGTAGCTGGCGATTTCAATGCCAGACATCGTAGCTGGCAAACAGGCCAAACTACGAACCGGGGGCAAGAGATAGCAGGATGGGTGTCTGAGAATGACCTCAGCCTTCTCAACACTTTAGATATCCCAACAAACCCGTACGGCAACACAATCGATCTTGCCTTTACTAACCTACCACTTGCTGAAGCTATCGTCGAGGACCATCTCGCCACCAGCTCTGACCACTTCACGCTCAGCCTGACCTTCCCAGACGTCAGATCGACTCCGGTGCAGCCAGGCAAGATTCGAGTGACGACGGAAGACGAGCTTAAACGATTCGTCGAGATCGTAGAGCTTGGCGCTACAGGAATCCCCCTCACAGATTCGACCCCCGAGGAGCTGGACGAGCTTGCGTCTTCACTCGTGAGTCTACTAACATCAGCAGCAAAAGCGTCTGGGAGGCCCGCGCGGAAAGGCGGACGCCCGGCTCCCTGGTGGACGGAGGAGTGCGCCGACGCCGCGGCTGCTTTTCGAGCCATCAGAAGAAGCTACCCACTCGGCTTCAACCAGGACGTTCAGATCGCCAAAAGAGGCTTTCATCGTGTGGTCCGTCGGGCCAAGAGGCGCTATTGGCGTAACCTCATCGATGGCTTCTCCAGCAGTAGCGACGTTTTCAAAGCTGTCCGGTGGCTAAAGTCCCCAGGAGCCTTCCAGCCGCCACCTCTACAGGTCGATAACGTCGTGTACGAAAGCCAGATGGATAAAGCCAACGCACTCCGACAGGCCACGCTTGAACGAAGAACTGCGGAGGACGACATCGCAAACGCATGGACGCCAGTATTCCCACCTAGATCGATCCCATTCTCTCCCGAAATCTCTCTGGAGGAGGCGCAATATGCGACTTGTCACACAGGCAATACATCCCCAGGGTCAGACAACATCACAGTCAAACTTCTTGAAGCAGTATGGCATACCATCGGTACACACGTCCGGCGTCTCTTCGAAAGATGCCTTACCATAGGCCATCATCCAAAACCATTCAAGGAGGCGGAGGTGGTCATGATCGCGAAACCGGGACGGAGAGACCTTACCGAACCACGAGCATGGCGACCCATCTCACTGCTCTCCTGTCTTGGTAAGGGACTAGAACGACTGATCGCGCGCCGCCTAGCCTGGGCAGCCGTTCACTACAGCGTCCTTCATCCGCAGCAAGCTGGGGCGCTCCCCAAGAGGTCGGCAACAGACTTGGTAACTGCTCTGGTCCATGATATTGAAGAAGCGTTTGCACGCAAGAAGGTGGCGACTCTAGTCACAATGGACGTCCAAGGTGCTTTCGACACCGTCATGCGCAACAGGCTCGTCCTGCGTCTTCGTGAGCAAGGCTGGCCTAATCATCTGGCTCGCTGGGCCGGCTCCTTCATGGGCGGCCGGTCGGCGCGTGTCAGGTACCAAGACACAGTCACGCCCTCTTCTCCCCTTCAGTGCGGCCTCCCTCAGGGGTCGCCGGTATCGCCAATCCTCTTTCTGCTCTACACTGAGCCAATCTATCGATTAGGGAACCCTCAGGGTCGCTTCGGCTATGCAGACGACACGGCCATCCTGTCCATAGGCGACACAGTAGACGAGACTTCTGCCATGGCATCTAGTTCCATCGCCGAGATGGTGCGATGGGGCGCGGAGAATGGCGTGTCCTTCGACACGAAGAAGACCGAAGTCATGCATTTCTCCCGCAGCAAACTCAGGACTGCGCCGGCAGTGCGCCACGGCGATGTCGAGAAATACCCTGAACCAGCTCTACGCTGGCTTGGTATCTGGTTGGATAGCAGACTATCTTTTCGACTTCATGTCGAAAAGTGGGCGGCCAAAGCAAAGGCAGTGGCTTATCATTTGCGGGGGCTCACCAACACGGTACACGGCCCTCTACCGAGCGCCGTGCGAGGCGCCGTCAGAGCATGTGTCGAGCCAGTGCTGCTCCACGGCTCAGAGGCGTGGTACCCGGGCAAGACCAGGCCGCGGTGGACCCATCCTACGAAAGATCTACCATCGAGTAACCAGCATCTCGTGCAAATAATGACAAAAGCCATGAAACAGGCTATGAAGGCCATTCTTCCCGTCTGGAAGACGACACCCATCACCGTCCTCCACAGAGAAAGCGGGATACCACCAGTCGATCAATTGCTTGACGCGAGGCGACTTAGGTTCTCCGCACGACTCAAATCGCTGGATGAGGCTCATCCTCTGGCGATCCGAACGCGCCCGCCCCGACAGCCTACTTACCACGACCTCATCAAACGAAGATATCAAATACAGGCAGAGAGCAGCTTCAGGACGCGCCTTCGACGTGCAAACGAACTCTTTGCACCCTGCACGCGGCCGAAACTCGTCTATCGATGCTTCCATCAAGAACAGTTGCCCCCACTGCAGACAGCGTCTAAAGAGAAATCGGCTGACGCCTTTTCCCGCTGGGTCGAGTCTCTCGACCCGCTCACCTTGGTCGTATACTCGGATGGCTCTCTTTCCTCAGAAGGGGCTGCCAGCTATGGCTTCACCATCCATCAGAACAATATCCCCATCTTTGACGGATCAGGTCGCCTCGGACCTGCTGAGGTTTTCGATGCTGAAGCTACCGGGGCTTTAGAGGGCCTGAAGGCTGCTCTAAACCTGCGAGAATTAGCAACACAGAATATATTCATCTGCCTAGATAACCTGGCAGCCGCCACGTGTCTACGAGGCACTCCTTCTGAATCCTCTCAAAACGTCTTTCTCGAGTTCCAAGCTCTGACGACATCGCATGGAGCCATCCAAGTTCGCTGGGTGCCAGGGCACTCCAACATCCCTGGCAACGAACAGGCCGACAAGCTGGCAAAGGCAGCGTCATCGCTCCCCGAGCCCGAAGGCGCTCAACCGACGCTGGCTTACCTACGAAGAATCGCAAGACAGAAGCCGAAAGAAGCGTTCCAGGCGTGGTGGTCCACCTCCGCTCCTGAGCAGTACAAAAGACTCAATCTCAAGGCGACTACAGGCTGTCCGCCGGAGCTGTCGCTCCCGCGTGCAGCCTTGCACCATCTGCTGGCAGCAAGGTCGCTTCATGGGGACTTCGCCGCATATCACGAGAGATTCGACCATAGTGATGCACGCCTGGTCTGCTCATGCAACCGACGCAAAGCACCGGACCACATCTTCTACTGCAGAAAGGTACCGCCGCGTCATCGGATGAGGTTGGCACCCTCACCGAATGCAGCAGTCAACCTGGCAACAGGAAGAGACTTCACCAAGTTCACCGAACTGTCTAAAGCCAGCGTTTTCTTTGGAAAGATCTGTCCTCGTTATTAGACGAGCACGACCCGGGACGCACTCGCATCCTTCCTCCCCTCTTTTACCCTTATACATTTCCTTTTTCTTACCTTTCTCTCTTACCTGTTCTCGGCCAGATGAAGGGCGCTAGCACGCCCTCTATCTGATCGTGACCACTTGAAGGCAGCCCTGAGGCTACCGCGCCCAGAGGCTCACGATCGCCTAACAACGGGCTTACCTTGCGGCTGTCGTTCATCAGCCGCGCCTGATCATCCCGCTGACGGGTAACAGGCTAGATAAGATGCGCCATTTGTGCCGTTGATATGCTGGATAGTGTGAGGTCTATCGACGCGTCTGCAGAATTGGAATTCGAGAGGAAGTCATAGTATTCTGTAATTAGTGTGTAGATAGGTCCCAATTTCTCTAGCTCAGCACGTCCTGTGCTCCATTAGGAGACTTTCGGGGCCTACGGCCCCCCGGACGAAAAATATACATAACATAACATAACATAACATATTACGCCCGGCGGCCTGTTCTGACCGAAAGGGCACTAGTCGCTAATGCTTACATACAACGCCTGCTTTTCGTCCTCGTTTCCCCAAGCCCATGCTGTGCCACACATTGCTCAATTTGTGTCCGCATTTTCCTAAAGCCCCATACTGAACCTTGGTTTTACACCATCAATCTGAAATTCGTGTCCTCAAGCCCATACAGCGCCTGCTCCTTGATTACTCTTTTCCTTTCTGTTCTGCTGTTCCTTGCTTCTCCCATGTTTTAGTAGCATTACCGGCGAACTAGCTTGAAGGCTGTTCTTCAAGTGTCCAGCGTCCTATCTACGGCGGCTGAAGCGGCGTCCGCCTCTGTGGCACAGGGTGTTTAGTATAGGGTGTGAGTGGGTTAGTAAGAGTAAGTAGGTGAGGTTCTTGCAATCTGGCTTCAATATTGTGTGTCGAGTCGTCCTGTGGCTATTGCAAATCGTATAGTTGCGTGGACTGCCTGCATGTTTGGCGTCCACTTGGCGTCATCTGATGGTGACTTTCCTCCTAGGTAGAACGAGAGGTTCCCTCTCAATGTCTCGGTGCACTGCAGCATCTCAGTCCTGTGCGCTGTCCATTTCCTGCATCGAAAGAGAAAGTGCTCTACTGTCTCTATCGCTTGTCCGCATGCGCATTGCTGTGACGTTGCTATGCTGATCCGGAAGAGGTATCCATTTAATCTAGCCATGCCTGTCCTAAGTTGTGCTAGCACGCTGGCTTCTCTCCGTGACAAGCCATCGTAGAGCAATCGAGTGTGCTTACCCGGGAGCGCAGCATCAACCTTCTTCGAAAACTTCCCAACATTGTCTGGTAGCCGTTTGCTTGAACGCTGGCTCGATCGGGCTATATTCAGGGTCGTCGATCGCATTCGGGGAAACTTCTGAGCCGGGACGGCACCGTCTTGGCTCGCACTTCGCGCCTCTTTCTTAGCCATTTTCAGGAGCCTGTGTTCAGCACTGATGGGCATCCATACGACAGCCACCACGTTTCCCTTGACCCTCAATACATTGATGGAATCATATATGCATCCAACATACTCTTGGCCCGACTGCTGGCGAGGGTTTCGGACCGTGAGCACGGCGGCTTTGTTGCTCGCCAACAGTGCCACGCTTCGATACTCAAGGTCGGGTAAGTGTCTCAACGTGTAAGCCATCGCTGCTAGTTGTCCGGAAAATGGGTTCTGCTCCGTCCTCATGCCGAGCGTGAAGGAAAAGCGCTCAAGCTTCGGTCGTCCTCGCACCGAGGCAGGGATCTCGATGACCCCGCCGACTCCGACTACCCCATTCCGCGCCGAACTGCTCACTGCAGCCCGTACCGCCCATCCTAGATCTGCTTGCATTGTCCCTAAACTATCCCCATCATCTACTATAGTCTGCACCCGTTCTACCCAGGCGTTTACCCTACAGTACAGACAAAATGTGGGGGCCAGCCTCCTATCTCCTGCCACTCAATGTCCTGACACGCTAGCACCCCTTTTTGCAATTCACAGTTAGCTGGTAGACAATACATTCCGAGCCAATCTCCTGTGCGATTAATCGACAATTCATTTCTCTTATTTCTTCGCCAAGCCAAGACATGATGACCACACGTCCGCCCCTCCGCCTGCATTTTTACCATCTCAGCCCAGCAAGGGAAGGCGCGAGAAGAGACAGTGTCTAGACACGCCACCTGACACGCAGGATGAGAGGTCAACTATCGAATGCTCTCCCAGCCCCGTCGCCATTGTTAAGACACGCAATGGAAAAATATCAGCAGTCAATTGCATCCGACAGAAATCGTGATATTAGCCAGGACTGGCAGGCTACTAATACCCAAAGACCGTTTCAGCCAGAGCTTGTACGCGCTAAAATTGTCAGGGTAATGGAATCTGTTCCATTCAATGAAGACCAGGGGGTTTACACAGCTCGAAATCCTCTTATTTATCGGGTACGCAGCCTTATTCGCACTCAAGCTGTAGGATGTTCGCTTTGCGCTTTCTATGAGTGGGGTCCAATCGTCGAAACACATAAGCTCAAACGCTGTTCACATCGAGACGCCCTGGTCTTGACGGACGAGAAGGATACAAGAACGAAAACGCGACAGCAACACATGGGGAGACGTTTTTTGGTACTTGCATACAGCTAGTTAGAAAATTCTGCCCGTCTGAACAGCCCTTTGATGACCGTGCATCTTATCTCACTATGGGGCTGTTATCGATAAGCATTCGGTAAGAAGGGCTACCATTCCGCCTTGGGTTAATGTGCCATTACAGACGCGTCGCCCTTAAATGTTCCAGGGTGCTGGACCTGCTTAATTTTATCCAGGACCCAGTCTAACGTTTCTGAGGAAAGGCCCTTCCGATTCGCAACGATAATTCAGGACTACACCCATGGTCGATATGGCTACCTGCAATTGCTTCTGCAGCCTTACTGATGGCGTTAAGTCACGTGTAGCACGCGTGTTTGGGAGGACTGAGCCTCGTTGACCCCGCACGATGGTTAGGCCGCCGTTGTCAATGAACCTGAAGGTGAACATAGTGATCAGTTCCAATGGCAGAAGCGCTCGGCGTCGCGTCGAGCGTTATCGCTGTGGTTGATCTGTCGGCCAAGGTAATCAGCTGGTGCGTACGATACGCCCAGGATGTATCGCACGCCAAAGAGGACAAGAAGAGGCTGACAGAAGAGCTCACGCGTCTGAACCTAGCATCAGTGAACGCTCGCAACCTGTTGGATGGGCCGCATGGCTCAAGACTCAAAGCATCTCATGCGCTCCTTCTGGCAACAGTCGACAGCCAATCTGAGCTTGAGCGTATCGTGAGGCAGTTTGCCGAGAGAAATGGGCAGGGTAGAGTTAGCTTTGAGGCTTTGAACTGGCCATTCACGAGCAAGAATCTTCAGTCAGTAATCCGGGATCTGCAGCGGTGTACCGAAGCTATTTATACAGCCTTGGAAGTCGACCAGACGTGGGTATTCTCATGCCGGTTTATGATGGATCTACCTAACGAGGTCTTCCAGCTCGATCCTTCTCGACGTCGACCACCGAACGGCTCTTGATCAGCTATGTATAGCGAAAGGTGCCTCTTTCGATTCGTACGCCGAAGAGCACAACCCGACATGCTTGCAAAACACTAGAGTGGAGCTGCTCGAGGATGTTTACCGTTGGATCGATGATTCCGACTTGAAAACAATATTTTGGCTGAACGGCATGGCTGGGACTGGAAAGTCGACTATTGCACGCACCGTCGCTCAAATCCGGCGCCACCGCGGTGATCTTGGCGCTAGTTTCTTCTTCAAGAGAGGAGAGACTGACCGAGGTACCCTGGCCAAATTTGTGCCTACCCTAGCCCGCCAGCTGGCCTGGAGCATACCGGGAGTTGCACCGTTCATCAAGAATGCAGTCGATGCTGATCCAGCGGTCGCTGACAAGGCCGTGAGAGAACAGTTCGAAAAGCTCATTCAAGAACCACTGTCAAAAGCAACGGCAACATCATCAACCCCACCGTCAGTCGTAATAGTCATTGATGCTTTAGACGAGTGCGAGCGAGAGGCCGATATCAGATTGCTGATCAACATTCTCTCACAAACTCGAATTTTCCGTCCACGTCTCCGAATTTTCTTAACAAGCAGGCCGGAACTTCCAGTTCGGCTGGGGTTCAGCGAGGCCCAAGACACCTACCAAGACTTAGTTCTTCACAAAATTCCAGCGCAAATCGTTAAGCATGATATATTTGCCTTTTTGGACGATGAATTCAGGAAGATCCGACATGATTTCAACATGACCGTGGGGGATGAGCGAATGCTACCATCCGATTGGCCAGGGCATCAAACGTTACAAGACCTCACACGGATGGCTGTACCGCTCTTCATTTTCGCGGCGACCGTTTGTCGGTTCATCAGCGATCGTAGGTGGAATCCTCAAACACAGTTGCGAAAGGTTTTGAACCAAGGGAACCAAAGTCATGGGTCTCACCTTGACCAGACCTATGGGCCCGTCTTACGCTCCCAAATCGCCGACGTCTCAAAAGACGACAGAGAGCAAATCATCAAAAGTTTCAGAGCAATCGTTGGCAGTATCGTTACCTTTGCAAGTCCTTTGTCTGTAACGAGCCTATCACGACTGCTCAACGTCTCCCCTGACGTAGTGGATGAAAGGTTAGATGCACTCCATTCTGTCTTGAGCATCCCGCTCAAACGGACAGTGTCCGTGCGGTTACTGCATCTGTCATTTCGAGATTATCTTGTCACCGAGAAAAGCGAGTTCTGGGTGGATGAGAGACTCACCCACCGAAACTTGGCAAAACACTGTTTACGACTTATGCGCGGTGCTCTGCGTGAGAATATATGCGGCCTGTCTTTCCCAGGTATGCGTCGATCTGTGGCGGACGGTGCACAACTCGAGAAACGCATACCTCCAGAACTTCAATATGCATGTATGTACTGGGTCTATCATCAGATGAGGGTCAATTTTGAGCCAAATGACACACAAGACGTTTACGAGTTCCTAACGACACACTTTCTTCATTGGATGGAGACGCTGAGCTTGATGGGCCGAGCTGGTGAAGGTCTCGACTCAGTTAGGTCGTTGATGGATCAGCTAGAGGTAAGCTTCCTCCACAGGTTGAAGCCTGATCACCGCTAACTCTTGTCAGAACCGAGGAGATTCGAGCCTGTTTGATTTCCTGGTCGATGCAGTTAGGTTCGTTCAGGCGAGTTTCTCTGTGATCAATGAAGCACCGTTGCAGATCTATTCTTCTGCCCTTGTTTTCGCTCCGAAGAGGAGCATCATCAGAAAGACATTCGAAAGTCGTATCCCAGAATGGTTAAGTGTTTGGCCACAGGCCCGAGAAGACTGGGATGCGTGCTTATTGACGCTAGAGGGCCATAACGATGGGGTCACGTCGGTGGTGTTCTCACACGACTCGACGATGTTGGCATCGGCCTCTCGCGATAAGACGGTACGGATCTGGAACCCAAAGACGGGGAAGTGCGAACGCGTGCTGCAGGGTCATGGCCATGAGGTCATGTCTGTGGTGTTCTCACACGACTCGACGATGGTGGCATCGGCCTCTCGCGATAAGACGGTACGGATCTGGAACCCAAAGACGGGGAAGTGCGAACACGTGCTGCAGGGTCATGGCCACGGGGTCACGTCAGTGGTGTTCTCACACAACTCGACGATGGTGGCATCGGCCTCTTGGGACAAGACGATCCGGATATGGGATACAAGGACGGGGAAGTGCGAACATATGATGGAGGGCCATAGTGACTGGGTCTGGTCGGTAGTGTTTTCACACGACTCGATGATGGTGGCATCGGCTTCTGGTGACAATACAGTCCGGATCTGGGATACAAGGGCGGGAAAGTGTGATCCTGTGCTGGCGGGCCATAGCTCGTATATCAATTCGGTGGTATTCTCACATGATTCGACGATGGTGGCATCGGCCTCTGGTGACAAGACAGTCCGGATCTGGGATACAAGGACAGGAAAGTGTGAGCATGTGCTGGCGGGCCATAGCGATGGGATCTGGTCGGCGGTATTCTCACACGACTCGACGACGGTGGCATCGGCCTCTGGCGACAAGACGATCCGGATCTGGAATCCAAGGACGGGGAAGTGTAAACGTGTGCTGGCGGGTCATAGCGGCGAGGTCAACTCGGTAGTATTCTCACATGACTCTATAATGGTGGCATCGGCCTCTGGTGACAATACAGTCCGGATCTGGGACCCAAAGACGGGAAAGTGTGAGCGTGTGCTGGAGGGTCATAGCGACGAGGTCGTATCAGTGGTTTTCTCACACGACTCGACGACAGTGGCATCGGCCTCTTGGGACAAGACGATCCGGATCTGGGATCTAAGGACGAGGAAGTGCGAACATGTAATGGAGGGCCATAGTGACGCGGTCAACTCGGTAGTATTCTCACACGACTCAACAATGGTGGCATCGGCCTCTGGAGACAAGACGGTACGGGTATGGGACCTACAAACGGGGGCATGTAGAGAGGTCCTTTCGTTAGACTCCTACACGGAAGTACTTTCTTTTCTGCCTGATGAGTCTGGCGTTGTCACTGGTAATGGCGTATTTGCTTTACCTGGCGACCTCGTATCTTCCGCGGAGCCTCCCATGTCATCGCAGCCCTTGGTGGTCTCAACACTTGGCTTACAGGACGAGACCTGGGTGACCACGGCAGGAAGGGATTTTCTTTGGCTACCTGCTGATTGTCGCAGTGGAGCAGCAGCTATTTCGGCCGATACAGTTGCGATAGGTTGCCTATCAGGAAGGCTTATAGTATTGGGTTTTCTGGGGCTGAAGTAGCAAAAGCGTAACGCGTATGATAAGCGAGCACCGCACTTTTTCCACCTTTCTTAAGACCTTCTCCTAGTCCTACAGTCCAAAATCAACTCTAGTAGAGTTGATTTTATTGACCCACTTTAAACCCAGTAGGGTTGATTATTGCCAGGGTGTAGAGTTGATTTGACATTAGTGCTGATCAGAACAACAGGGGTTTATCCAGAGCGCGACGCGTCCTTTCGCGTAAAGTGCTATAGGGGGGTAAATCATACTACTAGATGGTCTCGTTGTTGATCAAAACACAATTGTCATTCACATCTCACTAACAAGGACCCAGTCACTATGACGATTACTACGACGGCCTCGAACTTGCAATCTGAAACATGCAGTGCTATTCATCCCTACGTTCTTCTCTCTACATACCGCCTTCTCGTGTGCCAGGTTTGTGGGTTCGCCTACTCTTCTATTCCTAATTGTCGTGTACCCCTAATTGTCGCGTACCCCTGTTCACTTCTCAAGTGCCTGTCTATCTCCGGTTTATTCCCATATGCCCATACTATGGCGACTTATCTTTCCCGTTTTGATCGACGGCCTGGGGGCGCGTTACTCACACGTGTGAACGCGTACTTGAGCTTTCTTACATCATCGACACTTCCTACTGTAATTTTCATCCGAGATTTATTTTAGCGGCCCGTACAAGCTGATGCTTTACAACGACTAGCAGAATATAACCGCCTTTCACGATGGAATTTGAAGGTCTCTTTTACTACGACCCTCTTTGCGTATTATTGTTTCAAAATAGTGTGGTGTAATACTGCAAAATAATATTGATTAGCATATCTGATAACACTAGAACTCAATGCGTGCCTTTTACGTCGCTGCTATTAAGCTATTTGAGCGAAGTTTTGACCATCTACCTCTTATACGAGACGCGGATGAGATGTTCAGGAGGGTGCGACCGCTGCCGATCGCCCATCCGATTCAGTTCCTTAGTGTTTTCCATGATGGAATTTGCTGTCTACTTTGTCAAGACGATCGAGACCGGTATATCTGCCGAGGTCGCACAGCAATAGAAGATTATCTTAAAAAAGTTCATAAGCAACCATTACGCTAACCGTAGCGCCGACAAAGGGGAGAGGTTGGAGGAATCAAGGGTTTTGCCCAGGCTGGTCTGGTCAGGACTCCAGTCTCTTATCAAACCCTTTTTTACGGCTCACGATGTAGGTACTTTATCGTTAAGGCCTGCAAAGTTCACGAGGACATGGAGGAAAGCCCATCTGGATTTGATACAGGAAGTAACGCAACTAATATCAGCCCTGTGTTTGCCTAAACTGGACTTGAGGACATCATAAACCTTCAGCTTGCCTAGCAAGAAAATGAAAACTCAGCAATATCAAACCAGACTGGTTTTGATATAAACCTTCTATCTTCTAACCCTAGACATTAATCCCAGTGGCTTCAAGTCACGGAATGGCCCTGCTTCCTAGAGCCCTACAAACAAGAACTGGCTCAGGTCGCCGCTCTGGTTTCACTTCCAAACCTAGCCAAGTCCTATAAGCTAGGCTCCCCAGGCAGTTCTGAAACTTTACTCTCTATTCTTCTCGATTCTCTTTCACGCGTGATCACCTGATTACGGATCTCGCTTTAGGATGGCATATTAAATGCTTTCGACTAATATCGGCTTAACTCTTTTATTGCTAGTCGCTCGTCCTGCAAGCCACTAATCTACAACCTAAGAGAAGATATATATAAAAAATATAGCCGCGTCCTTCAGCATTTAATGCGCTATGTTTTTCGCCTGGCATGGCTAAAGACAAGCCCAAAATTACATTACCGGCTTACTGAGGGGCAGGCTGTAGTGATAGTGGATGCCGTTCGCATAGCGTTAGAAATGAGTGCCGCTAGCGGCGATAGATAGAATCCTGATCACTCTGAGGAACTCAGAAAGAGACTGGACGATAAATGCCTTATTTTGATGGTTTCGCTCCTAGATTATAAGTTATATGGCGATGTTTATGATAGCATTATTGTTAGCTTTCTGGCAGTAATGGGAATTCGCCAAGATGTGACATCTAGCAATACGCAGAAACTGTCAGAGGCTGCTAAGTTTACTCTAAAGTTATCGGCACTCATCAAGATGGGCCAGCTTCTTATTGCTGAAAGGGCGCTTCTCGCTGTTAAACTCAATGAAGCAGACTTCCTGGCTTACATACTAGAAGAAATGCAAGACAGGTTTATGACAAAAGACTTAAGGTCGCCAATAAGCTAGTCACTAAAGCTTCACGCATACGGCAAAGCCATAAAAGATAACACGACGAGCCTTAGCCACATTATGTGGTCGGACGATAACGAGATTCCGAGCTATAAAATAATACGCTTCTTAATAACTGGACTTCATGACCTGGTTTCTGCAGAAGTAGAGGCAGCACAGAACCAGTTAGCAGATTTACTCTTGGGGGCACAGCTTCACACCTTTCCGCGTACAAGGCAGTCCAATCAGTCCAGTCGATACACACCTTCCCGTATGTCTTACACTATAAGAAATACCGCTACAATCCTAACTAGCTACAACCTAATTCAGAATATATCTAACTATATTGCAAGAGTTGAGTTATAAAATATAGGGCTTAATAACCTGCGACATAGAAGCACTATATAGTTCCTGCTGATAAGCAACTGGACAGTCCTTGTGGGCAAAAAGGAGTGTCTTCAGGTTGACTGTCTCTTCTCTGAGATGGGCGATTTGCGCCATCAAGGTATCGTTCTCCGTAGTGAACAACTCAACCTTAGTCTGCAGCTGGGTAAGCCATTGCTTCCTCCTGAGACGACACTTATGGGCAGCGACGCTGGTTCGAGGGAGAGTCAGTAAACTGCCACAATACAGAACAATCAGAGATTGTAAGACATACCGATTGCGTTCGAGAAAGTTCTTTCGCTTCTCTTCGTTTGTCATCTTTGATATGGACACGCTCTCCTCCAGTCCCATTGTGGACCCTTCATCCGAGAAATCCATATCACTGTTGGTAGCAGCGGCATTGGTCTTGGATTTCTTATTAGTGGGAGCCTTGACCGTGGGCTCATCCGCTTTTCGTCGGCCGTTGGTGGGAGAGGGGTTTCTCTTGCCCATGCCTCGCGTATTGAGCCTGACTTGTTCGCTCTCATCAGAGGCTACACTAATCATACTCATGCCGCGAGCAGAGCCAATTGGACCCCAATGTACACTCGACATCTGCTGCGAAGGGTTTATTCTCTGTGGAGCGACGGGAGCAGGGTGAGCGTGACCGGGGACGCCTGAAGTGGCGGCGAACTGGTTCGTACTCTGGGCATCGTTTCCGCCTCGGGCCAACATGCCCTTGTGATGGCAGAGGAGCACCGTTCTAATCACGTTTGGCCGCAGCTAAGAAAACAGCGTAAGGTAAAAAGGAACAGAAAAAGGACACTGAGATAGCCCGTGCCGTGGAATTGCGGCTTGTGCCTGACAAGATGCGAAGGCGTCTCGAAGAGCGACAAAGCGGTTGTCGGCGGGGTTATGTTCACAGGCGAGAATTTATAAAGGGACACTCCTGTCATCAAGCGTCCCGTGGCATTTATGACAGACTGACCAGTGCAGGCTAGCAACTCAAAAACGCTCGGCGAATAGAATCGAGGATGGCAGTAAGGGAACAGAATGGGCAATCATTGGTTGTCGTATGATTTCTTAAATGCGCGATGACATGCTTTGCCCTCACACTTTACCAGCCGAATACCCATTGCCCCTGTCACGCTAAGGTAGCTAACTGTATCCGTATGGTTGCAGGACGTATTACCGAATAAAACCGACTGTCGAATGCCCAATTGTTGGTCAGTGCAAGTGCCCCTGATCGAATTTCAAGTCAAAAGAGGGGTTCAGGCCTTTCGATTGGCTGACTCCTTAGCTTTGTTCGTGGATAAATTCCGAGTTTCAACTGTTTGAACGATCGGAACGCGCCGACGCGTGTACAATATGTATCCAGGCCTTATCCGGTGTACATATTAAGAAATATGGATTCTATAGACTTGGAAAGATTTATTATTATCATTATCTCTAGTTATTTGCAAATATGCATCCTAAAGTAGAGTTGACTAATTTTATCATGAAACGGCCGTACGAGAGCACTCAGACTAACTATAATGCGGCCGGTGAACAGAGCGAGACAACTCCATGGCTCCAGCATCCTGGCTAAACCGAGCTATTCCGTAACAGGCCACTCAACATTATTGCAGTCCGCCAGCGAAGTGGAGGTAGTCTGTTTGGCCAATGATAGGGATTACCTTTATGGAGCTGTGCTGAAACCGAAGCTCAACTACCTGACCGTAGCCTGAATCCACGTGCCAATGCTGGCTTTAAAAAGTTAACAACAGAATACGGAAATGTAACGCGCTGTATCGTCCTGAGCCTGAGCGTAGCGAACACGCAATCCCCAGCCTTACTCTTACTACCCCAACAAAGCATGGCGCCACAGCGCTTTGGCCCTGTGACTAATTGCTTACTCTTAACCGGCTCCTAGTAACTAATGACCAAATCAACTCTAGTAGAGTTGATTTTATTGACCCACTTTAAACCTAGTAGGGTTGATTATTGCCAGGGTATAGAGTTGATTTTACATTATTCCACATACAGGAAGGGTAGTGCTGATCAGAACAGGGGTTTACTATAGAACGCGACGCGTCCTGTCGCGTAAAGTGCTATCAAGTATTATATACTGCTGAATGGTGTCATTATTGATCGAAGTATCATCTTTGTTCAGACCATACTATCAGCAACTAAGTCATTATGACGATCACTATTACGGCTTCTAAATTGCAATCTGAACCATGTAGTGCAATTTATCCCTACGTTCTTCTTTCAACATACCGCCTTGTTGTGTGTCAGGTTTGCGGGTTTGCCTCTGTAGCTGATGAGGTTACTACTCATTTGAAAACACGGCATCGCGATATGCAGCCAGAGCATCGACAGGAGCTGGTAGAGAAGATAAAACTGATCCCAAACATTCTACGCAATCAGGACGAACTGCGTGATTTACGGTACCCAACGGATATAATTGAACCCATTCCGTATCTTGCGCCACCAAAACCAGACGGTTTGAAATGTCGTGCGTGCGGCCACATTGTCCGTCGTATTCAGAAGATCCAAAAGCATTGTGCTGATGAGCATCAATGGACGAACCCAAGAGGCAGGGGAAGACCACCGCCGGATTACCATATGTCCACTTACGAGTCACCATGGGAGGAGGGTGTCGCATGCCAACGCTTCTTCCCTAGCAGGGCGGGCAGCAGATGGTTCCACGTGGATTCCCAGACACGACTACAAAGAGATGTCCACAAGAAAGTGCATACAGATTCGTTCCAATCGCGAGTGGCGCCACAAGAACTCGGCCCGGTCTCATGTTCTCATCTGAGTGAGGTGGTAGAACGTGAAAAGAAGTACTGGGAAACAATGAATCAGCCACGTTTGAGTAGCAAAGACATGGACAGTGGCTCCTTTGCGACTACAAGTATCTGGATGGAGAGAACACAATGGCAAGCTATATACAAGGGTGCAAGGCGCGATATCTTGCGAGCATCGACTCGACTACCTGACCGACGCGCCTTGGCGATAGACTACTTCTTAGGACAAGGAACCCAAGAAAGTTGTTCAGATATAATAAGCTCGAGTGAAGCTGAGCAGAAGATATCTTGCATCTTAGGGGCATTAGACATCGTGGTAGATCGGTGCGAGAACACGATCCGTCGGACGAGTCGTTTTCTTCTATGCTGGCTAAACAGCACGAGGCTTCAGTATTTCCACGAAAGACCGTTCAGCCTGGTGGCGGAGAAAAGTACCGAAAGAAAGTACCGGAATGTTCAGAAACGGCTGTTGGCTTTTGCCTTTCGAACGCATATGATGACGGCTAGAGTCAAGAGAGAGTGTGTGAGGTTTCAGTTGAGCGAAGATCTATCCTCTCAACTTCAAGTCATTTGGGAGCATAAGGTCTGGAAATTGTTTGACTGGTCAAGAGGATCCTGGCCTGTGATACAGGGACGTAGCGACTTCGGCGAAGCCAGCGATGAGGTTTCTGCTCACCGTGATTATGAGTTGCTGCAGGACGAAACTATTTTATTCAATGCGTCACAATCTAAGGATTTTGACGATGAGCCAGGTGAAGAAGAAGTCTATAGTGATGACGAAGACGAAGATACTGATTCGATGTTCGGATACGACGAGGTCGACGGTGACAACTCCGAGGTTGTAGGCAACCAAGCCGAAGTCGATGAGAACCGCCATGCTGACCGAGCTTCGAAGATGCGGGATGAGTCTGACACGGCGATTTTTATTGAGTTTCTCGAACTTTTATATCAGTTGTGTCTCACCATCAGCACTGAAAGTTTCGCCGAAGGCCAACCGAGCTCTACCCTGCTTGTGTTCTTCAGTGGAATCCTTGGTTTCTCCCAAGACTGCAAGCAGTTTTTACTCGCAAGGCAGTTTTGTCCATACTTATCTGGTCTCATTTACATTCAACGTCTATTATTGATGGAATGCGCCCTGCCGTTACGAGAGTATCACAGTGTTGGGATTCCACGACGTCTACATGTGGACCAACTCGACCAGTTGAATTCAATTCGAGAAAAGTATATGATAGCAGGCACGCAATATTCATTTGCTGAAATGGTCAGTCTAAGAGACTTTGGCCGTAATATCGCGCATACCGAACCACCATCCCTCCTATTCAGCTGGAGTGACGATGGAGAAACAATACGCTGTGGTGACTTCCAATTAACGATGGACAAATTCCGTCAGGTCCCAGATTATTTTATTTCGCAGGCGGAAGAGATTTGTGACAAGCTAATGTTTGACCTCAAGCCTGAAATCGACCTAACAACGATAAAGGATGACATGGCTAATTCATCAAGCGGATATTCGTTTGTGAAACACCCTGCAAATGACCTTGATAAAGCGTACTTGGACCTGCTTTATTCAGCATATGCTTCTCGGGAAAGCAAACTCAGTAAATACGGCCGCTGGAGATGGAAATCCATGGACTCATACCTGAAGCAAGTTACGAAGTTGGACGAGATGCTCGCTGGGGGTCTATACACAGCATGTGGTCAAACTCCGCGAGCGCGCGACCTTTTCACCCTAGCATGCGAAAGCGGCCCTTCTACTAGTTGCAGCATCTCTATCTGGAATGGATTAATGGGTTATGTACTGCGGCATCACAAAGCTAAGCGACAAATGGGCCGAGAGTTTTACGTGGTCCGCTTTCTACCATCACGGCTGGCGCATGTTATGTATAAATATCTTGTTTATATCCGACGCTTTGCAGCCCTCTTGAGACGAGAACAACAGATTCAGGCATATCCATACCATTACGAACGGCTACTGTTCCATAGTGGCGGAAAGCCATGGTGCACTTCTCGTCTTACATCGATACTCAAGCAGGCCACTTTGGGTATTTGGCAACGCGAGGTTAACATTCGAATCTTCCGACAGATGGCCATCAGCATTACGGAGAAGCACGTCAGAGAGGTGCATTCACCGCTCAATATCTATGACGATACTACCGCAGACGCTGACCTGAATGCCGTATTCGCCTGGCAAAGCGGACACCGTCCCTTACAGCGAGGGATCACCTATGGACTCGATGGGGCGTTTCCAAATCGGCTTCAGCCAGCGCTTCTTCGCTCTTATGAGTGGGCATCGACTCGTTGGCATGAATTTATTCATCAGCCCAGCAGAGTGTTATCTGCACCACGCGGACGAACTACTTCGCCTTCCAATCCACCGTTAAGCATTGCTACGCTGAAAAGAAGTGTTGCGTGTATGATACAAAGTGATGAGTCACCTGGATATCGCCCTATGTCGGCTAAAAAAAGGAAAAAGTCAGATACGGTGGGGGCATTAAAGAACGCAAGCCGAGCGACTAATTCGGATCAAAGAAGTAAAGAGACGAACTGCGGGCCAAGCATTATTTCTGTGAATTCTCAATTCACACCTCACGACAGTCGGATCATGCGCGATAACCCTCACTTCACATACGAGGAAGAGTACAGGCTTCTTGGTTGCCGCTCATGTGCAACAATGGTCACTCGTCAGCGGATCAAAGATCATCTTCGAAGTCGTCCCCACCATTTGAACAGCAGTGAGATCAAGAAGGTACAGGAGTGGGCATCTCAGCTGGAACTCATCAACGGTAACCGAGAGATTAGTGAATTGCCGTTACTTCCTGATGATACGCCAGCAATTGACGTGTTAGGGCCGCCTAAAACCGGAGGGTTCCGATGTACATTCATAGTGGAGAACGAAGAGGGAAAGTCGATGTGTAGGTTCGTAGGCTCCGATACAAGGAGAATACGGGAACACTCAAAGCATGAACATGGATGGGATCTCGGGCTAAAACCTGGTAAAGCGCCAGCGGCAACTAATAATGGGCATGATGAAAGGCCATGGAGGGGAGGTGTTTTATATCAGCGGTTATTCTTAAAAGGACCAAGGAGCGAGTATTTTGAGGTTCTGAGGGGTACAGTCATTATTGTATAGGCTTCAGGCTATCTGAATATGATTACGGGACTCTTTTATCCTAGTATTATGGATTATGAATGTGAGAAATCGAAGAACGAAGACGGTTAATCATCCGGATTTCAAGTTTTGGTATTTTCAAATCCGCTTTGAGATACCAGTTATTTTGATCTACTTCCTGCAATTAATATCTCGGGCTGCCCCAATGAAAGCCATAAAGCCAACTATAAATCTTGAACCGGTGTCTTCTACTACAAGCCGTGCAAGTATATGGTTACACGCCGAAGAATCCAGGCACATCTTCGCGGTAGACCACATGGACTTGTGAAGAGGGAGATTGATAAAGTCAAGTCATGGGCCGAAGCACTCGACCTTATTGAAAGCGACGAGGAGATATTGGCTCTGCCGCCCATTCCGGACACTAGTCGACCAATCGAAGGACTTGGCAAGCCTAAAAGCGGAGGGTTTCGATGCACCTTCACTACAGAATGCCGGACTGTGAGTGCAAACTCAAGACGAAGAAATGAACACCTCGGGAAAGTGCATGGCGTTGAGCTAGACCTGAAGCCTGGTCCCCGGAAGGCCAGTGCTGTTGAAACAGATGCAGACTCGCCTTACTGGAGAGGTGGTGTGTTCTATCAGCAGCTCTTTGCCAAGGGTCCACGCAGCGAATACTTTGAGGTCGCAAGAGGTCATGATCTAGAAAGTCTAGATGCTGAGCAGGCAAGGGCAGAGTTTGCCGTTCAACAGGCCACACAAGCCTTTCAGGCAAAGTCCAAAGAGGCCCGAAAGAAAGAGATGGAGGTCATCGAAGAGATGGGTGACTTGGCAGCACCCAACTCATGGCTTCGTCGACTAGGATCAACAGCCCACTTGAAAGATTTCAGCGATAAGAAACAATTCCTGAGGGACCTCATCTCGTTGAAGTATGTTCTGAAGCCAGATGACCCCAAGGATGATTCCGAGCTCCGACATATACACGCCGCCGTCAGACGTCTGATTCGAAAAGCTTCTGGTGTGGCCAGGCCTGGTGCAGTCTCCTGGAACGTGTTGTTTGAGGTCAACCGGAAAGAACTGCATAAAGAGCGCAGCACGCCCTTTCACTTCCGGTTCAAGCGCCAGACTCGGAAAAAGTACATCGCCGTCTGTCTTCAATTCTTTGCCTATGCCGTTCGGGCTATATCTTGTGAGAATGCAGCCGATCGACCACCATTCAAGCTTACCGAGGGCCAAACCACTGCTTTCGACATGATGATGGACTATGCTGCGGAACTCATCGATATCGAGAACAAGGTTGAGCCTATGCCGGCATCGTCGCGGATCAACGAGTTACACGAACTCCTCGAGAATGCCGCACTCGTCTTCTACATCTCTGTTCTCGACCACTTCACCAAGGCGACCGAGTACGATAGTATACTCGTTAGCTTCTTGACCGTGCTAAGTATTCGAGATGATAAGACTTGGGAGAATTATGCAAACTTTACCCCTAAACTCTCGGCTATTATGGCCATCTCTCGGGTATTTCTCGTGAAGTATACGGTTGATAAGAGGGCTTTGTATATTCAGCAGAGGGTAGAGCAAGGACAGACCAGACAAGAAGCTGAGGAGAAGAGCCCAGGGCACTTCGAAATCATGTCTGAGATGACACGCCGGTTTCTAGTTGGTGGCGCTGAGGGTTGGGATACCACGCCAACGCAATTCATCATTCGGCTTCGCAATTACGGCATGGCAGCTAGCGGCCAACAGGCAATGACAGGCTCCGTCAGCTGGGACAATGAGGATTTGATTTATAAAGGCATTCGTATTAATGTACTTGGGGTCCAGTCTATGCTGCAGGCTGCTTTACGAAGAGCTGAGATGCTGCTGTATAAGCATCTGCTTTTCTGCGAGGAGTATAAAGATGAGTCGACTATGAAGCTGGGAACACCCCAAATCCCATGGGAAGAACTCATCGATAATGCAGCAGACGCAAGCATAGGTCACTCGTTTGTCGACAACCTCTTTCAGCAGCTGCCGGAAAGTAATGGCTGGGCATTCCGCAAAATGTGGACAAACGCCGCTTTACGGAAAGCATGGATCGAGGGTGATTCAGAGGCTGAATTTAAGCTTCTCGAAAAGAAGGCATGGCATTATGGTAACCACTTAGAGGAATTCCTCGAATGTCTGTTGTTTATAATCCACTTGTGTGGTGGCCAGGCTGCCCGGTCGTTGGAGCTGCTTACCCTACGGCATAGAAATACTGCCAATGGTGGCATACGAAACATCCTCTACGACCGTGGGCTCATTATGCTTGTGGCTGGATACCATAAGGGATTCTCAAAGACGGAGCGGTTAAAAGTTATCCATCGATTTTTACCGCATGAAGTAAGTGCCTTGGTGATTTATTACCTGTGGCTCGTGCTGCCATTTTGGGAGGATGTACAAGCAAACGTTTGGCACAAAACCGACTCATCTGCTAACCTATGGGCCCCGGAAGAAACACTTGATGACCTGAATGATGATGATGGGAAAAATGGTTATGGGTCCGGCAGTGATGGAAGTGATGGCGAGGAGGACATACGTAACCGTCCTCAAAGAGAGACGAAAGCCAAGCCGCGCTGTCTAGGCCCCGGCCCACATTGGACATCGGCACGGATGACCCGCATCCTACGACAAATGAGCCTCCAAGGTTGCAAAAAAGGATTCACTATCAGTAGCTGGAGGCATCTCTCAATCGCAATTACCCGGCGCTATTTTCGCAATGGCACGACAGCTCATGCAGCTCTTATTGGCGAGGTAGATGAGGGCTACGGCAGTGATAGCGATAGTGAGCTGGAGCAGGATAGCATCTGGGATGCTCAAGCTTGTCATGGATCCTTGACTGCCGGGCTAGTGTACGGCAGGCTCATTACAGAAGGGTGTTTTGAGACGAACGAGCGACGGGTTAACTTCCGGTTCATCAGCGAGGAGTGGCATCGCCTACTTGGTTTCCCGTCTGCCGTCAGCGGATTTGGAGAAATTCTCACGCCAGGGCGTAAACGAAAAGCGCCGTCGCTGCATTACGAGGCGATGAGGAACCTGCAGTTGAGGCGATGGAAGACTCTCCGGAGAGTCAACATCGATCAGGAGCTAGGTCGGCTATATGGGGATCACGTCCGGTTCCGCGGTAAGCAACGGGAAGCAGTAGATGCGATTATGATGAACAAGAGCCCTGTTGTTGTGATCATGGGAACGGGCACCGGAAAAAGCCTCTGCTTCATGCTACCCGCAGCCAGCTGCCCCGGTGGACTCACGGTGGTGATCGTCCCGCTTGTGTCTCTCCAGGGTGATTTAATGGATCGGTGCCAGAAGCTCAGAATATCCTGTGCTGAATGGAGAAGTGATAGGGTGCCGGGAGATGTGTCGATTGTGTTTGTGACGCCTGAGTCGGCTATGACGAAGCGTTTTCTGGACTTTCTCGAGTCCCGGCGGGTCATGGCCAAAGTAGACCGGATCGTTGTCGACGAATGCCATACGATTATGGAAGGAAGCCTGTCGTTTCGACCCAAGCTACGTGAGCTAGGCACCCTCGCGTTGGTAGGGGTGCAGATGATCTATCTCACTGCGACACTGCCGCCGGCAGATGAACCAGCTTTCTTCAGCCTGATCAACGCACGGCACGAAGACGTTGTTATGATCCGGGCAAGGACAACACGCGGCAATGTGGTTTACAGTGTTAGGTCGGTCCCGGCCTCGACCGTTGAGGAAGCAGTTGCCGCCATCGTCGAGCAGGCAATGGTGACGATCGATCAAAAGCTGGAAGAGTACCCATGGCCGGCCAAGATTATTGTCTACTGCCAGCGAGTAGAGGCAACAGAAGATTTAGCCGCAAAGCTAGGGTGCGATGCTTACCACCGAGAGATTGACACACGGGACGGGAAGGCAGAAAGGCTCAAGTTTTGGATGAGCGGCACAAAGCGTGAGCAATATGGAGACGGGCGAGTGATCGTGGCGACAAACGCGCTTGGTCTTGGCATTGATGTACCTGATATCCGAGCGGTGGTGCACGTGGAGATGCCGTATAGGATGGCGGACTATGCGCAGCAGAGCGGGCGCGCAGGTCGAGATGGACAACGGAGTGAGGCTATCGTTATCCGGCTAGATGCGCAAGGTAGTTCGAGGAGGCTACGGCCGCTGGTGTCTGAGCATGCCGCTACGGATAGCTACATCAGCGGCGATGTATGCCGGCGCGTGGTACTTGATTCTGTTATGGATGGACGAAATGATCGAGAGGGCTGTGAAGAGGGCGAAGAGCTATGTGATGTCTGTCAATACCGCGTGGACGAGGAAGATAGGGAGAACGAAGGCGGTATGGTAGAAGATAGAGAGGAAGGTGATATGCGGCAACGGGAGCTAGAGGTGGAACATGCTCGGTATCGTGCTGTGACCCTGGTAGCCCAAGAGCATCAAGACTTTTTGGACTATAAAAAGAAGCTCGCAGATCGAGTACTTGAGGGCTGCCCATTCTGTAAATGGCAGGGTTCAGGTGATGACAGGATGCACTCGGGGTTACGTTGCGATAAAGCAATCGAAATAGGTGGGCAGGTACAGGAGGCATATGAGCTTGCCGTGAGTATGGAAAAGTATATGCGGAGAAGCAAGGTAGTAGAGAATTTTGGTTGTTGTTTAGGGTGTTTTGTGCCGCAGGAATTATGTAATGGCTGGGAAGAGAACCGGGAGGAGGGTGGCTGGAAAAGAGTTGCGAATGGCAAGTGCCAGTATGAGGGGGTCATGATATCCATTGTTGCCTGGGTATGGATACATTTACCAAGTGAAAGTGAAGGGCTATATAGTCGGCTTGGGCTTTCCTACTGTGATGAGTGGACGGATAAGGAAAGGTGGGAACAGGTGTGGAGATGGATGGGCAGGAGGGTAATTTGGGGAGGTGTAGAAGCATTACAAATATGTCAAGCGTTTAGTGAGATGATAGAGTAGTAAGATAAGGAAATTATAGCCTAACAGGTCTTAAATGGACGCTAGAATGACATTGGGCAACTGACAAACCCTAGTTTACCTACGGGGCAGTCTAGAGATATGTCTGGTCTTTAATGGAACAATAGAGTAGCTAGCTATACATCTACAGTCTGGTGTATTGATATTATCTTAGTAACTATATAGTAGAGACACCTTATTATCGAGGAGGCGGAGGTGGTGGTGATGGAGGAGGAGGAGGCTGTAGTCCTCGGGGCGGCGGCGGAGGCGGCATGGGAAAGCTCGTGAGTTTTTCGCCACCAGGCAGCCCTTCACTTCTCCCTCTAGCAACTCGTTTCACTATAACCACATAAAATGTTATGGAGAATGCAAATGCAAGCCACTCAAGCACCTGTAGTGTATCTCCGACCTTGATGTGAAGCGAAATGGCGCCTAACCTCTTCGTGGCGAACTGCAGTGCATTTCCCGTCTGCGTGGTGGATGCTGCATTGATGACAGAAATGGCGACCGATGCCACAAGGACCTTCTCTGACCAGCCCTGCTCAATCAAGCGCCAACTCTGTGCTCTCCTCTTGCTGATCTGTATACAGACGCGAGTAATAAAAAGAAGGATGCTGATAATGAAGAGCACCCCAGCAAAAGCCTGCAAACAGAAAAAGATGCTTCGTTGCAGCTGAAGGGCAGTCTCGAGAGTACGCATACTAGGGACTGGAGATCCCTTGCCCCCTCGACCTACCTGGGAGGTCAAGGCGGCACTGAGTGACTGCGGAGTTGTCGAGTAAGGGGTAGCCACGCAATTGTGACTATTATTTCCAGATATACATACTCCTATATATATCAGCCTCGGGCTTTCCAACAGAACAACCCACGAGAACATCAGGCATAAATAGAGAAAACTTACCGAAATAACCAATTCGAAGTTCTGCCGTGCTTGAGCTGTTGATCGCCACCAGGAATATACTAGGTAACCCAGGGCTATCAGATACGCATCCTGTCAGGGATAGTGCTGTGTTAAGTTAGCACATGTAATAACAAGTATTGAATAAGTAAAGCACTTACTGTAGAATACCAGGCCTGCAACAGGGAAGATAGAGATAACTAGCAATTCCACAATCCTGAGCTCTTAAATTACAGGGTTAGTTGATTCTCTACACTGCACGTATTTGTCAGACTTACGCATTGGAGCAAGAACAGACTGTATAGATATTAACAATATAGGAAGGTATTAGGGTTGAGGTGTGTAGGGTAGTAAGTTGACCAATACTAACTAAGGAATAAGGGCGTTTTTCTTTAGTGGCTATGCGAGAGTAGTAAATAAACATTAGACTTAATAGATATATAAGTAATGTCTCTCCTGGTGTTGGGACTCTTTAAATAACCTTCACGTTCTGTACTTCAATCTGCTATCTATATTGCTAGAAGTAACAGACTGTCTTCTTATTGAAGGCGCTTAGCACCATCACGACCATGTGTAACCGCGCGAGTATATCGCCGTCTTGCTTCGGATCCTCTGTGTTGGTCCAGCTAGAAGTATGTGCTTTCGTCCAAGCGTACTGACTTCATCCAGTCGTGGCACGGGGATCATCAAAGCGTTTAGCCTTGCAGCCACCCTCCTGTTGCTTCTAGTTCAGACTCTATATTTACTCAAACTCCATTTACTTGAAACATTCAGCCCTCACGAAGCGATGCCGGCGGCAAAGGACTGGCCTCACCGCGTCATAGATCCTACCTCAGACGCACTCTAGCATCACGACCCAAGGCTCTCCCCATATGTCAGTCAGATGGGCGGTTACGTGACAATGTTGGCCTGCTCAACGCGTTAGGCCAGGATACAAGAGAGTAATCCAACATGATGCCATCCACCTGACAGTGCAGTAATGCGGCCTCGTTGGCCAAGGCCAGTCGCTAAAAAAGAAACGGGCCATGTTAGTGAGCTACCAAATATGCCTCGCCAGGCCAGTAGAAAGGTTTTTGGTAAACCCAAACCTCGAAATAGGGCATTTAATTGGGTATCAGCGCTCTGTTAGCTCTCACTTTTCGAATTGAAACAAAGCCATCGGTCCTTCTGCTAATCCTTCGCTCTTAACTGCCTAAGCAAGTAACCTCCGACTTGAGCTGTTGGTGCTATACTTGCTTTTACCCTGACCAGTATATCCAGGCTAGACTGATAGAGGTATGCAGGCGGTTGCAAAAGGTTGTTGGTTCAGACGTGTGGTGGATCTAGGCTTTGAAGGAGCGCTTTTATTGGCTGGAACCTTGGCGAAAGTTTGGGAACATCAACCTACTAAGGGTTCGTAGCAGGGATTATAGGGCTAACAACCAACAGTGAAAAGTAGACAAGGCAGAGTTGCCTATGTGTGGCCAGTTTTTCCATTTTCCTTAGGTAGAATTCTCAAGTAAACTTCTGGCTTCCCCGATGCCAATGGAACCTGGTTGTTTCCTAGCATATCACCCCCACTGGACTGTTTGACAGGTCCCTATTGGGATCGAGTCTATGTCCAGGAATTGCCAGTTCTTAATTTTCCAAAACTGGCTCTGGAGTATTTAGCAGCTAAGAATGGCCGAGTCCCTACTACCAAAACTATTCATGGCATTTACGCCGAGGCGTGTGCTAAACATTGCTACGTTATGGTGCATAATGATGATGATAATAATCTATGGCGACTCATATTGTTGTATATGACATTTCCATCCCAAGGCCAAGCAGCTTGAGATCGCTGCATTAGGTGCAAATATAATCTACTATCTTCTTGAGAGCAATGCGATCACCTTCCATCGTCCCGGCAAGGCTCTTGGGCACCCATCCCTCCGTATATCCGCCACCAAAATCAATAACCCAAGCATCCTGATTTACGTCAATTAGGATGTTATCCGGTTTGGCATCTCCCCAAACGATTCCAGCATCATGTAGTTGACCAACAATTTCCTGAATTTGTGCAGCCCACTTCTCCCTTTGCGCAACTTGCGTTCCCGGCTGCACTGCACATGATAGTGTTACACGTCCACAGTCAATATAGGTGAGTAAAAGACCGAAAATAACGCCATCGTTATTCCGCACTAGGCCACGGAGGCGTGAAATCCTGATCTTGTTGTCAAGCTGTGCTCTGTCGATCTTCCTATACGTATCCAGCTCATTTTTGAGGAACTGCTTGTCGCCACGACGCACGAGCTTTAGGAATGCAATTGTCCCGTCGTTCAAAAGGACTTTGCGCGGCGTATGAGAAGGCGGACCGACCACATTCTCTTGACAAATTTGTACTTCAGACGGGTCAAAGGACACCCATGGCGTACAGAATTCATCGGTAAGAGAAATACCGAATGTAGATTCATGTTGTCTGTCTCTTTCTAGCTGTGGCATCAGTTCGCCGGAAACTGCTCGCAAGGTATAAACGAAGGTTTCGGGGTTGAAAAAATCGTTCAAGGTCGGTGGTGCTGACTTGTCTGGGGTGGGCAGTTTCCGGAAAATGGGGAGCAGAGGGTTGACAATCCAATCCCAGAAGTCCTCGACAGTTACATCATCTAGCTCAAACTCTTCGGCAACTTTCAAGAAGAAGAGATACGATTCTTTCAACTTGGGCGACTCGGAAAAGTTGTCGGCGTGCAGATGTATGACAAAGCGTTTGTCGTTGCACATGACCACCAGCTCTGAATCCGTGATTACAGTGCTGAAAGTGAATCCGATTACAGTCCATGCCGGTGGTGTTTGAGGCGGCGACTGCGCGTTGTTAGAAGTATTGGAAGTCATTCTTGCCAACAGTGTATTAATCCAAGTTTGTCGTATATCTTAGATATAAGGGCGGCGCAGGCTGGCATAATATAATGGTGTTGGCTATGTTGAGGGAGCTCTGTTGACGAGGGTTTGTTGACGAAGATTTGTTGGTGCACGTTGCGAGTAGATCTAAAAAGCGGGGTTAGATAACTAATCAGTGGGTCATCATAATTGGATAGCGACGCGCGCGGTAACTGCAATATACAATATCAATGCCACAACTAAGGAGGTTTCTTATCCATACGTTTAGCGCGCTCAAGGATGCAATAGTAAAATACGTACCACTTCATAAGATAAAAGGACAAGGAAACCTGCATCACTTTAAGGTCATGTATTAGTTTAAACACTGCTATCGACTTACTCATTATTTATTCTTCTTATTCGCGTTTACCTACAGAGAAATCCCGTCTGAAATCATATGTTATCGTTACTACCGACAATACCGTTGTACTCACAGGGATTATAGTCCTCCGGAGTACTGTGAACAAGCCACATTTAATCGCCGCACTCAACGATGGTCTATGTGCGCAAATGGAAGGTCTGTTACGGCTGTGGCCGATCCGAACCTCTGCGGAAAGCGGGGATGTTACCTAGCAGACTTAAAGGCATATGGCTGGACATGCTGTCATTGCGGCGAACCTGGGAACAGAATGGATGGGTGTCTAGGTCCCCCTGGAGGGCGAATGGGAGATTGTGGGCATTGGGTCTGTGAGAGCTGCACCTATAGTCAACATTAGTAAGTTCATGGGCTTTTCCGAGGATTAGGAGCAACTGCTAAAGCGTATGAAGGGCCTATGTAAGATAACAATGTATGGTGATGGGAAATGGGTATTGCTATTCGAGTGTGGATTGAAGTTTTGTAGATGGATAGTTTATATGGCTAGTAAAGGACTGGATTTCTTGATTGTTTCTTATTGTTATGTATTTAAAGGCAGTGAGGGATGTACTATTTAGTGGTTGGTTTGTGTCAGGGTTCTTGGGGTAACTGGCGGAAGTTATTTATTTGGAAGATGCGGTAGTTGCGGGAGTAATATACTCTAACTGTAGTCGCATTTTATATTTTATGGGATGTATGATGTAGAGAAGTGGATGTTTTTAAACTGTTGTGTAGTATTGCCTGGTTATTGGCTGACTGTAGTAGGGATCTATTAAGAGGTTTTAGGGTAAAGGGAAGGTAAGGTAAGTAACCTCTAGGTACCTGGAGAGTGTAGTAAAGAGTTACAGCTAATGGTATAGGTTGAAGGTAAAGGAGGTAACTTGGGAAAAAACGGTATAGCACCTACCGTGCTAACTTATATAAACTGGGGCAAACTTGTAAGTAAATAAGAGAAGTAAAGGGTAACCTCTGAAGGTAAGGGTAGTGCGGAGCAAAGATTAGTTTAAGGAAAGAGGGCAACTACCAACTGGTAACCGCTAACTTATATATATATCAGTCATGCGTTGAGGGTGCGGGTTGGGGCGGCGTCGTGTGTGGTGAACAATACACTGAGAAATTCCACAGTAAATCAACCACGTCGGTGCACGAAATAAAACGTGGATCAATCGATACCTTTCAGCGTAATCAAACTATTAAGAACACGATAGAGAATTTTACATACTAATAGAAGAGGCTACTGCTGAGTAAAGACAGAATTCGAGGTTGATCTCATATTCAGTGATCTTGATCCTTGATAGTGGCTTGAGAAATGGGCGAATAAGAGGAATTATAAAATGGAAAGAACCCTGTCGAGTCTTTGAGCAGCCAATACGATGCATTATAAAATCGAAAGAACCCTGCCATATCCTCAACGACGAATGAGAAAATACTTTGGTTCGCTATACCCTGCATGTCCTCAGCAGGCGGCATCGTCAAGATGGACGACAAGGCGGCTCGACTGCATCGCAGATAAACGAAGACAGTTCCACATGAGGAACCTCTTTTTCGCATACAAAGTACACGTGCATCAGTTGAGGAATAACCTTATCACATGACGATGGAAATGAAACAGAAACGAACTTGAACTTAGACAAATAATGTTATAGATGTGTATTGTAATGTTTCCTCGTTTTGGCTTACAGTTCAGCCATTCTAGATATTTACCACTATTGGTCATTGTAGGAGGAATGCCCTTCCGAACTAGGACCTCACCAATTCGTTTTGCTGAATGTGACGCACTCCCTTGATACTGCGACCGCCATAACCACCAATATCTTGACCTTGAACCAATCACCTATCCTAGCCACGGCATAACCTGGTCAGCTCTATCACCGCCACTACAACCTTCTTATTTCCCAGTCCAATCAGATCCGACAGATTGCCAGGGTTCGCAAACTATAACGGCCTACATCTCGCAAATAGTCTTTTGAACTCATTAAAGAAAGGCGCACTAATGTAAGTGACAGCCAATTACAATTATGGCCATTTCAAGGGGAAAAAGGGGGATACTATGAACTAAGTAAACGTAAACAAGTGCGGGAGGAAATAGCAGAGCGCGAATTCGCGAGGAGCATCGTGATGCATGCCAGTTCATAATTCTCACTCAAGATGGGTCGTCGAGCATTGACCGCACAGGAAAAAGCGGAACGGCAGAGGCAACGGCAGGAAGCACTCCATGCGAAACAGACACTGCGACTTGTTCGGGAGCATGCTCTGGATCCACATCTACGCGTGATCGTTGATCGTGCACTGCCTATATCATCCGCGTCACAGACCATTGCAGCTACTATAGGTTCGTTCGGGTCCAGTTCTTCTATCAATCCATATCTACTGCCTAGCGGCCTAACAATGAGGCTTATATGACCAGATCGACCGTACGCGAACGAAGATCACAGTCCTGTGGATCCGCCAGCGCGAGAAAGGCACGCAACTTCAACGCCTTCTGAACTGCCAAGTCGTCCGGGGCCATCGACCGTACAGCGAGACGAAGGATCCCACAGTTCGCCGTTGATTGCCAAGCTCTCCGCCCTTGATATAAGGGGTGATGCTTCGACACGGCCAAACGCTGCGACTCACGGTCCAACCGACCTCAGGCCCGTCCCAGTACTGCCACCTATTTTACAAAATGACGAGCACGATCATAGTCATTATGATGCCCAAAATCCTCCGTTCGATGCCGATACCGAAGTCTCCATATCCGAGGATTGTTCCGCAGCAAAATCGGTAAACCCAGTATTGTCGTCGTCCAGTCCGATGCATCAATATGAGTATCCCGTTTCCGAATTGGCAAGTCCCTCTTCACAAAGGCCAAATGCACGAGCCTGGTTCACGTCATCATCGGCTCCGTCAGCTACTGACCCCCACGACCCGGTTCTCGACGGCTTCCTCCGTTCAATCGACTGGTAGGAGACGTCAGAAAGCGCGGACTTTCTACGCATACAGAGCGGCGTGTATGAAAAAGTATTTCGGTCATTCTTTGCTCGTGAATGCGAGTGTAACTGCAGTCAGCCCAGCTTTCTTATGAACTCACTTTTACAAGCACAGATATACTGATATATGACCCGATGTAGGTCCACGTTCATGCAAGATTGCCGAGCCCGAACGCGCTCATACACTTCAAGAAAGAACCGAGTACATTCAGCGTTCTCTTCCGCCCTTACACTCTGTCTTCGATGACCTTGGGGCGCAGACACGTAACCCTCACGGCTCCTTTTCCAGATGGGAGAGCTTCCTCTCCGACCAACCATCAGAGCCGCTTTCCTTCCGCAAGACACAGGCTTCCCTCACCCCAGAATCAGTGACTATTACGCGCCAGTGGGACGTTGACAGTATCTGGTTTGGGGCCAAAACTCTTTCAGCCATCCGGCCTCCCAACCAGTTCCGCTTGTCATTCTTCCCGTCACATAAGAGCAACATCTCCACCAATCAAATCATTCAACCTCATGGTCTAGATCTGGCACATACGCGGCATACTTCCACCGGGTCATTCTCCTCCGGCAACGTCCGCTTCAACGTAATTGTGTTTTTCCCTAATGGAAGTCGCTCACCTGCACCGGCTTCTATGAATAGTCTTTCTCTAGATCGATTCAGAGATTTGTATGACGATATCATCATACCGGCGGCCTATGAAACATTACCAGACCACGCTCAGCAGGAGATTCCTAGTTCATATGACCTTATTTATGCAAAATCTCGTGCCTACCAGGAGAATCCGGGAGCTGGTCGTTGGGTCGCCGATGACGAGAGCCGAACCTTTCGCCTAGCCTATAGTGTCCCTGCCGAATTTCTTTCACGGTTCTGGGCGTCAGTCGTGCAGAAAGCGAACCTTCATCGGATTGAAACGCGTCGAGGAGAGACAGTCGCTTATTACCAGAATCCCCGCCTACTTTTCCAGGCTCACGACCTGAAGAACGTATTTGCACGACCGAACCTTCAAGAGAGTCTAGTTTTGTTCCGAGACAACATTTTGGCTGGCCTCGACCCGGAACAACTTGCTTTACAATCATGCTGGCTCGATGTGGGGATGCGTGACCATGTTAGCAGACAGCGTCATGGCCAGACACTATCGCAGAATGACCAGCAAAGTCACCATGAGCCCTGGACACTGCTCTGGAAAAGCGCCTGTTGTCGTCACCTTCATGGACGACTTAGTGCTATAGCGCCGGAGGCCCCCCTAGATGCCAAGTACTACCGCTCCTCTCTTCTCCGGGACGCTGGTATTTACTACGCCAAGGCGAAATCGACCAAGTCGTCAGGCCCAGGTCATCCAGAGTTCAAGTCACCCGGCATCATCCGCGCAAAGGCCTATAACTGCAAGAAAGAGCTCTTTGGGGTTATGTTCAATGACTATAAACTCTTCAGTTCAGGTTCTTTGCCACTCCTTGCCTTTGATGAAGGAATGTTCAACGACTTAGCTGGCATGAATCAGAATCGCCAGCGTGCATTCACGCCTCAGCTCAGTCGCTCCCATATAAAGCGCGCTTGGGAGGCAAACAAGCGGCATCTAAGGGCCATATCATCTGCTCGACGGTATCCCAATTTCGGAATCCGTAAAGAAGTCACATTCCGACTCAACGTCATCCTTGCCATGTTGGCCGACGGTGCATTTCAGCCTGGCCAGGCTACCCATACTGGTCCTATGATACAGGAGATCATGCTCGATCCTACATCTGATACCCAGCACTACCCCTTCTGGATAGTACCTACTCGTATGATGAATGATTTTGTTTCCACACAAGCTGCACGATTCATTCTCCCTCTCGACGACATATTCCAAGAGGCAACAAGTAAAGCGGCTGAGCGCTATTCTTCTTCTTCGCTCAATCCTATCCGACAGATACTCGCCTTTTATACTGCCCAACTCTTTTGTCGTCTACTTATTTATGCTCTTAGCGATGAAGATGAGGAGCAGCATTTCGACAACTGGATATGGAAATCTGTTTGGTCGGTACGCCTTCGCGGGAGGGAAAAAGCAGTCAGCGAGCGGCGGGGTCTCGGCCTGGGCTCTCTCATTGATTCAACAGGGATGCTCTGGATTCCTCAAAGTCACATCGATTGGCAGCACGGTCATCTCTCGCTTGAGGTACTGATTCATTTGTACATGGCCCGGAGTCCGCTTCAGGCGCGACTAGCCCACCAGCCCAATGTCCAAGTTCTGACCTCGACCCATGTCGTCGTCGAGCGACTTTTTCAGGAATGGCTTCGCAATGCACAGCTGTCACATGACACAAATTGTCCCGAGAAGGCAGATGAGTACGCTAATAAAGCCATCGTGCTTGCGGTTGAGGAAACCGCTCGAGCGTACTATCAGCATTTTCTTGCCAAGTTGGCGTCGTACTGGGATCGAGTTCGAGATCAAATCGGACTCATATGGCAATGTTGGGGTTCGGGATCACGGGCTATTCAGAGAACAAGAGTTTATTAACACAACACAAAAATGAAGTTGAAGGTAGAAGCAGCTTCGACGATTGACCTTGACTATGTCCCGTATTTTTTGGAGCTCTGTAGCACGAGTTATGAGAGTTTGTAATGATATTCCGACTGAAGGTTAATGAAAAGCTCGCTGACATAAGGAAGTCCTGCGTCAGAAAAAAGCTGAATAGGAAAAGCGCAGATTCGCAACGTCAGAAAAAATCGAAAGCGGAATAGTGTCATCGTCAGAAATATTCAAGAGAGGAATAGCTTCGTGATGCCGCATATGATTGGCTTGCCTAAAGAACGTAGTGTGACGGGATAGCAACCACGACGGATAATCAGAGGTGATAGATCGATTCATCTCGAGATCTCCAACTACTTCCAGGCTGGAGAGGAGGTTCACGAGCAGTTCTATCGCCCACAAAGGCTTTATCTGTCCCATTGGAAGCTGATCTTATGATGAAGAATACCGGAAAGGGCCGTAGGATTTGTTCTTGGATCATTCGACAAGGGTGTTGTCCTGTCACTTCACGAACAAGCCACTGAACTTTGTTTGCTTGAGAAAACAACTGCCGAAATTGTGATCCTTCATGAAAATGCTTGATTCCCGTTGTAGAATAACCCCCTAGTGCATTAATAACACATCGCCTCACCTCCGCATGGTTTCTCTCATCTCATCAGAAACACGTTTTTGCTTACCTTCTCCACAAACCTCATAAACAACCGCCTAATCCAACTTTTGCTGGGGAACTCAGCATCGCTTAGACCATCCACACAGAAGAAACCATCTCTTCTCCGTCGAACACATACGCTTCGTTCAATACCAACATAATATGCCTGAGGAACCACCAAGACGTCGGGGACGACCCCGAAAAGTACACACGGAAGAGGAGCGGCTAGCCGCCCAACGGGAGCATTCGCAAAAGTACCGTCAACGTGTACAACAAGATAAAGGAGAATCTTTGTCATTCACCGGATACTATCAGCACATCCCTTATGTTCCAACCAGTTCATCAGCCATGGCCCAATTGCCACCACATATCATCTTACCGAATGACTCCTACCTACCACTTGACCTCAGTTGTGGGGACCCAGGACAACCTAGCTCTCTTTCGTATGGCGACAATACTGCGGCTCATGATGGTCCCAGTTACGATCTGGGTGATTACTGTCCGTTCGATAGTGATAGCACTACCAGCCATGAATCTACTGCTTCGAGCGCAAGTACCAGAGACTGTCAGGTGTTGTTCTCGGATCTTCCTACTGAATACATAAGAAATCATCGATCCGAACAAGGTGACGAAATTCAAGAGCTCCTCGAACCATTCGGGAAGGGCCTCCATATTTCCCCGACGGCCTCCCTAGGTATTTTCGTTGTCCTATACTATCTTCATTGAAAATGGTACGAGACGTGCGCTGACCACGGCTATAGACGATCTTCGACAAGATTTCGACACTCTATCATCTGGTGAAGAAGTCTCCGAACCCGGCCATCGATCATTGGATACTTCTCACGAGGAGCAGACAGTTCCCTCACTTGAACGTTATCTTGCGAGAGAATGGACCGAACACCCTAGTTGCTCGAGACAGTCACATAAGGAAGATCATGAGGAACTAGCGAAGAACAAATGTCATCGGTCTTGTGATTCTCTCAACGATGTTGTCGCCCGGCTAGATGGCTTGATCGGTGACGAAAATAACCGTCACCCACTCCCAAACGTAATGGATCCTTCGTTCGATCTTCTGAGTCATACCCAACATACTGAACCTGCTAATAATGAGGGAACCTCTCGAAACTCGCCTCCCCTAAACAACGTATGTGGCCATGACTATCGGGAAGCATGCCAGATAGCGTTAGAAGGAGCGCCCAACGGGGGTGCGCCACCGAGCCTCTGCCTCTCAAAACGACATAGCATTGAGAATCCACTTGCAGAGGATTTCCTCCAGAGAACTTATGATGTTGATAGCATTTGTAGCTTTCCTTCATCACTTGCCGTCGCTAAATTTGGTATCCAATGGTATCCCCAGCCATATGCAATCTTCAATCACACAAACAATGTACACTTTAGTATCGACATTCCGAACAACAGCTTCACTAGGCTGGGTACCTGTTCTAGGGGAAGCTCTCCACATCGGCAACCCCTGCATCACGTTCCCAACTATTGTTTTGGACGAGTCCAGGGGTTAACTGATACGTTCATATGGATTTTCTTTCCAGCCTTATACATGCAGACTTCACAAGAGGATCCCTTGAAACGAACCTGCATTGCCCGGGACCAATACTCTTGCTGGTATGATCATGTTTTGTTTCCAGCTATCGCAGCTGCGGTACGGGACCCAAATATACTCCAGTATATTCCCAAGAACCTCAACATTGCCCAGACTAACTCTCGTGCTCGGCAAGAAGGAATTTCCACTGAACGGCTCTCGGATATGAACGCGGAATTTGGAATACTCGGTCAGGGTAGGAGAAGTACTTCGCTCTCTTACGTCCTCCAGAATAGACATCTTGAGGCCATATGGGAAGGAGTTCGTACTCGTGCGGCGACATACCCCCAATTCGCCGGTATAAAACTATATCTGGGTGCCAAAAACCTCAAACTTGTCTACATGAACACCGATATCAGGCAAACGATTCGAGCCTGGCGTAGTCAGTGGCAGAATGCTGTGGATCGGGCATTTCTTGATCCTTCTGATACGTACGTCGATATTGGGCGCCAATATACTCCTCGCATTGGATCTGTCGCCGAAGCCAACGTCCTCATGTGGCGACGATGCTGTCTGAAGCAACTATGGAGACAACGACAAGCGTGGAGCAGTCAGTACAACGCCATGTATCCATTTGTATGCAGCTCGCTCGAAGACATAGCGACCTCAAAGTCCCGGTCTGTTCCTCTTCGGCTCATCGAATACCCCAGGTTTACACTACGTGATACGATTGATATGACGATACAGCCTGCAGATAAGAGCCGAGAGGTCGGTGAGGGTCTCATATACAGTCAATTCTATAACCTTGTCAAGATTCCTTTCGATGCTGCTAAGCAATACCCGTTTCAGAATCGTCAACTCGAAAAGATGGCTCTCGATCCGTCGTACGTAGCTGACTACGAAAGATCCACTCGAGGAAGTCATGCCAATCAAGCCTCGCTCAGTCTGGCCTACCGTTTGAGTAAACTACGGGTAAGAGCAAGCTTAGTCCAAGATGACGAAGGCAGTGTGTCAGTCCCTTTCAGTTACGGGGTTCGAGCAGAAGATCGAGTCTCGGTGAAGCTGCTCGACCTTGTCCTCTCACATTTCGATTCTTTGGAATCTACGCGTCAATCTGATCCTATCACGGTATGTCAAGATCAAGAACTTCCATTTTTCGCTATCCCTTCAACCACCATGACGCGTTTCTTGCATGGTACTGTCAACAAATACTGCTTTCTTTTCGAATACATTAAATCCCAAGCTGGGGCACGGTACTCTCTGCCCGAAACCGTTGTCATGACATTGGCGCTTCGAAGCTTGCGTTTCGCAACTTCTGGAATTATTGCCAAAGAATCAATACTTTGGAAAGATCGTTGGCAACAGAGCAAACAAGTTACCTCGCGAAGTGGCCAGCGTCAGAGTTCTGAGGTCGAGCGAGAAGGCCTTGGATTAAATAGAACATCAAAGGACTATGGTTTAGGCTGGTGGCTCCCGGGTAAGTTCAACTGGGACGAATGGCGTTTTAGAGGTGACGTGAACGAGAGGTTGGTTGCAGGTAACAGTCTCCTACACATCGAGTACGGTCGACAGTGGAAAGTCATCAAAGACATTCGTGACGTCCACGCAAGGATGTGGCAGGCAAATAAGTGGGTCAAGCAGTACTCTGTGCGCAAATCACAGAGAAACCGAAACATCTGGTTCGAGTATTTGTCCAACACAGTTATTGAGCTCTTCCAGTCTGAGGTTTGGCGGGCGGCAAGAAAAAGCCTTGACTGGAAAAGCGGCTCAGACCTCACGGATGAAGCAGCCGCCAGTTATCCCGCAGATCAGCCTCCTCCATATTGCTACGATGCTCTCGCAAGTTCCTTCCATGACCGTCGCCGCAATGTCAATCACACCCGACCCTACTTTTTAACGGGCAACAAGATTCGCTCCTCTTCCGTATGGGATCTAGTGTGCGATCATCTCGGATTCAATTTACATGATGGTCGCTTGGAATCACGCGATGGCCTGCAGCCGTTACATCATCGCATAGCTGTTCGACGCAGCGTGGAGATGATTAGCGAGGTACTAGGCCATAGTGAAGCGTGCCGGTGGTACAAAGAACTTGGCCATCTTCTCCTACTAACGAACTGGATTCTTCCTTGGCCTTCAACTAGATTACTGATTTCAACTACGAAAGAAAGTCATAGGAAGAATCTCAAGCGGCGACTTATCTGGGTTTCCCTCATATATGCTCCAGCAAAGCTGAGTCCGTTCTTGAGTCCAAACCTTCCAACACATCCTTTACAAGACGAAGAACGCTGTATAACAGTCCATGATAATTTAAGACAAACTTTGACCTGTATTACAGCCGAGCGTTTTGGAGCATCCGGCTGGACAGAAGATTGCGATCCCTCTGAGCCTCGTTTCCATTGGACGTCCGAAGATTTGATACGATATGTTGGAGGCACTGTAACCATAGGTTCCTTCAAGATCGGTCGAGCTGTACAGTCAGGGAGCCGCAAAGGGTTCATTTATCCCCTGGCTGAGCGTGGCCGACCACCAGTCTTGCGTCTCACGGATCGCATAAGAGGACGCACACTTGAAGAACTTGAACGTTTGTTTAGCGATATCATTCGCTCTGCGCAGTCAGAATCAGAGTTAGGGAGGGGCGCGACGAGCATCGAATCACTAGAACAGATACCGCCACCGATGGTGAATCCAGGCGATTGCATCGATGCATATCCGACCCATTCTCTGGAACCGAATTTAGACCAACAGTCAACGCCATACAATGGCTTCATCAACTCTTCTACCAGCTCTAGTGATGGCAGCAATGATGATGTAGTGGATTCAGATAGTGATTGGAAACCACCAAAGAGACTAAGGCGTGCAGTACGTCGTGATCGGTAGAGATTCTATTGTCAATCGAACCTTTTTAATTTTCATTTTTTTTCTAAGTGCAATCAATCCAATTCCATGTTGATAGCACATGTCACTGCTTCATTGTCTCAAGCCGCGCCAAAACGTCGAGGCCGCCCCGCGAGGAAAGTCCCACAAACGGAAGAAGAACGGCTCGCCTCGCAACGCGCGCGATCGCAAAGGTACTACCGACGACAGCACGAGCAGTCCGTTGATTCCCACCGCGTTGCCATTGGATCGCAGAATGCGGAGTTTGTATACCATTACCAACCCCATCCGCCTGCCTTACCATCGACTACGAACCCCGTTATTGGCCTCCACTTAGAGCCGCACCTTCACATACCCACCCCTTTAGAAGAAGATCTGGTAGTCGAGCCCACCTGTGTCGGCGATTATGACGCGTCGGTAGAGCCGGACACGGACCCAACAGCGGCACCAACGTCGTGGAATCCACCGGTCTGGAACCATCACGAGAATTCACGGGTCGCACGGTCGAGTTTAGATGATACATCCGAAGATAACTACAATCCATTATTCGAGGACTCTCTAATACAACTCGAGCTTATCTCACAAGGACAAGACAATGCAGGAGATGGCTACGACGCGGTCATTGGTAGGGGCGAAGCCAATTCTCCGCAGCTCGAAGCTCGAGACGAAGAGCTGCAGGATTTAGTTGATAAGGTCCAGCAGTTGCTCATCACGACGTCGCTAGATAGAGAGGCAACAAGTTAGGATAGTGATGATGGCCTGGCAGAAAGTTTGTGAATCTATACATCAGGCATGGCTCTGTCTTGACCGAGGTACTGACGCGACTTCCTAGATACGATCGAATCACCAGTAGCTTCCGGCTCAGTGCTTTTGCAAGACGATAATACGAGATTCTCGACTCCACGATCTCAAGGTTCTGCTCGCGGAAAGGTGGCAAGACGAAGCCATCCGACATCATCATCTGCAACGCCGTCGTCGCAGTTACGAAAGACAAGCACGTTGGATAATTGGGTGCGGCGGCCTTGTACTCGCTCGTCAGACGACTCTTCCAGTGGGGTAACCTCACAAGCGTACGACTGCGGCGGATTCCTTCTACCATCAGCCACGGGTGTGCAAAGGTTCACGCGGGAACACTCGGGCTTTGTCGATCGTTCTAGTGCCGTATCGCCATCATCCTCAACACCTAGAGGATTTAGAGTAGAATGGATCTATTATGGGCTCTACTCGTGGAACCTCCGTCGTCGGTTGGAACGGGAAGGCTACCTTACCACTGATGACGTTCTCTGCGGTATGCGGCTGGCCATTGAGCTGAGCGGCCGTCGGGACGTCACGACGCTCGCACGCGCCATCCATCTTGGTGAGCCTCAGAACAACTCTATCCAGCTGAGCCAGGCCGAGATCGAAGATATAAGACGGCATAACGCCACAATACTGTCGATCTTTCGTCCAGGTATCGAGAATGGGGTCGGTCACTGGTCACTTGCCATCTATCAGCCAGCACGGCCGCATTTCTTCTTCTGCGATTCACTTGGAAGTCGTGATGACTGCTACCATTCTGCGCTCCGAGACATCCACGACTCGGTACTTCCAGACTCTGCGCCCGCATCTATTTGCGATATGCTAATCACTCGACAAGTAAATGGCTAGACATGCGGTATCATAGTCGTGGAATGTGCCTGACGATTTCTAACTGCACGAGAGCAGTATTGTAGTAAGGATTTGATGATAGAAGATCAGCCTAGGCTACTCGACTGGACATAGCAGGAGCCGTATTTATCCGAGATGCAAGACCCAGACTTGCGAGAGGTTGGTGCTATATCGTACTGGATCGAGGTGATATTGCAATATTTGGGCGCAACAATAAATCACAGTGCCACCTCCGTCGGCAGCAGGAGGAGTAGTAGTAACGATGCAGTTACTATATCAGAGCCGGCTGACCCTGCGCTGCTCCTGTTCCAAGAGTGGAGCAGACCGGTAGGATGTACGTCCCGGTAACATGAAGAGGACTACTCCTCCCAGTTGGCGGATGCAACTATAAAGCGAGGCATCTCCCTAAACTGTTCTTCTCTGTTGGATATTGCAAAGAGGTTAGAGGGTGTGACTGGGGAGGATGTCACAAACGGGCCACTACCTTGCGTCCTTGACCCTGCGAAGGATCTCTTGAGGTCCGGCATGCGGGAGTCCTCATCATCGGACGCTGGCCTAACACGCTATGGCGGACCCTGCAAAGCTGCCATGGAAGGCTTGGTAGAGGGTGAACAAGATCCGCCCTATCTCTGCATGCATTCCAACCATAGTGCTCGACGTCTGGAAGATGACAGGATATCGTCGTCCTACGACATCGATAGTCTTTGCAGCTTCCCCACGTCCCTTGGCGTGGCCCGGCTGGGGATTCAGTGGTATACTCAGTCGCATGTCACGCTCAACCTAGTCGACAATATCCATCTGAGCATGGAAATCCCAGGTACGCGTAAGCAAGATGGCGCGGTGACAACCCAGCCTCTCCATACCATCCCCAACTACTGCCTTAGACGTATCATTGGCCTTGCAGATACGTTCATCTGGGCCTTCTTCCCTGCCCTTTTCTCCAGCAAGCTCTCCGATCCTTACAGCCAGACCTGTATTCCTAAAAAGAACTTCGTGCACTAGTACGAGGAGGTGATGCTGCCTGCCATACAAGCTGTTATCGATAACAATAACATACTCCAGTATATCCCAAAGACACATACCATCGCGTCTTCGGACTGCAGTGCGCCCCGGGAAGCGTTAGTAGCTCTGGCGGTGGCGGAGGAAGATGAGGCCGATATGGAAGAAGAACTGGATGGGTTTACCGGAGCGAAAAGACGAGATGGTCCGGCCGCATAGCCGGGGTCACGACGCAAGCACTTCTACGTCACGCTTCAGTCCCGCTACCTCGCAGCTTTATGGGAGGAGATACATTCCAGGGCTGCTCTCTGGCCTAAATATGCAGGGTTGCGACTCTATATGGCTGCTAAGAACACCAAACTGACATGGATGCGGCCCACGTTCGAGTCGGCACTCGCGGAGTGGCAGCACTACTGGAATTCTGCGGTTGACGAGGCGTACATTGATCCGGATGTCACTTACATTAACATCGGCCGCCAGATGACGCCGGCCGATACAGGACCACATAGACGCGTACTTATCTGGCGCCGTTGCTGCATGGATAGGCTCTGGCGTCGCCGGCTACAGTAGAGCCAGATCTAAAATCGGCTGTATTATCATAAGGAAGACGCTTGCAAGGACGAATCGGGCAAACATCAGGCTCCGCCAATCCGCAGGACGACCTATCCGTTTGTCACTCTTCGCGATGCGAGAGACATGACCATCACTCCTAGTTCATCAAGCTGGGAGCTTCGAAACGGTCTCGTGTATAGCCAGTTCTACAACCTCATCAAAGTTCCCTTCGATGCAGCTAAGCAGTACCCGTTCCAGAACCGCCACACCGAGAGCATGGCGCTAGACCCATCGTATCTCAGAGATCAACGTAACTCCACACGAGGGGCACATGCCCACCAGTCCCGAGTACAATGTGCCTACCGTCTGAGCAAGCTCCGTATTCATCGCAACGTTCCTGCTGTCGACCAGGATGATGATGATGATGAGATACATCATGAAGAATCAACACATCACCCATTCACATATGGTATACGTGCAGAAGACAGGGTATCATTGGCCCTTCTACGGCGTATCACTGGTCTGTTCTCATCTAGCCCCCCGCAGGATGGGTCAGGCGATGATGAAGAAGATGAAGAGAGGGACCATCCATTCTTCTCCGTTTCTTCTCAAACGATGGCCCGTTTCCTCCGTGCTAGCGTCAATCGATATTGTTTCCTATTTGAGTATGTAAAATCGCAGACCGGCTTGAAATATTCACTTCCCGAGACTGTTGTTATGGCAGCAGCGCTTCGTGGACTTCGGTTCAGCTACGATTGTTTCCTCATTGCGAAAGAATCGGTACTCTGGGGAGATAGATGGACGTCGACGCAGCGCGTGAGAGTTGAGGGTGGGGAAGCGCGGATCGTTAAGGTAGAGCGAGAAGGGCTAGGTCTGAACAAGACGTCTACGTCGCACGGTTTTGGCTGGTGGCTACCAGGGAAGTTTGACTGGAGTACCTGGCGGTTCGCCTCCGACGTTGGCGATCGACTCGCCGTAGGCAACGACCTCCTACGCCAGGATTACAAGCGTCAATGGAGAGTCCTCAAGGATATTCGAGACGTTCACGTTCGCATGTGGCAAGCCCAGAGTTGGTTAGGGCGATATCGAGTACAGGACGACGCGGCGGCAAAGAGACTGTGGCTCGAATATCTGCATTCCACAGTCATCGAGCTCTTCCAACGGGATGTCTGGCGGGCGGCCTTGAAGAGCGTGAGCTGGAAGACAGGCTCCGATGTCACCGATGAGGCATCGATGAGGTATCCCGAGTCTAGCCCACCGAGCTTCTGCTATGATACGTTATCGGATCTGTTTCACGACCGTCAACATGATACGAGCCACACGAGACCACACCTCGTCGCTGGCAATAAGATACGGTCGACCAGTATGAAGGACCTTTTCGATGACCTGTTCTCGCCGAGCTCTACCGGCACGACCATGAAGCGTCGTAGAGGGTGGGCTTCGCTGCCCTATCGTATCGCGACTCGTCGAAGCATCGAGCTCGTGGAGATGGTGCTTGGGGCGGCGGCCGCAACACAGTGGTACGCACAGCTTAGGCGAATTGTGCTATTGACACATTGGATTCTGCCCTGGCCGTCAGACACAGAGCTTCTAACGACGACAAAAGAAAGTAGGGCTACCAATCTCAAACGCCGGCTTACTTGGGCCTCGGTTGTCCACATCACTCCATCTTCCAAGTCTACAGGGCACGTCGAGCCTGCTGTACCAACGCGAAAGGTCAACGACGCAGACCGTCAGGTCTCCACTCAAGACGATCTATCGCAACTACTATCGGAAGCATGCAGGCGTCGGTTCGGGGATAAAGGCTGGGCAAGTAGTGCAGACAATACAAAACCGTGTTACCACTGGTCTACTGGAGACTTGATTAGCAGCACGCGCGACTGTATTGGAATTGATACGCTTCGACTTGGCCGTGCTGTTGGGGCATATAATAGAGGTTGTATCTTTCCCGTAGTAGAGAACGGCCATCCGCCCCAATTACGGATGGTCACGCGTATTCGAGATAAAACCCTACTCTTCTATTCCTAATTGTCGTGAACCCCTAATTGTCGCCTACCCCTGTTTATTTCTCACGTGTTTGTTTATCTCCCGTCTATTCCCATGTGGCCATACTATGGTGACTTATGTTTTCTCATTTCGATCGACAGTCTGCAGGCGCATTACTTACGCAATCAGAATCCTTTTGAGAACGAGGGAGCAGCTTCGAGGTACCAACAGAGGTTTGATCCAAAGGGATTGGATGAAAGGGGTCAAAATTGATCTTGCACAAATTTTGAAGAAGCTCGATGCACGCACGGGCCAGATGCTGTGTAATTTAGCACTATGTGGAGCCCTTTCGACATTAGGGAGGGAGAGAACGACTGATGTGTTCGACGTATTCCTAGAGAGTGTAAGTGCTTTCCGGCTCGGCACGTTAACATGAATATGGACTTGATGATTGAGACCAATGGGTCAGTAAGTTGAGTGCAAGTTCGGTGGATCTGGCACGGCATCGTTGTTGAGCCTGAAGCTCTACATATGCAGTAACATCGCGTGGAGATGACGGGAGGAGAACTTGTTCAGCCTCGGACTCGGGCTCAGGCTCGTCATCTCGGTCTATAATCTGGTCGAGGTTGAACCTCATCTGCCGGAAGATTTGTTGTGCTCTTATAAAGTGCTGTTAGTCGTGGTGTCGTTGGACACGGAGACGTGTTGGTTCATGCAAGAGGTATCATAGCAGACTAACACGGGTTCTCCAGAGCGCTAGAGATATGATTATGGGGCATGTTTGGCGTTCAGCAAACGCAGTAAATAGTAGAAATTATTTTAGGTTAACAAACCGAGAGTATTAGACAAGGAAAAGGAATCATCCAAGATAAGCACATTTTTTCTTAAGCTTATGAAAGAAGCGTAGCCCAGGTGTTTTTAACAGTCAGTTGAGTGCACTAAGATGGATAACGCGGTGCTTCCAGTGCCGCCAGTCTTGTTCTGGCGCGCTAGGAAGCTCATTCAAGCACGTGACGTAGGTAAACCGTGTCACTATTTACCTAATCCAATGCAAATATATTACAGTATTGATTCTTACCAGCTCATTTTCGCCACACAGAGTCTCATCCGCCTTTATGGGCAAATTTAATTTGGAGATATTCTTAATCACTTATTATGACTCCGAATCTATCATCAGCGCGCAAACGCGGTAGGCCGTCTCTCAATCGTAACGTCACAAACTCTGAACCCGCGGATGAGATCATAGCGTTAGGCCTTCCTGAGAATCGGCGTGGAGATGAGGGTGATAAGCAAAGTGAAGACCACAGGATGGCCGTGAGAAACCAAAATTGTACTTTCCTACAACAAGATCACCCGTCAAAAAATATGACCATTGAGATCCAAGTCGACAAGCCACCCGATGATGCGGCCAGCCTAAATCTACATTTAGACCAACCACAAGTAAGCTCGCAGCCAACATTGTCTTGTGGCACCAGCCTTATATCTCAGACCTCCCAGAACTCTCAGCAAGAGCCAGGTCGCTGGCCAGTGGCGTCTACCGACTGGACTTCTCATGTACTAGGCTCCCGCTTAGCAGGAAACCAACCATCGACACCTCGTTCCCTTGCTCCAGCTCCTACTGGGAGTAATAAGCTCCCGACGCAATCCTCGCCAGGGAACGCATCCATACCTATTAATCATACTATGGCAAACAGCTCAGCAATCCGCGTGGCTCCAGCGAAGAGGCAAAAGACTAACGGCAGCCAATCTCAACTGTCCGAAACCTCTGGATCTATAGATTGGAATGCACGTCTGGTAAGGATGATCCAAACATAGCTTTACCTCTTATAAGCTAACTATTCTACAGCCCTCTGGAAATGAGTTCACAGAAAGCCTGAAGGCCGCCTTGACTAGTTTAAAGCCACAAATCGAGAGGCTCGAGCAGCTCCTAACATCTATTAACGATGAACACTGCGGACTTGCCGCTGTTAGGCGCAGTCTCTATTCTAGCAAAGATAAGCTAGCGAAAGACCTGGAAAAGGCCCAGGAATGTCTCATCGATGTCGAGGAATCAACAGCCACCGAGGAAGAAATCGTCAGAGACTTGGAAGGTGTCTATAAGAAACACCCAGGAGACAACAAACTTCGTGCATTCCTAGACGGGCGAAAAAAGACTGTCATTGAATACCAAAAGGTGTATATTATCGTCAAGAGTCAGTTGGGTAAGAGTTCAGCCGAACTTTCCAAGACCGAAAGGGAGATTCAGTCGGTGAACAGGCGGCTCGGTCAGCTTGAGGCCGAGAGAGCCGAGGTCATGAAGGAGAAAGAGGGGGCTGATAAGGCGATGAAATCTATGATGTTCATGTCTCAGTTCATGGAACGAGGCTGGCAAGCTAGTGTGGACAGTTTTGGGCAGGCTTTTGGGGATGAAGCTGTGCAGACTGCATTTTGAGGAAGTTTTCGTCGTTATGAGTAACGCTGGAAGTTGTGACGTTAGGGATATACGCTTTATCACTGAGGAATACAACTACCGTACATGAAAGAAAGCGCCCTTTGCGTTACCCTGCATCAGCTTCCTCATCTGGTAGGCCCTAGTAAGTAATGACTAAATCAACTCTACTAGAGTTGATTTTAATGACCCCCTACTCAAGAATTATCGGCAGAAACGCATTGCGTTTCCTGTTTTTGACCAATCATCGTTTACATTTTCGCCCCATATTTCCCCGATAGAAACGCACTGCGTTTCTTGTACTGCACTCATGAAATTAGAAAACCTAAAACACGAAACGCGTCGCGTTTCCGTCGGCTGACCCTTGTCGTGTTCAACTTGACTACTTCGCACCTAAAAAAAAATAACATTCATTACCATCTTCTACTGAAACTCACATGCTTTATAGCATCTAATGTATCTCCGCCATTCCATCCTATCTATTATATTTATATATGCTTAGTCATAATGGCCAGCTCTTCTGTTCATAGGCAACAAAGTCACCCCACTTTACCTCCAGCAAAGCTGCAGAAGCTCGAAAGGCTCAGCCTCTATTACAATCTGCCAGAAGCAGCTATTATATGTCCCAAATGCGGTTTTACTTTGAGTCCTAAACGTGCATCGGAGCATCCGGGCAAAAAGCACGGCATCGCCAGATCTGCTCGGCATGGCCTTAAGCCCCTGCTATCCTCGTTGAACCTCCCAGATCCAGACACCTTGGCCCCCAGACCTAGTGGATCATGACCTCACCCGTGCCTTACATTACAAGAAGGCTCTTCTTGTAAGCACTGCGGCCTCCACTCCGCTAGCAAGAAGGTTCTGGCGGATCATTGTTAATGGAAAACTAGCTAGATTTAAAAGGGCTAGGGGTAAACTTAAAGGCCTTTTAAGCTTCTTTGTATGTGCTCCTAATGTTACCGGAATGTCTATAGTTTCGAGCTGAGACCTTGGCAGTGATTGTACTTGTTGTGTTCTCAAGACCCGCTACACTTTCTGTTACGCTGCCGCCTCTGTTGAATTGCATGTACTTGGTGACGCTGAGGTTGGAAAACACTGGATAATGACCATTTCGTAGGAAGGATATTGCTGCAGGTCAATGATGGGAATGGCTCTTGGGTCACGCTATGTTAACGCGTTGTACGGGGAGAGAATTACTTTGCAGCTTCTAATAGGAAGGAACAAAAGCTCGGCCCAGGATTCGAGAAAGAAAACTGTGTTTACCCTGGCTCCTGGCAGTTTTTGTTCACTGGGCTTCCCGCCTGTGTCAGATACGCATGATGCAGGATGCTTTCGAGTCTGCAGTTACGATGGAAGTCTCTTAACAGCTGTGTTATATTAGGTTTCGAGCCTGATGCAAGAATCACGATGGATTGCCTCGAGCGAAAATAGAGATTCGAAGACTATCTGTCGCACTTTGCGTGCTTTAAGGGTTAGAGTAAATGTATTGAGCAGCAGCAAATGTGTTGATTGATTGTTCTTCTTGTTGTCCCTTGTACGGGGTATTCCATCCTGCAGAGTTACTTAAAGCATATAGCTAGATTACTAATACAGTTGTTTCCTGAGGTCGTGAAGATCATGCCTACCCTGCGACACTATCCAGGGAATATATATGAACGGAGCCACCAGGAACAGGTTTAGCCTTGCTGTTAATCATAGCAACGCTAAACCCATTACAGGGTAGGAGCTAGACTTCTGTTAGATACGCACGAATACGATGGGGTGAGTGTATTAAAGTGTGGACCAGAATGTGGTTATTTTATTGATCGTGGACTTGATTCTTTTTGATCAGTCTGTCAGGGAGGGGTTGATTCGATTCCCCTCCTTTTCCGGATGCAATAATAATATTGTGATAAAGGAAAGTGGAGCCCATTCCCAGCCGCCAATCTAACAACTTCTGTCCCCACCTTGGTAAGCGAATCTAGAGCTCGGTGCACTAACAATTTCCCCGCAAACATCACCGGGTCAACCAATCCAATGGCCAGATGAATTCTCAGCCGCCATAACATCGATTTTTTACCCACTCAGACTGGACACTAAACGTAGTATAAAACTTATTACCATTATATAAATACATACACTATAGCCTTTAGACTCAACTTATTTATATTTTTATAAGACCTTCTAGCTTGTTGTTAGTATATTCGTCTTGGAAGTTGCTGAACTCGTCGTCGGCCCCAAGCTTTGCAGCCAATCAGAATTTAGCGGTCAAGATGTGGCCGTTTTTGGATATGTGGGGCCGTCACTCAGCCAATCATGAATTTCGTGGTCAAGATCCATCCATTTTCAGAAGCGAATCGTGCTATTTCATATGAAGTCTAGCGCGTCATTCCAAAAAGCGAAGCCGAAATGAAGGGAGACCTGTTAAGTAGCCTTCAATGTCCGTGCGAGCTTTCCCGTCGGCCGTGTTATTGCATGAGTTAAAGCATCAGAATACCGATCCGCCCAGGTTAATACTCTACTCCCTCCGTTATAAGAAAGTAGATATCTGTACCACAGGTACACTGACTGTATCTAATCTGGTCCGCCATATAAGAGGTATTCTCGTAGGCTGGGGTGCCGATTAGCACATGCTGCTGTAGCAACCGCAAAAGCAACCAAATAATCGTTGGGGTATTAAGAAATAATCTCCGGCATCAACACAAAATAACCGTTATCACCTCATACAACAACATACTGAAATTAATATGGAGAGACCACCAAGACGTGGACGACCACGCAAATATGCAACAGCCAAGGACAAAGAGACAGCAGCCGCTCAACGCAGGCGGAACAAACGGCAGAAAGCTGCAGCTAGAAATAGAGGGGTACCCTATAGCAATTTCCATAACTTGCACTATCCTACCCAGCACCTTCCTTTGTCATCACACTTTCTTGGCATACAAGTGTTAAGAAAGTGGCCCTGTCTACACCTAAATCCTTAACAAGTGCACAACAAACATTCCAATCTGCGCTTTGCGCAGTCGCAAACCGCGGCGATGGCCTCGTCTACGACGATCCCGCCCGCTGCCTTGGATCCCTTCGATCTGGGGATCCACACTCCCGTCAACCTGAACCGGGGAGCCCGTGCAGCCCTCTTGCAGAACAGTCCGGCAGCCGTCAACGGCACCATTGGTGTTTCACCCGGTCCCAGGCGGATGGCTCAGACACCATCCTCACCACTCAACCCCGCCACCATCGCCGCAGTTACGGAAGGAGCTGAGCGTGCCAGTCCCGCATCCATTTTTGAACAACGACCGATCTCTATCGTTGAATCAGCCAACGATCTCGCGCGAGAATACGTGGAAGAGTACAACATCAAGCTGGGGGTTTTCCAGGCCTTTTGTGCCAAATTTGAAGAAGCGGCCCAGCAATTCGTCACCGGACCGCAACGACGTTTCGCTCAGCAATTTGCCGATGATTTCCTCGGCTTTTGGAAACGAGAGCTCTCCTGCTCCGGACCTGCGACCCCAAAGCCTACATACAGCAGCGTCGCTGCTGCCGCGCCTCCCACTGACCATGACCGTCTGACCCACAGACAACAACAACAACATGGACGCCGACAAACAGATCCACCTCATCGCCAAGGGCAACAGACGACTATCGCCCCACCCCGACAAGACCTCCGTGTCTTCATCCGTCTAGAAGCCGGAGCTCCGGCCAGGGCCCACAGTAGCTATGCCATCCGGACTCTGATCCGGGAAAAACTCGGCGCCGTCTCGGACAAAATTCGACAGGTGTTCCCGGTCAGATCGGGATGGGCCGTCCTGGCCGCCGACTCTGTCACACGCGACTTTCTGGTAGATAAACAAGCTGAGTGGGCCGCTGAACTGGGAGCTACAGCAGTAGAAACGAACAAGGAATGGTTCACCTATGTGGTCTCAGACGTTCCCGCAAGGCTGACTGACTTTTACGGTAATGAGGTGGATAGTGACAGCGTCGTTAGCGACGAGATAGAAGTCCAGACTGGGATCAAGCCCATTGATGTACGTACCGGAAGACAATTCTCGGATAACCCCTTGACCAAGGCCCTGCTCGTGTCCTTTCTGAAGCCCACAAAGAGATTCTGGTCTCTTTTCGGCAGCAGCGCAGCCAGGCTTGTTGACAAAACCGACCGACCCAGACAGTGTGAGACGTGCTGGGGCTACCACTTTGCCCGCAACTGTCACAGACAGCCAGTTTGCCGACGCTGTGGTGAGACTGGCCATCTTGTAGACGATTGCATCGCACGAGAACAGTGCATCAACTGCTTAGGCCCCCACCAGGCCAACTTCCGTAGGTGCCCAGCTCGGCCAAAGACAGTGCACGGCGTGCTCCGCCGACTCACTAAAGAGCAACGAAAGCATGTCCGGACCGTAGGTGCGGAGACATACCGACAACGACATCGAGAACGGCATCTGGAATCGCATCAGGAAACGCAGCAGGGCATGGCTGAGCGACGAAGCGTGGATGTCACATCACAAGAACAGCCTAACCATCGTGCTCCCAGCCCAGCTGTATCAGGAGCACCCTCGTGCATCATGGTGGCCACGACCCCTCATGCTGGCTATGAAGCAGAGGAAGAACCCGAACAGCCCAGACCAGGCTCACCGCGAAAGCGCCGAATCGTACTCATCACTCGTCCTCATGACCGGGAATAGATATTCTCAAACACGAAAGAACGACAGGAAGCCGCTCAAGATCTTCCAGGCCAACGTCGGCAAGATCCCTCCGGCCCACGACTGCGCCCTGGCGCTGGCCGACTCGGAACGATATGACATTGTGCTCTTGCAAGAGCCGTGGACGGCTCACACAGAGACCCGCTGTCTAACCAAGACTCACCCTGCATACGACACATTCACGCCGGTCGACATGTGGAATAGCAACGATACTCGGCCTAGAGTGATGACATATGTCCGGCGAGACCCCAGACTCCTTGCCGACCAAATTCGGCCCTTCCAGACCCGAGACATTCTCTGGCTCGCGATCAACGGCATGACCATAGTCAACTTCTATCGTCAGAACGACGAGAGGGACGCCCTAGACACGCTATTTCAATGGTCTGTCCCGGAACGTTGCCTCGTAGCTGGCGATTTCAATGCCAGACATCGTAGCTGGCAAACAGGCCAAACTACGAACCGGGGGCAAGAGATAGCAGGATGGGTGTCTGAGAATGACCTCAGCCTTCTCAACACTTTAGATATCCCAACAAACCCGTACGGCAACACAATCGATCTTGCCTTTACTAACCTACCACTTGCTGAAGCTATCGTCGAGGACCATCTCGCCACCAGCTCTGACCACTTCACGCTCAGCCTGACCTTCCCAGACGTCAGATCGACTCCGGTGCAGCCAGGCAAGATTCGAGTGACGACGGAAGACGAGCTTAAACGATTCGTCGAGATCGTAGAGCTTGGCGCTACAGGAATCCCCCTCACAGATTCGACCCCCGAGGAGCTGGACGAGCTTGCGTCTTCACTCGTGAGTCTACTAACATCAGCAGCAAAAGCGTCTGGGAGGCCCGCGCGGAAAGGCGGACGCCCGGCTCCCTGGTGGACGGAGGAGTGCGCCGACGCCGCGGCTGCTTTTCGAGCCATCAGAAGAAGCTACCCACTCGGCTTCAACCAGGACGTTCAGATCGCCAAAAGAGGCTTTCATCGTGTGGTCCGTCGGGCCAAGAGGCGCTATTGGCGTAACCTCATCGATGGCTTCTCCAGCAGTAGCGACGTTTTCAAAGCTGTCCGGTGGCTAAAGTCCCCAGGAGCCTTCCAGCCGCCACCTCTACAGGTCGATAACGTCGTGTACGAAAGCCAGATGGATAAAGCCAACGCACTCCGACAGGCCA